AAGAAATTGAGATAAAACTGATTCTTTTCCTTTTCCTGAATTACTCATCGTAAAAAAACGTATATATAGAATCAGATGTTCTAAAAATCCCTTCAGATTCCAGAGAATCAAGATGGAAATTCATTGTATAGTCTCTCGAAGAAATTAAAGACCTGCAGGCGATACTGAATTAAGACAAAGGAAAAAAAAGAAAGAGAACAAGTTGGAAGAAATGACAAAAAGACAAAGATGAGATGAGGAAGATGATGAGCATGATATATATATGAGAAAAAGAATGAATCGTAAAAAGAAAAACAATAGAAAAAGATAAGTTGAAATCGAAAAGAGGAAGGAGATGAGAGAGAGAGAGAGAGAGAGAGAGAAAATCGAAGAATAAAATAAAGTGAGATGAAAATTGATCGAAGAAAAAAGTTCTGAAGATTCTGAGGATAACAAGGATAAGGGATGAAGGAGATTTCAAACATGATAAATTCAGTTTTTCTTGTGGTTCCTTGTTACTATTTCTCTTCATCAAACTGTGTATCATCATCATCATTATTATTATCAATTCTGGTCAATTTATGAAACAATCATGATCCCTCCATGAAATAAGAAACATTCACAAAGAACAACAAGAAAAAAAATAAGGTTCAGTCTTTGAGAATTGAGGGAAAATTGAGTAACATGGAAAATACAATTAAACATTTCGATCAATTATCTTTTACATGATAATTTAATATCTACCGTTGGTTATTCTGGTTCTCGGATTCATTTTTCATGATAAACAATAAAAACTGATAACCAGATTATAATGATAACTAACAGACAATCATAATAACAATAATCATAATAAATTACTATTATCAACTAATTGTATTAATCATGGTGATAAGGTAAAGGTAAGATTATTACAATTAACAGGGTATCTAAAGGTTTAAGGAAAAAGTTGATTAGATTCATGATTCTGATTAGTATAATATTTAGTTTATCGGTGAAACTAATTAAATTAATTTGACTATTTTTTGTTGTTATTCGTGATTAACTCAGTTGATGAACAATTAATTGATATGTGCATCACACTTATGTAAGAATCAAAGTGATTAACTGTTGCCATGAATGAGAATGGGGAAGAAATTAGCTGATCAGTGATGATAAATGTGATGAAGATAAAAGATGAAGATGAGAAAGTTGAAAGAGAAATTGAGAGAGAAATTGAAATGAGAAGGTGTAAATTCATGATGATGATTCAATCAACCACCCACAAGATAATGTATGTAAAAAGTAATCAATAAAAATGAATGAAATATAAACCAATTTAACCAGAAAATATTAATATCATCATGATGATGAGCAAAAATGAGATGAGGATGAAAAAAAAAACTTGAAATGAATTCAGATCTGATGAATATGAACTGAAAGTTTCCTGAACTTTTTTTTTCTAATGAACCAGAATCTTTTTTTTCTCACCAGATTTTCAACCAATTACTATTATTACATGATGCTACCTGAGAATTGTCATTCTGATAATGAGTAATAAATTAACAATTCATGATGGTTAATCTAAAGAAATTGATGTATAACATGATGAATGATTATCTCTTGAAAGAAACGATTGATTATAATCAATTGTGAGTAAACAATTAACAAAATTTTTTTCATAGTCTTGACTCTAAAATGATAATCTTAATATTCACCATCATGGGAAATTCATCATTAATCATCTTCTCAATAAACTCGCAGTTATTTAATCTAATGAAATTACAAGTTGAGTTAATAATAATATCAGTTTAAGGTAGAAGTTGATATTATTTTTATGGAAGAAGAAAAAAAAATTCAAAAAAAAAGTAAAATCCAGGAAAAGAAAATTTTCCAATAACCTTAACATGGTAAAAGTTCAAATATTGACTGATTTCATGGATAACCAAATACAGGAGCAGTTCCTAAGGACCATTGACAGTTAGAGAGAGGAAGATGAGGATGAGGATGATGAAAATTGTGAAGAAAAAACGAAAACCTTAAGAAAAATTGATGAAAAAAAGTAGAAAGAGGAAAAAACATTAAATTAAGAAACTGAGAGTTTGATGAAAATTAAGGAGTAAAAAATTGAGCCGAATTTAATGTTGATCATCATTGATGATTTTAAATATACTCGAAAGGATGAAGATGATGTGGAAAAAAATTTGTAGCCTGAAAAAAATTGATTTAATAAAAAGTTCTGAGCATCTTCATCACCTTCTAATACTAGAAACTTGGAGACATCTTAATTAGCTCAAGTAACGGTAAAACTTTGTCTACAATTTTATAATAGTAGAAAGATAAAAACTATTTTCTGTTAATGATAACTAGAAAAGTTATCATGTTTGACACGATAAACTGAATGAAAAATGATCAACATACAATGAATATTATTCATGTAGCTGAAAATATCACAGTTACTTTGGTCTTGATCATCTTGATGGACTTGTTTGAAAGTTTGTTGGTCAATTGGTCAAAGATTGATTATTATCAGAATCTATTTGATTATTACTATTATTATTACCTTTTTTTGTACTTTGTCACTGATTGTTCAGATTATATTGTGCCGATAATGATGATAACAAGGACAACAATTTGAAACATTAATCAATAATAATATTGTTTCCCTGTATTTGAGTGAGAGGAAAAAAAAATAATAACAAAAGTATAAGAAAAGAAAAGGAAAAAGTTATAAAATAAATAGATAAGATGATGAAAAAAAAGTTCATGTTCATTGATTGTTCAGATTCTCATGTTATTAAAAACGGAAAAGTGTCAAAATCAAGTTGCCCCTAAACTATTAACCCTTTTTATTTGATTCAATTGACCTTAAGGAGGATGAAAATGAAAGAAAGCTGAAAGAAAAGATTTACTATGATGAGGGAGGTAGTGTTTATATGAGAGAGAGAGAGAGAGAGAGAGAGAGAGAGGGATGTGTATTTATATACAAAGAAGAGGAAAAAGTTTTGGAAATGATGAAGAGGAGGATGAAGATGAAATGGAAACGTTAAATATGATTTCAATCAAATTGTCGTTAGTTGATTGAGGAAAAGGCGTAAACGTTAATGTTTACTGGTAACACCTTAATCATTCAATATTTGATTGTCACTATTCAATTAGAAACCTGGAAGATGATGATGAAGATACTTTCTGGGATTGATGATGAAGATGAAGATGAAGATGAGGGTGGGAGAGAGAGAGAGAGAGCAAGAGGGTTAGATGAAAATGTGAAAGAAAGATTCATTCACCTTGAGGGTATTTCAATAGGATTTCTGATGAAGAGAAGCAAGAAAACTGGTAGAATAGAAAATTCTTATATAACTTTATATAGTTTTAATTCTCGAACCTTATTTCGATCTGATATTTTCTTTTTCATTCTCATCATCATATTTCCAAAGAAATCGTTTACTTTTACTGGTGGAAAGGAAAATATATCATTTTTTTTTTCATTTCTTTTCGTTCTACTCTCTCTCTCGGTGATCCCAACAGATATTGTTCATTTGAACGTATTAGAAGACACAAGGATTACATGGGAGAATAAGATGATGATCATGATGACAGGAGAGTAAAGAGATGGAGGAAGAAAAGAAGAGAAGAAAAAAAAATCTCTCAATGAGTTTTCATCATCATGAGATTTAGGTGTAAATGTGAAGGTAGAGCAAGTAATAGAAATAATCTCAATGAGTAGATAGAATTGGGAGTGAGAGAGAGAGAGAGAGATAAATTCATAAAGAGTTCATCTACATGATGACAATCGCCATGACAAGAATAGAGTGAGCAATTCAAATAAATACATTGAATTATTTGAATTATGATCGAAAAAGATTAACTCAAATGATACCAAAAAGAGAGAGAGAGAAAAGAAATCGATCCAATGGGAAAAAGTGGAAAAATCAAAGAATATCAGAACTTTTCTTCAGATTCATGGTTGTTCATTTTTCATCCTTCATCATGATCCACACACACACACACACACCACTTTTATCCTGCATCATCTTCAGCATTTATAATATGATGAAATTTTCTAGTGAAATTTTGACACAAACACAACAAGAAAAAAAATATCATGTTATTGTTATTGGTCAAGAAGAGACATTTTTTATCATTTAAATTGAATTGAACTTTTTTTCTCCTTCTCTGGCATTGTAATCAAATATTTTATCATGAAAATTGAGATCAATTGAGTAGCATGAATATGATGAAAAATATTGGTGGTTAAATTCATTGATATTCAGTTATCATCATGAGCATCTCAGCTTTATCAAGATAAATTAATTACATGGAGCAACTTGAAACTTGATTTCATTACTCATGTTGTTTATTTCCTATGTGTGAGAGTGTATATTTAAGGTGTGTCAACAGAAAATATTGGAAAAGATGAGATGAAGATAAGAGAGATGATATTCATCTTGCTCCTCATCCCTCTATTTACTATTATTAATAATAACCTTTTCCCTTTGGCAATAAAACCCAAGGAAACCATAAACTTGTATCTTATTATTTTTCATCTTCATCTACTTGATACTTTTATTTTTCTCTTCCCTTTTTTTTTAAAAAAAAGAAACGATTGAAAACAATCAATATCCTAAATTAATTAATCCAAAATTGTTCAAATAATCAAATGAGAAAATTGATAGATAAAAAAATATCCGATTATCGAGAAAATTGAAATCGATTGGTGATGAAAGATCAGAACTTTTGAACAAACACAAGTTTTAAAAAGTTTTCGTTAGTATTATTATTATTATTATATTTTATTCCATAGTTGATTGGTCAAAAGGAAAATCGATGTAAGGGGTTAAGGGAAATGTTAAACTGAATTCTGAAGTTACCATGAAATGATGGTGAGAAAAAAAAGCGCAAACTCAAGCGAAAGAGAGAGAGAGAGAGAGACGAAAAAATACTGAGATGAAGCTCGAAGCCAAGTTTAACCTTGTAGAGAGTAAGAAAACACTTTGAGAGTGGAAAAGGTTCAACAATTAAGCGAAATGAGTCTCGAAACTTACATGGTCTGGAGTCTTCATCAATAGCCGGCAATTAATTGATTAATTTAGATATCCACAGATTCCTTGGAAATTGTAGATATTAATTTTGGTTTGTATATATTAAGAGATGTATATTGTATATATATACACTTTAATGAGAACACAATAGATGATAAATTGATTGTAACATTTAAACTTCACTATGGATAAACACGATACACAAAACAAGAGGAAGAACAACAAACAAAATGATTTCTTAGCATAATCTTGACTCTCCTTATTGTCTCCAACGTGAACACCAGTGGGAAACTTTCTGAGTGAAATCTAGAGGAAAGGAGAGAAAAAGTAAGTAAAATGGAAGATGAGGAATATTTTTTTTTAACTTTCGAAAGAGAAAGAGAGAAAGAAAGAGAAGAGAAGATGAGAAAAGATGAGGATGGAAATTCTGTGTGTGTGTGTTTCTCAGGAATTATCATGCGTGTTCCAAATCGGATGATTGCTCATGATTTCTAAGATTCGAAAAAGAGAGAAATGATGATGAGAGAGAGAGAGAAAGAGACGAAAAAATAAATAAAGAAAATCAGAACTTTCACCAATTCTGCCATCCATGAGTTCAGGGTGCCATCTATTTAGGAAATTCATTCTTTCTCATTAGTTGTCAATCTGTGTAATTCTTTGTCAAATAATTGATCATTTCATTAATTTCCAATTTGATAATAGTTGTAATAGTAATTGATTCTTAATTAGGATGGTTTTCCTTAAATATTCAAATTCATTGTTATTAATAACAGTTATTTGTTGTTTACAGTTATGATTTTGTTTCTGTTGATTGGGTTACAGAAATTATTTTTTGTCACATTGATTATTAATTCAATGTGTTGATTGAATAAAATCATAGGATTTTGATTGTTCATGTTGGATATTCAATGGTTTAAAAAAAATAGGATCATCTTTTCAAAGTATTTCGAGCATGAGTTAATAAGATTTACCTGTGTTCACATTTATATCAGATGATGTAAGAGAAGGAGGAAAATTGGGAGAAAGGATAATGTTTACAATATTATAACATTTTATGTATAAATTTTCAAGAATTTAAATGCATGTATTAATAGATGAATATTTTCAGATCAATTATCTTCATTTGAAAGTGACAATTGGATGATTAACTATAATCTGTTGAAATTTTCATTCTATTCTACATGGAAGAGAGAGAGAGAGAGAGAGGGAACTTATTTTTCCATGTGAATATTTATTTCCCCCTTTCTTTCATCATCACCAAATCATCATGATCACCATGAGTGACTGATTTTTTCCTGTAATGTTTGGTTTTTACATGACAATATTGGTCCTGTTTAATGTTAGTCTTTTGATAATCCAAAATCCTTGCCACAGGTAATAAGGTGTATCCCTTTTACTGATAAGACGATAATCTGTTTCATGTTGACATTATGATAAATTGATGATCCATGAAGATATAAGGTGAAAAGAAGAAGCGATCAGTATAACATGAAAATCGAAACATTTTTCTTTTGTTTTCCATTGGGTTATTATTATTATTTCTCAAACAAAGTTGTTCCATTTTCATTTTACCTCGATTATCGTTTGTCATCGGATTAAGAATGATGATTAATATCTTCTTGTTTTCTCTTAATCATGTTGATTACCCAAATGGTTGATTGAAATATCACTTAGATTTGTTGTGATAATTTTTTCGATTTGAACTTGACTTTACTTCGATTATGAGAGCTTAATCTGATATGACTTCCATTGAGCTTGTAGATTGAATTATCATGTCCAAAAGCGAAAAGAGTTCCTTCTTTAGGAATTGCTGTTAGAATTTGGAAAGAATAGAAAAAAAGAAAATAAGGATAATAATGATTAGTCTTTGATTAGTTTATCTCTTTCTGTCTGTAATTGTTAAACTTACTTCGAATCTGATTCTGTTTATTTATCAATTTGAATGTGTTCCTTGTTTCCTGAACAACTAATCCAACTATACCAACAAGTGATGGATTAAGTGAGGCGAGAACACAAAATTTGGCTCCATGATAATCAGCTTTAGCCAATCTCAATGATGAATCTTTAGGATTATTTTTTAATATTATGCCAATATATTTATCCCAGATATGATTAATCTTCTCAAATGTTTCATAATCAAGTTTAGTCTCACGGTTAATCTTGAATAACGATTTTCTCTCCTTTGAGTTCAATTTGTTGGGTTTCTTTTCTTTATTCTTTTTCCCTTTGATATTCGGTTTCTCTTTAGGTTTATCCTTTTTCCGTGTAAACTTGGAATCAATACTTGTCAGATAATAATATTTAACACCATGTTTTTCCTGAGCAAAGACTGGAGCATTTGAAGCTATTAAATCTTCAGCATTTGGTTTGCTAACTTTATGACCATGGTGAACAAATTCCATTCGATCAGCTACACGGGTGACACTTTCTGGAAGTCCACGATATGCATTTTGACTTGATTCTTGACTCATATTCAATCAAAGCAAGAAACAAATTCTACAAAAAAAAAGTCAACAGAAGAGAAAAAGATGAGAAACAAAAACAAACATCGAAATCAATCATTAAGAACCCGAAACTAACCTAACCTTTTTATATGAGTAAAGAATCGAATCCAAAATTAGAAGACAACCAAACAACCTTGGAATAAAATAAACCACCTAAATTATTTTACATGTAGAATCAAAATAAAATAAAGATTAATCATTTCAAATAAACACAATTAGTAAGAGAAACGTTGTCAACACCAAAAAGAAAACAATATTTAATCAACTGAACAGCTAAAGAAAGAAACATAAACTTTCCAATCTCACCTAAACGATAAAATCCAATGATCAAAGAGTAAAATGTTCCATATTTGATTTAATTAACACTAATTATCAGTTAAATTAAACAAAAACAATCAATTTAAATGTGAAAATGAAAATGTGAATCAACAATTGTCGTTGCCTTGGTTACATTGAGTTTGTTTATTTACCAAAATGAAAAGCGCGTGATTTGAATTTGAATTTTTAGAAAATTAAATTAACGAATGAAAAGATTAACCATCACCTTCATTTTGATTGTCAGTAATTTAACATTTCCCCAGTCATTATCACCTTGATCTTTCAACATACTGTTTAATTTTTTTCCCTTGTTAACTTGTCAATCGCTTTTTTCCCTTTTCCATTTCCAATAGATGCGAATGAAAAAATTGAAATGATACAAAGTAATTCAGTTTCTACAAATGAATTAAATCTGTGTCCCCAATTTTCCGATAAAATGTCAACCAATGGATCCTTTTTTATACCTGAGATAAAAAAGTCGACTCCCTGTGAAGGTGATTTCCAAATCGGTGATAAAATTTACGTTAACGGTGTCAAACCGGGAATAATTCGTTACCTTGGTGAGACAAGTTTCTCTTCAGGTAAATGGTCTGGTATCGAATTGGAAGATAATTCTGGTAAAAACGATGGTTCCGTTGGTGGAATTAAATATTTCTCATGTCAACCAAACCATGGAATTTTTGTTCGACCCCATCGATTAACCTGTGAACCAATTCCAGAGAAAACTTCATCGTCCACCGTTTCCTCATCGATTAACGGTGAAACCACAGCGACAACCACTCGATGTACATCATCAACTTTAACCTCATCAATTCGTAAAACTCCCAGTAAATCAATTAAATCATCTAATCACCTTAAGTCATCAGTTAACAGCGAAAAATTGAGACAAGGTATCCTTCGAGCTTTGGACTCTTCTGGTCTTGGTAAATCCCATCGAAACTATTACTTGGGTAAGAATAAAGAATCAAGGACAACTTTAGATCAAAGGATTTCAACCATTGAAAATGATGTTCGACAATTGCGATCAGATAAATCAAAATTAGCCGATATGCTGGTTGACCAATTAACTATGGTCAAGGAAGATAATGGTGACCTTAGTGATCAAGTTGTCTCTTTACAAATTGACAATATTGCTCTTCACATGAGAATCGATGAGCTAAATAAACTCTGGACTTGTAATAAATTGTTGGTTAAAACGTTGGAATTGGTAATTGGTGAATGGAGGAAAGATGTACAATCAAAGGACAGCGGTAATCAGGCATTGAGAGAAGCTTTAATTCAAACCAATTCTCTTAATCGTCAATTGATGATGATGATTTCCAACGAAAAGAAAAGGAAAAATGATGATCTACAACGAATGAAGCAACAATTAACTAATTAGATGGTCAATTGACCAACAATCGACAATGTAATCATGCAATCGGTCAATTTCTGTTCATTTTATCCTTTTAATTATTTTGGTTTAAATTGTTGACTTGAAATTGATTGGGTTCACTTTTTAGTAGATATTTTAACCGATCACTTTGTTTTCCTCTGCTGAGTAAATTCATTAAAACGACAATTTTACCCGCAACTGAGTAAATTTAATGACAATTAACAAAAGCTAATTTTATTCATTTAAACAAATTGTACATATAAAAAAACGTTTCTCTAAAAATTAATCGTAATTATCATCATCTGATTGCTGATTTTCCAATGCACATCCAATGGGCTGAGATTCGTTCTTGACTATCGACTCGGATATTCATGTTGATTGGAAAGTGATAATTTCCTTTTCCATTGGATTGGCAAACATAATCAACATTGATTGGAAATTCAAGTATTCGTTTAGACCCTGGGGCGAATCGTATTTGTCGACAGTATTTCCATTTCTCAAATAAATCTCCATATTCTGAGCCAAGTAATCCCTTGTATTGTCTCATGAAATCAGCGGTCCAAATGTAAGTTTTCAGGCTCGAAATGGCAGCGGCAATTGTGAACACATCGTCTTCCGATTTATTGTCCAACAAGTAGATCCAAACTTGATCAGGATGATTAGCTCTCAGTTGTAGGATCGACGACCAATTGGCCATGTGTTTACGTCCAATTACAAGTATTTTCTTATATCTTTTGAAAATATCATTTATCTCAATGGTTTCGTAAAGACTTTCATTAAGTCCAAGATTTTTTATCGAAAGTGTATTTGTTTTCTTATTTTCCTCGATGGTTCTTGATGTATTATAATAGGAAACATTGAGACCATCGATAACCAAATTAAATGGATCAGATGAATGGGAATTCATGAAACGTTTAAACTTTTCCACTTCTATTGGTGTTGAGATGATATAAACTTTATCTTGTTTATTTATAAGACGTTCATCAACACCAATTTGTAATTTTTCAATTTCAGATTGACTAATTGTTTCCATTGGTGATCCACATTCTTTACATGAACAATTGTCTGAATCAATTGAACTTGACTTGAAACTATATCCACATGAGTGTAAAAACTTTTCCACCCTCTTTAACATGGATTTTTGGTAAAGAAAACGTTTAATCCAAAGTATTTTGACAAATCTATCGAATTCACTTGAACGTTTATCTGGACCAATTTTCAACAGCGATTTCATCCATTCCTCGACAATTTGATCGGATAATCTTTTCTCCTTGTAAATTGTCAGTAAATTTTCAACATCTTCAAACATCCGATGTTTAAGACAATTGATTGAAAGGGTGTCCAAGGCATCACATTGTAAGACTAGGTGATTTTTAGCAAAATCAATTGATTGTTTACAAGATTCTGGTGATAGTTTGGCAAATTCAGCCCAGGCTTTACCAATGACCGGATATTTGATGAAATATTGATCTTTACTTATCCTTTCCAGAGCATCTTTTATGTAAACAACATCCGGACGTTTCTCCATTGTTAATATGAATCTTATTAGGTGACATTGGACCACTTTGTTGTTTTGATTGATTAGCAGGTTCTTCACATGATCGGTGAAAGATTTAATTATCTCATCCTCTGGATTTCCAATTTTCAATAAGTGTTGCATAAATTGAACCTCGAAATTATAGTTATTGTATGATCTTGGATGCTCCTTTATCAGGTTATTTCGAATCTCCGTCCAATCTAATTGTCTTTTTTCACAATTAAGTTTTTTCAATTGATTGTAAACATCAGAATTTGTTTCATCAAATTTTTCAAGCAAATCTTTCCGTTGACGATCAATGTTGGAAAACTTGAATAGGTTTAATTTAGGTTGATTAGTAATGATAAACCGATTACTTAGAATAGAACGAATTGAATTTTTGTAAAACATTTGAAGATTTAATTGATTACAATTAGTTAATGAACACAAAATATGAAGGTAAACAAAAGCTCAACTTTTCAATCAACAAAAAAAAAAGAAAACATGATTTCAATCACATGTTTGGAATTCGTTTTGCGCATGCGCGTGAAACGAAAAATCAACAATTAACTTAATCCGATTGTGTTGATTATCTTAATTGTTACTGCACAATTTTTACAATTGACAAGTTTTTTTTCTTGTAAAGTGATTAATAAATGAGAGATGAAAAAATATTTGCAAACATTTTGTTTCCGGTTGAACCTGAAAACCCAAAAAATTTTGGGTGAAAAATGTTTCAACTGATTAGGAATAATTTTGAGATTAATTTGGTTTATTGTATTTAATTGTTGATTAAGACAGTTGATTGATTTAATTTAGTTGGTGGAAGTGTCTTAGTTGATTAGAAAAATCTGTTTGACCAGAAAAATGTTACAGAAATTAAATGATTACATGATTTGCCCATAAATTGATTTACTTTTTTTTTCAATCAACAATTAACAAGGATTAACATTTATTCAGCTTAATTGTTTGTGTTTGTGTTTATATATTATATAGTTGGAAGAAAATTATTCTTGGTCATCAACCATGAAAGATTAATGATTTGAAACCATTAATTGGCTGATAATCGTTTGATTGGATGGTCAAGGTTCCGGTCAGAATTTTAAACGGATGAAATTGAATCATTTGTAGTTGATTGATTAAGAATTGAGGATAAAGTGGTTAAGATTGAAAGTGTATCATTAAGATTGGAATTGATTTCATCATCGATTGTACCTGATTGTGATCTACCAATTCGTGGAGCGACAGTGGAACTTGAATCAACAATTAATTGTTCGGTTGTTGTTGTTGATGGTTTTGATGTGGATGATGAGGTTGATGGTGATAAATCAACAATCATAGATGATGATGATGAGGATGAGGAGGTGGAAGATGATGAGGATGATGAGGATGATGATTCGACTAATCCTTCAATCAATGTTGAATTGGGTTCCAATGAAATATCAGCAACAGGTGAATTAGTGGCAATCTGATCAACTGATGATGAATTAGTGGATGTTGAGTTAATCATAACTGAATCAATTTCATCTTCCCTTGGGAATCTGATAGCTGATGATTTATCTGATTCCTTTGATTCATTTTTAATTGATTCTTGATTAGGAATAATTAAATCTTCACCTGATCGTCCATCTCTTGAATCATTTTTACCTGATGAAATGGTTGTTAAATCAATCGTTGCCATAGTTGTATCAAGGACTGTTAATGAACCATTGATATTAACTGGATCAGGAACTGAGGTTAAATTGTTTACACCAACATCAATTGGAACTGTGTATATAAAATCATCAAACAATAATCAATAATCATATTTAACAACAATTAACGAGTTAATTTAGATAATTTTTGTTAATAATATAAAAAAATTTGACTCAAATTTATACTAACCGGCATTGATTACGGAGACAATTGAGATCAGTTGGGTAGCAATTAAGAAACAATTAAGAGACATTTTTATTTAAATAAGTTGATTAATTTGAAGATATGAAACAATTAACTTTAAGAATTTAAATTAAATCAATTTTTTGCTGGTTGATGTGAATCGTAGTTAAGATCACTTTCAAATGACGAATATAATGAAAACTGGACTCACTTTATCATCGATTTTGGAAGAAAAATTGAGTGAGATAAGATGATGAGATGGGAGTTAAAGGTGAGAGAGAGAGAGAGAGAGAGAGAGAGAGAGAGAGAGAGAGGAGATAAAATCTTCTCCTTAGCCTTGAAAACTAAATGAGAAACTTTTTTTTCTTCTTAATTCATTTTCCATATTAAAACCATTAAACGAATGACAATTGAATTGCTAATAACTAATTGCTAATTAGTCTCTTTGTTTCATTGATTAGTTAATTACTCTGGTAAAAGGTAATTTAAATTACCTAATGATTACTATGAATCCGAATGAGTATTTGAAGAAAAAAAAAATTTCATTCATCAAAAATGAGTTACAAAGTTTTTAAAATTTGTCTAAGAAAATGATGATGATTTAAATCATCATGATTTAATCATTCAACTATAATTAAACTATGAATTAAAATTAATCAATGGCATTGAAAAGTCTCTGGGTTGTTTTGTTTATTTTAATTGTAATCAGGTAATCCCCTTATGATCAGAAGCTAAATTGCAACAATTTACATTGACTATTAAACTCTTAAGAATATTAAAAACAAAATTTTCCAATCCCAAAAAGCAAATCTAGTCTAACAATCAGTTAATTGTCTGAGAAAAGATACAAATTGTCACAAAATTGATTGAGAAAACAAAGAAAATGAAAGTTATTGATTGTGACAATTATCATCTCCACTAATGGTGACAATTAAATACAATGATTATCATCATGACCTTTTTAATCCTACTAATTGTTTCCAATCTTAATCTTTATAATATAACAGTATCTTAATTGTCATTTATCCTTTTAATCAAAATAAAAAAAGAAAAGTTAATTGTCTAAATATTTAATCATTTCTTTTGCAGGAAGAAATCAAACTGTTAACAATTAACGTTGATGATAACCAACAATCAACGGAAATGATATCATCTTAGAAAACTTTTTTTTTTCACCAACAATTAGTTAATCAACTAAACGATAAGCATATGTACATGTATACTGTCAATACAATTGATTGTCTGTTAATATTACAATCAATCAGCAATCAAGAAACACAGGTTAGATCAAACAATTTAAATCACTCAAGGTCAACATTGATTAAATTGTTTCTACCTGATGATGATGATGATTAGGATATAATGATGATCATTTTATTCAATAATATTCACTTTGGTGGATTAGAAGAGTAAATTAAGAATCTGAATCAGAATCATGAATTCAACTCACAGACAGTTAACTGAAAATTCCTGTTGATTGCTGAGTTTATCACCTTAGGAAAATCATCATCATCAGGTAAATGGCTTCTCTCACAATCAGATTTAAAATTAATCCTTTTTGCTGAAATAATCTTGACGCACAATTTATATAATCAAATATACTTTTTTTCCCCTTAATCATTTCCAATTCAAGATTCATGAGTAAGTTCATCACCATGAGTACACTGTACTTTCTCATCCTCATCTTTATCCTCATCCACTCTCTCTCTCTCTCTCACTCATATCAATTACAGATCATCGGCCTGTGAGATTTATTTTATTATCAATCGTCTCGTGTAAGAAATTTATTCAAGTTTAATTCTTAATTTACTCAAGGTTATAATTGATCGTTAATCATTTCAAATCATTCTAACGATAATTACTCTGCATGATGATGATTCTAATAATGATTAAGCTTAAATTGTAAGGGTGACGTTTGTATTGTCGCTCTTATAGTGATCAATATAATAAGATGAACGATAAACTTATTATTATTGATTCTGTGATTCTTTTAACTGTTAATAATTAGTAAATTAGTTAGTTATGATGATTTTGCTTTGGTTAATCGTTTAAATTGTTGTTGGGGCTCCAAATTATAAACCATCATGATTCTGGTGATTCTTTACAATTGTCATTGATTTAGTTTCATCGTTAATGGTTGATTATTTCATTTATTTCATTTGTATTATTATCATTCATTTCAATTTTAGTTAATTGGTATTGTTTTATCAATGGAAACAATTGATTCAGTTTTAATAATTTACTCGCAATTTGATTAGCCAGTAGGCAATCAATTGTCCAATTAATAGTGAAAAAATTAGTCCAATTATTGCTTGATTGTATGAAGCATTTTGTAATCGATAATAATCAAAAACCATTGATTGATTGTTTTCTTTAAACCATTGATAAGTTAAATTGTCAACAATTGTATCTTTCAAAGTAGTTGTCTCATTAGTTAATGATTCAATTTCTTTATCCTCAGATAACTGGACCAATGCTGCAGTGGTCACTTTGAACACTGTATCAAGATAATTAACTAATTGAGATTTAAGATCAGCAAATTTCCCAAGTGTCTCAGGATTGCATCTAAATTGGATTAGAATTAGAATTAGAATCAAATTAATATTAAACAAGATTAACAATGATTTACTTTTTGTCTTTGGAAATTTTCATTTCAATTGGATTAGGATAAGTTGATGTTTATGTTAATATATATAAATTTGGGACAAGATTATCACAATTAATTCATTATCACAATCAGCATAATCATTAGCCTTATTCATTTATTATTAGGTTAATTGTATTTGGTAAAATTAAATTTTTTTCCAAACAATTAAGCTTCACAATGAAGGTTAAAACCAATTCTAGTCAAGGTTACAAACGAGACAATGTTAATCATGATCTTTATCATGATTTAATTATCATCATGATTATTATTATTATGACCAAGAAATGAAAACTTTCCTCGAATTCTAATAATAATTTTGGACATTTTTCGAACTCAATTAACTTAAACTATATTATTAGTAAGTAAATTGTCCAACAGAAATGAGATGAATTAATTTCCATCGACAAAAAGTTGGAGAGTTTTAAATTAAAGGGTGTTTCACTTAATTTCAGACAAAATGGGAAGCTACAATTAGCGTATCTTACCTGAGATTAAATGTAAATCAAGATAAAAATTGAATTTTTGTTGATAAAATGGTCAAGAAATGATAAAATCGTTGTGATTATCACTTTTTTACCAATTGTCTCTTAATCTTTACTTAATCTATGGTGAGTTACTCTGATTGTAACTTCCCTTTTTGTCTGAAATTAAGTGAAACACCCTTTAGTTTGTCGATTGTAATTCTTACCTGTCTCTAAATATCGCAATTGTATAAGCAATGAACCCATGCTTTAGATATGATAGAGATGAAAACAACCTCAATGGTAAGGGCATTAGTTCAATGGGACTGAAAAATCCTGAAAATAGGAGGCAAATGGCCTGGGAAGTTGGTCCGGAAACAACGGAGGTCATGGTATCGTTCATAAAGATAATTCCGGTGATGAAGCCTTGGGTTGAGGCGATAAATGCAAGTATTGTGAAAATGAATAAACAATCAATGTATCGGCTAAATGGTTGACCGGTGAACACAAATGTCCCTGTAACACAAGTTACAACGCTCATCAAGATGAACGGTATATCAGCCAAGTTACGAGCTAAAAAATAGGCACTTGTACGATACCATCCATTGAAATGCTCTTTACGAAATAGTTTCATCTCTTGGGGTATAAGAACGGACATTGGTAAGATATTGGTCAAGGTGATAAAAGTACATAGAAAGTAGAAAGAGATTGCATTGTCTCTTGTATTTACTGTGTAAAGCTCAATCGATTTTCTAATCGATGAAAGGTCAGTTAGCGTCGAGTTATTTATATCGGGTACACATCCATCGTAGACACCTTTACCTGAGTAAACTCCACCAAGAAGGACAATCAAAAGGATCGCAAAGAAAAATCGAACCGAAGAAGAGAATGGATTTCGAGCTGATATGGTCAATTGTCGGTAGAAAAGCAATTTAAACTGGGCGAAAAAAGGAGCCTCAGAGTAAATGTAACAATCGGAAAGTGGTTTACATGAATATTTAGATATCGAAAGGGTTAATTTCTCATTGAAAATAGGCTTAGTTTCTGATTGATCATCTGAATATCCATAAGAAACTTTAGAAGCCGAGTCAACCGAATGAACCATTTTATCAATACAATCTAATCCATATTCACCGAAAGCAACTTCAATCAATAAATCCGATGGATTATTAAAGGGATCACACTTGATTCCCATTGAATCAAGAGTTGGAATTACCTGTTGAGGTAAACCATGAAAAATTGCTTGTCCCGTTGATGATAACATGTAAACATCATGAAGATTATTGAAAATCTTTGCCGAGGGTTGATGAATGGTGATTATGATTGCAATGGATGATTGGAAAGCCAATTTTTGTAACAATTTAATCAACAATTGGCAACTCAATGAATCTAATCCTGAGGTTGGTTCATCAATGAATAAAATATCAGGCTTTGAGACAAGTTCTTGGGCGATTAGGGTTCGTTTCTTTTGTCCACCAGAAATTACTCCAGTTACAGTATCTGAACAATCAATTAGATGTAATTGATTAATGAGACTTTCAACTTTTCTTGTTTTCTCTTTTGAATTTTTCTCTTTTAATCGAGATCCACATTTTAATCCATATGAATAAGTTAACGATTCTCTTACAGTTAATCCCTGATGAAGCTGATCCTCTTGAGGGATAAACGATTTGGTTACTTTGGATTTACCTCTACACATGATATCACCTTTAAGCCCTTTCTCCCTGATTCCGGCTAAACATTCAATTAACGTTGATTTACCTGATCCTGAAGGTCCCATGATTGCTGACAATTTACCTGATTGAAATGATCCACTTAAATTGTGTAGTATTTTTTTCACACCAAAAGGTTGATTCAAGTTTTCATAATTACGTTTACCTTTATAACGATTGATTAATTTATCAACCATCGTTGGGTAAACAGAGTAATTAAGATTAAACCAATCGACACTGAAACTTGGCTCACAATACAAATAATTATCAAATGAGATTAACTCATTGGGATCACGATTAGTTAATTTGGGATTAATTTCAACAGATTTAACCAGATTATTGTTATTATTATTATTATTGTTATTAATCATGGTGATAAACTTAACAGTTACAATTAATAGTTACTTTTGATGAGTTAATTGACGATCAATGTAATATCATGATCATTGTTAAACTTTTATCATATCAAACAATTAAAAAAAAAACTAATCAATTAAAATGAATATTGATTGTCACCAATGTTTATAAGTTAACTTTTTTAAAATACCACTGGCAAAACAATTAACTTTAATCAGAGGCTCCATTTCATTGTAATGAAATTAAAACATCAAATTAGTTGATTGTTGCTGACGTTTTTAGTTAATTGTTGATCGTGAGTCCAAATTAATCAGATTTTTTTTTTTCATTTCTCGCTCTCTCCCTGTTAATTAATCCACCTGAACAATTGACTAATTACTTATTAGTCTTATTGTCATTTATACAACTACTTATTTTCAACTTGATTAAATACATGATCAACAATGGGAAAATTATATTTGTATTCAATTGTTACAATCAAACTTAATTTGTTAACACAGTTGATTAAATATCAACAATTTACAATTTGATTAATTAGATTGAGCTTTTAGCGCCATCTTCAGGTTGAAAATGAAAACAAGTGTATCTTAATTGTAATCAAATTATTAATAATTAAGTTAATCAAACAATTTAATCTAATAATTGTTCAATCAGTTGTAATCAATAACTTTTGAGCCAAATTTAAGGGAGTGAATTAAGATTTAATTTAATGATTTAACCGTAATTTAGTTGTTAATTGTTACCAACCAGAATACTTGTCAATATAATCAATTGTTGATTCAATTGTTTAATTGTTTTGGGGAAATGATTGTTTTACTTTTACACTATTAAAATCTTAAACTAATTTAATTATCATTTGCTTATGTCATGGTTATTACTGTTACTTACAATTAAATTGTTAAATTAGTTGACAATAAATTTACTCATAATTTGATCATTTTAATAAATGACAACTTTATCAATTAAATTGTTTTAATTAAACAATGATTACAACATTAATTATAACCTCTCATGATTTCATGTTTACATCATTCAACTAATCTAATCAAATTAACAATAATCTAACCTAATTAGTGTTCTTGGTCTATCCCAATCCAATGACAATAATGATTATTGATTAATTATCAGGTATCGAAATGAAAAACAATCAATATTAATCAGAGAAAAATGTAAATGCAATCAAATCAATTTGTCTAACAATAGTTAACAAATCAATCTAAATCAATGAAAACAAATAATGGGAAATAACAATTTTTTTATCACAATAATTATTGATCATGATTATGATTATGATTATCAATGAAATCGTTTATCCTAATCAACTGAATTGTATAAATAATGAATGGGATAAATTTTAATGACTTTGGTGTTTTCCAATTAGTTTCAATTGTATCAATTAACTTAATTGCTTATTAATTTACCGTTAGGAAAAGTTTGACATTTTAGCCGAAAGCAAAAACCAAAGCGAAACCAATACAAATGTCAATCAAATTGAATATCGTCCATAGTATTTGCTTAATTGTGATCAGTTTAAATTTGATTGCATGTGCACAAAGTGAATGGTCTTATTCAGCAAACGATCCGGATATTGGTAAATCTCCTTGTGAATTAATTGAGTCTCGTAATTTTATCTGTGAAACCCATTGGGTGACCACTTCCGATGGTTACATTTTGACCGCTTATCGAATCGTAAATCCCGTTATTCAAAAAGCGGGGAAAAAGACAATTAAACCCTATGTACTTCAACATGGTCTCTTTGGGTCAGCAACTCATTTCCTAACCAATTCTTTAGGTGGTCAAGCCGATGATTGGACTGTTGACCAGATTAAAGCAGATTTAAATTACGAAGGTCGCAATTTAGCTTATCTCTTAGCTAATTTCGCTTATGATGTTTGGATTGTAAACTCAAGGGGAAATTGTTTCTCAAAGAATCATACTCAACTTGACCCGAAACGAGGTAATTAACAATCAATTGACCATCTAGACAATTAGAAGGTTTAATTTTTCTCAATTAACTTTCTCTAGACTCAAGTTATTGGAGATTTTCATTTGATGAAATGATCGCTTTCGATACTCCCGCTTTCATTGATTATATTTTAGAAAAAACTGGTGCAGGTAATTGTGTTAATTGCTCGATAGATTGATCATTAATTTGCTAATAATTGTGTCTTGATTAACTTATTTATATTGAAGAGTCTCTTGGTTGGATTGGTCACTCTCAGGGTACATTAGTCATGTTCGGGTTTTTGGCCGAAAGGCCTGATTATACCGATAAAGTATCTCCGTTTGTTGCAATGGCTCCAATTGCTCATGTTGAACATATAACATCACCGATTCGATACTTGACCCAAATACCTGGATTGATGGACTTTTTTTTCACCTTTGGTGGTGAGTTAACATTACCCCAAGTTCTGGTTGACATAATGGCTCAGGCAGTTTGCGATAAAACCGTTATTCGTGAAGCTTGTGGATCATCGTTGTTCTTGGTTTGTGGTTATGATGCTGCTCAATTAAACTTCACCCGAGTTCCCCTTTACTTTAGTCAAGCCTTAGGTGGAACCTCAGCTTGGGATTTACTTCATTTCGGTCAGAATATAATCAACAAGGGATTCTTGAAATTTGATTATGGTGCCTTAGGCAATCTCGCTCAATATGGACAAATTAAACCACCTGAATATAATTTAGGTGCAATCAAATCTGAATCGATTATCCTTCTCGACTCAAATAACGATCCATTAGCTGATCCAGAGGATGTTGAAATATTGAGAAAATCATTGAAAGGTAACAATTGAAAATTTCCTCCCTTAATTATCATGATTTAGTTGCAACAATTAACTTTAATTTCTCTTTGTTAATAGTTCCTTTCACTGAATATCGTGTAACTGATCCTTTGTTCAGTCATTTGGACTTCATTTGGGCAATGGATGTTTACAATTTAGCTTATAAACCAATGTTGGAAATAATTAAGAAATATGATTAACTAATCAATGGATTCTCATTTTAACAATATCAATCATTCAAAATTTGATGTATTATTATTTTTAAAAAATATTTGTTTTATTTTATTAATTAAAATATAGTATAAGTGATAAATCATTGCATTATAATTTTATCATGTTGACAATCAAACGAAACAATCAACTGATTTTGATGAAACAATATTTGAATTGATTTCCTATTGAATTTAATTGTTCCAACAATCATACGATTTTGATAACTGTTTTGGTTAATTATCAATGGCTGAAAATATTGCCAACAATACCAATGATTGTTATATTGATTGTTATTGATTGTTATTACTTTATTGTCTATCAATTTGTAGTTTAATCATAAGTTTCTGTGAGTCTAATCAATGATACAAATCAAAGTTTCTCTCACAATTACTACTAAATCATTGAAGTTGGATCATTGTTTTTTCATGTAAATCAAAGTAAATATAATTAATCTCCTGATGATCATATTTGTTGATTTGCACGTTATTTTTCACGTGCAAATGACGAAAGAAACTGTTGAGTTGGGTTTCTGTTGAAATTGCACCCAAATGGAATAGGAGTTATTGTTACATTGAGTATCAGTTATATGAATGACAACTTATCAGAAATGATTGTTATGTTTATCAAAATTTATCTTAATCATGATTAACTTAATTATCAGAATAAAAATTAAACTAAATTTCAAAATGAGCAGTTAAAAGTTGTGTTAATCAGCAGGGAGATGGCGCAACCGTCAGAAACTTAATTATACAAAATTAAAAGTTTTATTGAGTAACAATTAACTTAATCATTAATTAGAGACATCTTATTATAAGTAATAGGTGAGTTTCTGTTATTGAAACAATCATTACCGTCATCATATAGTTAATTAAATTAAGATTAATTGTTTTACCTTCTCTATGAACAAGTTATGTCAATTTAGTTTTTTTTAAACTAATTAAATTTGTAGACAATTAATTAATTGCCAATAGGAAATTGAATTTCATTTATGGCAATTATAATTGATTGATTTAGAGTTTTTATTCAATGTAATTAAATAGATTATTAATCAAATTTAAAAGGAAATCTGAGTAAATTAAATGCATTTAATTAGATGAAATCAATCATTTTACCAACGATTAACAATTAACACTTCATCAGTTGCAAATTTAACTGGATTAACTTGGATAAAAAAAGTTAATCATGATTAAATTGTTTGAGAATTAATATTCAATCAGAAAAAAAACAAACAATAAAAATTAAGGAGATAAAATCACAATTAACTTAATTATGACGGAAAATTAGATTGTGAAATGATCAAATGATAGTTAATTACATTGATTGATTTAAGTTTAATTTGGTCTTTCTTTCCAGCAATTAAGCTAAATTGTAATCAAACATTTAAATTATTTTTTTTTCTTATTCTTTTAGCCAAAAAAAAACTTAATCGTTATCAATCAGAATCAACCCTTTAATTACAATATTTAAATTGTTAGCTAATATCTTATTCCTTAACTATCATTATAATCAACAATCATAACTAAATTAATTTTAATTTTGTTTTCTTTTTGTTTTGTTTTATTCATTATTAAATTAGATGTTAAATTAAAAGCCAAATGGATGACTAAATTTAATAGTAATTAACAAAATCATCTTAAGCTATGATACAATTAAAATTAACTATTTTCGTTTACTAATCATATTAATTTACAATTGATTTAGTTTGAGAATTAAATTATAATAAAATCATAATTATCTAGCAATTGCTTCTGGTCTCGCTTCAATCTAATTGCAAGGTGACCTGAAGCAATTAGTTAATTTCTGACTTGATTTAGTTTCACATAAAAGGTTGATGGTTATCATTATCATCATTGAGATGATTTAACAATTTAACAAATACTGATCATTATGATCAAGACAATTATTGATTAACGTTGACAATTTTCACATATATTTCATCTCATCATCAGTTAATTGCAAAATAATTTCAAACTAAATTACTTGAGACTGTTTCTAAATCACAACAATTAGCCTTCAATGTGAGTTTGATAATTGTTTCAAAGTTTAAAAAATAAACAGTAAAATCAATTTACTGATTGTAAACATGTTAAAAATTAATCACCTCGTAATCTAAAACTGAATTAAGATTAAGATTAAGAATTAATTTTACCAAAGATTGTAATATATAAGCAATTAAACTTAAATCGAATGAAATTTTTTAATTTTTCCCATATCGTTATGTATCTGATTAACACTTTAATTAATTAATCTTTTAAATCATAAATAATATAAATTAATTGCTACCAAAAGTTTCACTTAATCGTGATAATAACAAGAACAAGTATTGATACGAAAATCGAGAAGTAGTTGAAACAATTAAGAAGAAATTAATAACTAATTGCTAAAGGATTAAAACGGACAATTAAAGGAGAGAAAAAGGTTTTCTAATGTTGTGATTAAGTGTTAAAACTTTGATTAACCATTAAATCATGGTGACAATCAAGGAATCAGGGTGAATATTGATTGATATTTCTTTTCGTTTCTTGGTGTTCTCAATGTGAATGCTGATTCTTTGGCCCAGTTAACCAAGAAGAGAATTGAAAATTTCAATAGCAAATCGCGAAAAGGAAAATAAAATATTAATATAATAAGATTGAAGATTCCAATGTTTTTGTTAAAAGTTGTTAATCATAATCGATTAATCCAGTTTCAAGGATAAATAATCAACATAATCATCAGAAAGCATCAAGAGAAGCAGCAAAAAGTTAATGAAAACCTTGAAAAGATGAATACAAGGCCTAAGAGTTTCTTGATTATCATTAATATTAAATATTATCTTAATTACTGATGATGAGCAATTCTAATGGTTTTTTTTTGTTCAATATAATTAACGTGCTATTTGTAAGCATATATTAAATTTTTGTTACAATTTGTACCTGACCAATTGTTTTATTGGATCAATAAAATATCAAAAAACATTAAAAGACATCTTCTTATTATGATTAACCCTAAGGCAAGATTATAATCTTAATCTATTTAATAAACGATTAAGCTAATGGTTAATATGTTATAACATCACTTTCATTGTCTCTAATCATGTTGATCCATTTTGCTAATCCAATCAAAAGATGAAGATGATGATGATGATGATGAAGATAAGATATTTTTTTCCGCCTCGCAACAGGTAAAAATCATCAGGTCTTTAGCATTAGAAAAAGTGTCTTGGATAATAAACTAATGCCGATGTGTTAACTTTCAGCGTCCGAGGCCATCGGGAATTAATGGTTGATCCATGCTGAGTTTTTATCTTGAAATAAGATGGGAAACAAATGAGAAAATGATTATCTATCATCTTTCAGGGTGGTCCTAAATTGCAATCCTCTCATCATCATCATCATCATCATCATTAGTTAATCATAGAATCCGCTGTGTTACAATAATGAATTAACCTTTTTTTTTATTAATATGCACTTTTAATTCAATTAACATGGAAAAAGTTTTATATGTAACAATCGTTGCAACGAAACTTTATTCAAATTTGTAACATTAAATGAGAAATGACATTTCAATTGTTAATTAATAGATTCTAATGATGATGATGATGATGATGATGATAATCATAGGTGTTCATTTAATGATGATGATGATGAATATGATATCAGAACGATTCTGAAAGCGATTCTTTTGAATGGACAAGACTTCGAACTGGCTATTAACAATTACGATTTAAGAAGATGATCATTAAAATGATGACAAATGATCGGATGACAAGCGGGAGGTTCAGGTATTCAGATTAATTAAATTATCGTTCTTTTTATTAATTTAATTGAATAACAGAATATAAACTTGATAACAAGTGGAACTTTTTTGTTAACTGCAAACTAAACCAAACTAAAATTTTCTTCATGAAAATCTGCAAACTTGAATTCTAATAAATGAATATTGGTCATTCTGTGTCCATCTTATTTCCGGGAAGATTTACCTATTCATCTTTCAATTGATTGGGTTTCTAAGTGAAATATTTAACTTGTAAAATGAGAGAGAGAAGAAAAGAAGAAGAAATTTGCAAAATTGAAAATAGCCTAAGGGGTTAAATGACAAGCTATTACTTTGGTTTAGTTTTTTTGCTTAGAAACAAGAAATCCAATGGACGATCAAAGATACAACTTACTTGTTAGTTACTAAGAAGAAGATGATAATTGAAGTGATAAAATAAGATGTTATTTGTTATTATCCAATCAGTGATTATCATCAAGGTGGAAAAGTAAAGATTAAGATAAATGATGAAGGTGAGAAGAAAAATTTGAAAACAATCAAACATGACTTACCTTTGATTGTCCATCACTGGTCAACAATTGACAAAGATACTAAGGCGATATAATTGGAAACCCAAACCTCCTTTAAATTAATAGTTATCAAATGGCCACCTATTGATAAAAGGAGAGAAACAATTTGCTCTCACTCTCTGATTCTCTCTCTTTTCCAGTGAGTTGGTGATCATCTCCCTCTTTTTTACTCTCTCTCTCTCTCTCTCTCTCACTCATTATTATCCCGACAGTTAACGGTAACAGAAGGGTTGATTTCCTCATTACAGTCACTTAGAAGAGTAGAATCTAAGTGAGAGAGAGAGAGAGAGTGAGAAAAAGTAACCGAGAGAGAGAGAGAGAGGATGAGAGAGAGTCTGGGAGCGGAGAGAGAAGGTTAATTTAGTTTTTACCTTGTTCTTTTTTTTGTTTTAACTTTTTATCGATTAATTAGAAAATAAACTAATTCGTTAATTAGATTGGAGGTGGTGGTGGTGATTAATTTTAGATAAATCAAATTGGATGGTTAAGTGATGCGGTCCTCAACTTTAATCTTCGGGTATCTCACCAATGAAGAGAAAGCGAATGTAATTAAAACATTAATTTTTCTCTCTTTTCTTTTAACTCGGTTTTCTAATGTATATGGAGAAATATCATCGCCATCTTCATCTTCATCTTCCTCTGATTCATTTGGAGATAATTTTTTAGAACAATCAACTAATCAACTGTTACAATTACACGATAATCATCACCACCAAATAGACTCTCATCATCAACAACAACAACAACATCATCATCATCATCATCATCATCGTCGTCGTCGTCATCATCGTCATCGGCATCATCATGGTTCCAGGTTAATTAATGATCATGATGAGATTGATTCTAGGAAATTATCATCAACTGATTGGATTAATAAATTGATTAAAAGTGATGGTGATAAACTTTGTGCTGGTTGTGCATCTTTAGATGATAAATTGTTTATTAAACTAAAATTAGAAGCAATTAAAAATCAAATACTATCTAAATTACATTTAGATACTAAACCCAATGTTACAACACAATTAACTGATTCAATGGTAATTGATACTTTATTAGAATCTAAATCTATTCAATTAAAAAGAGATGATGTATCATCATCTTTCATCTCAACTTCATCTTCTTCTTCACCATCATCATCAATACTTTCATCTTTATCTTCATCACCTTTAATTTCATCGCCAAATGATGGTTTTAATCAACCACAACAACAATTAAGTCAACCATATTTAGGTAAAAGTCAATCATCATCAATTAGTAATTCTAATCAACATCCTTTAGATAAACAAAATGATTCATCAGAATCAGCTGATGATTATTATGGAACCACATCTGAGATAATTTCATTCCCTGAACCTGGTAAGTTAATTGTTTAATTAATCACTTCACTAATTAACCAGAAAATTTAGTTTATCCTCTGAACCAATTGGTTAATCAATTTTAAATGATTCTAATGTTAATTGTTGCTGATTATTACTTGCAAATAATAACTCAACTCAATTTCTTGGTTAATCTGTTTGATTTATTAGAAATTAATTGTTAATTGTTATGATTTATCCGAGAAGGTTATTATTATCTGAATATATATAAATTAACTTTTTTTAAATTGTTGAAAATTTAAAATTTAAACCAATCAGGTTAATTGTTACTCTCCTAATGATATATATATTATGATTGTAGCAATTAAAATTACTCGAGAGACAATTTAGTTGATTGTTATATATTATCTTTATCAATGACAATTTTATTTAAACAATTAAGTTAATCAGTTATGTTATTTACTCACCATTAATATTATGATCCATGATAATTAAGTTAACAAATCATTCAATTGATTGTTACCAAACAAATGAAATGTACAATTTACTAATTACAAGATTAACCAAATTATTATCAAGTTTTTTAAGTTGACAGTTAAATTGTGATCATATTAGTAAATTATTATAATTAATATTAGTTTAATCATTTACCCAATCAAAAATTATATACCTCAGGCTGATTTGTATTGTATTGTTGGTAATTTATCATTGATTATTGAAAAGATATTAACATTTTATTGATTAATTTAGTTAATTGCTGGTAAAAATTGTTCACAGTTATAATAAATTGGATGGATAATTTTTTGATTAATTGTGTTGTTTAAAAAACAATAATTTACTAATTAGAAACCAGAATTTAAACCTTGATTGTTGATTGAACAGTTCATAGTTGCTACAATTAAACTCTATCATTATCATAATTAAAAATAATAATCAATGGTAGAAATGGATAACTGGATTTAATACCTTAATCATTATGATTAGCTTACTAATTACAATTTAAACATTAAACAACAACAACAACAACACTAATAGTAATTAAAAAGCAAATGGAGAAAGTAAATTTAAAGGGTTAATTATGTTTAATTTGATTGTATTGTCAATGATATTGAGGTTAATTAGCAAGGTAAATACACTTTACCTTTTTGTTTATTATTAAAAATGAGCAACAATGTTCATTAATATGGAAAGATAATTGATCCTGATCAATAGTATTCACGATTGATTAAGTAATTAACTGAACATGAACTTGAATATACTTATTATATTGGATTACGATCAATATATTAAATGAAATATATATAAATGATATTGAGAATTAATCTAATTCTAGTTGTTGTTAATCATTTAGCATTCACCTGATGAAATTTGATTGACAATTGAAAGTTTTAGGTTCGTTTCATGTCTAATGTCTGAATCCCAGACAGAAAAAAGGAAAAGCCTTTAATTCAGTTCCATTATCATTTTTTTCACTGAATTTTCAGTCTAGTCTGAAAAAAAGTTAATTATAATTGAGCAGCAATTTGAGCATCAAAATCATCATCATGTTAAACACACACACACATACATACATACATACATACAGGTTCATCTGACATGAATGAATTGTATCAGAATTTGAGAAAACTAAACATGATATGAAGCCTTGAAATCGATAAGAAGAAAGTTAAATTGTAACAATTTAACTTTCTTCTTCTCTGCTGTTTATGTTACATAGTTGAAGATGATTTCTGATGATTTGTGGTGATGAAGATGATGAGATGAAGGCCGAACGCCTCTGTCAATCTCAGCCTTGGATAATGAAACATGAGAATAAAATAGAAGAAAAAAAAAAGTTAAAATGATAGAAATATTGTATTAAGATGATTAGATGAATTTCTATTGGGACTCTGATCGCCCTGGATCGTGAATTTAGACAGAATCAATGAAGATAATTGAGATGAATAACCCTATGAATTGATGATAGATTATCGTGAATCAAGGTTGGGTTTTTAATTGTTGAACTTTCAATTTTTTTCCTTCTCTTTTTCCTTCATCAACAACCATTATTATCCCTAAATCACTTTACCATTTCTCGAAGCTTAATTGTTGTTTTTAAAAGGTAAATATGATTATCCAATTTAACACTTTAATTGTGATTAGAAAGCATCTATCGAATGAACCAGTTCAATATAATAACAATAATAATAATAACAAGAATAGTATAATACATATTCACTTTTCGTAAGAAAAAGTTTCGCAAAAACTTGAATTTTGTTTCGGGAACGTTGATTAGCCCTTAGGCATTTTCTTTTAATGTTTTGTCAAGATTCATTTTTCTTCTTCTTTTTCTTTTAATTTCTGTTAATCAACAATTAATTACAATCACAAATTTTAATTCCTTGCTCAATCTTATCAATCAATTGATTCCTCATTCCAATAATTACAAATAATTTGCTAATTGTTGTCACTTTGCTTTCCAATTGCTAATTTGACTTTCTCTCTCTCTCTCTCTTCATATTATATTGATTGTTTCATCGATGATTAATAAATTGTGATCATTTAAATGTAATTCTGAGCACAGGTAAAAACTTATCATGTTTATTTTAATTATCAACCGAATCACAATCTCCAATGATAGTAACATGTAAACATGAATTAATTTGCTGATTTTTTTGTTGTTTTTTGACTTGTTCAAGTTAATTGTAAATATCATTAAACCACAATTTGATTGATTATCGACTCAACTCAACGGGAAACCACATTATCTATAAGCAATTTACTTATTCTTGCAATTAATATATTAAGATACGTTATCATTAACTAACTATTATGATTAACTTAATTACCTCTGTTATTATTATGTTTTTTTTTGTTGATTCTTTGATTAGTTTTTTTTTCTCCTTCTTAATTGTAAACAGTTTTTGATACTCTAATTATTTTCCAATCAATCTAATTTATATTTATAACTAATTCTCTTAACAAAAAATTAAGCATTTCAATTATGTTTGACAATTAATGTTCATTTTTAAATTTCACGTATCGATTAATACAATTTATCAAATCAACTAAACTTTATCATTCAGTTAATTGTCACAATTAAACAGTTTGTAAACTTTTTTCCCTTTTCATCTAATTTTTACCCACGATAACAATTAACCTTAATTAAAATGCATTAAATTGTTCCTAAACTTTAGGTCAATGGTATTGATAGATTAATTGTTTCTCTACCTGCCCTTTGACCAGACATGAAAGATTATTAATTAATTATGATTAAAATTGATTCCTCTCATTATATTGATTATACTTGAGACCATTAAATGGTTGGGTTGTCATTAGTTTTTCCCAGGTAATGAAAGGGTTCAATCTCATTGTATATATGATTCCAGGTCGATGGCATCAAATTTCACTGGTCACACCTAAACTTGTTAATTATCAAGTAAAAAAAAAAAGTTTAACTAATTATATAAATTTTAATTTGATTGATTAGCTTTGATAATTTTACTTCAAGTTGAATCTTTATTATTATCAACAGAAATATAAAAAGTTCGAGATTTTCAATTTTCCACCGATAGATGTCACTACATAGACGAAAATTAATTTCTATGAAAAAGTTTTTCTTTTCTTAGTTTATCTGATTAATTTATCTGTTTAATTGTTATCCTCTTAACAGGTATTCAAATTAATGGACATACTTTATTGGAATTTACTTTACCAAATACCAATATTGACTTATTGGATGTTATATCGGCTAAATTATGGGTTAAAGTTGAACCATGGGAGATGAATAAAGTTCATAGGAAACCATTGGAAAGCCAAAAAATTAGTTTATTCATATTCGCTGCTCGAAACATATCAACCTCTCCAAATTTAGATAATAATAATATTAAATTAACTGGTGATAGTTTAACATCAATCAAAGGAGTTTACTTTGATCGTATATTGTTGAAAAAAGTACCAGCATCAATTGGATGGAAACAACTTGATTTAACATCTGAGGTACAACGTTGGTTCCCGTCTAGAACTAAATTATCCTTGATGATTGACTGTTCCGGGTGTGAAGGTAAAATTAAATTTCTCTTATTTGATCAGAATGAAATTAAATCGAATAACAAAATGAAAGTTAATTCAAACTCAAACAACAACAACAACAGTCTAGTAATCAAATTGAAAATAACGGTTCAATTTGGAAAGGCCGTTCATCACCCACCCATAGTATCATCACCAACAACACCAAACAAAGTTTATCATCATCATTATCATCATCATCAGGATCTCATGCTCATCTTCCTTATTTAATCATCAAAACGAGACCCAAAAATTTGAAAAGGATGAAACGTGAATTCCCATCAACATGTGATCCCAATTTTAAACACTGTTGTGTTCAACAATTGTATGTTAATTTTACTCTTCTAGGTTGGGATTCATGGATTATCTCACCCCCAGGATATCATGCAGGTTATTGTTCAGGCGACTGTTCAAAGCCCATGAAAACACCAGATATTTATAGTTGGTACCATTCCTATGTTATGGACAGTTACAGGATCGCCAATCCTTATGCTTCAATCTCACCCTGTTGTACACCAACTCGACTGGAACCCTTGGAAATATTATACTGGGTGGGACATAATGTTGTAGCATCTAAACTTCCCAATATGATTGTCAAAGAGTGTGGGTGCTCATAATCCAATAGTCAACTAACTAATTAACTAATTATCTTTCATCCTTTTGTTTTCCTAATCAACACACACAAACACAATTCTTGATTTAATTTCATTCAGTTTTCTATTAGTAACAATTAAGACACCGTTATGAGATAATGATAATAATTGCTAATAATAATAAGGAAAGATAACATTAATTTCATTGATAGAAATTAAAAGTGATTAAGTTAATTTAATCGAGTTCAAATTAATTAGAATTGTTTTTCTGATTCTTCTCTTCATTAGAAACATAATTTAGTTACACAAATTAATTATCAATCAATATAATCATTTAATTCATTGAGATGAAGACAATTTAGGAAAACAAATTAAATTATTTCACGTCAATTGCAATTTAATCCACTGATTATGACGTCTACCCAATTAAGATAAATAATTAATTGTTGATACCAATCAATTAGTCAATAATTAACTTTTTCATCATAATTTGAAAATGATATTTTGATTAGCCTTTTAAATTGAATAATTAATTTGCCGCTTTAACTTTTTTTTTCCTCTAGTTTTTTATTATTATATTTTCTCAATTACAATTAACTAATTAATTTGATTAGTTGTAAGACTTTCTCTCTCGCAATTATATTCAATTATGTTTGTTTTTTTAGATTGAGTTCACTCAGTGAACAAGTGAATTAATCAATCAATGGATAATCAATAAGAATGAGAAACAAGAGCATCAAATGCTCAAAATGGATTAACAATTTAATCAACTGGATTAAATCACAATCACAATCACAATCAACAATCAATTGTTTCAAAAGAAAATTAATCCTTATATTATATAGATACTCAATTACAATTTGTATTACCTGTTAATCAATGAAAAAAACTTCAGGATGATTAAAATTATTGACGAAAGTAAAAAATTAACTTTACATGATAAATTAGCTCTTAAATTGTTACATTGAAAGTAATCATAATCAGCTAATCAACCAACAAGGAATCCCCTTGATTTAATTGACATGATAGTAAATGAAAAAATCTCTTTAATTTAATTCACACACAATAACTTAAACTCTAGTTAATTGTAATCACACCCTTTGGAAAAAAAAATAATTCTGATTGATTGATTAACTTAAATTGTTACCATTAGTTATTAACAAGAATCTTAATTATAACCAATAAATTGTTTGTTTAAAATTTTTGCTTTTTTATTTCACATAAATAATTAATCATATATAAAACTTACACAATTTCAATTGATCGCAATGAGAATGGTAACTTTAAATTTAACAACAATTAGTTGATTGTTTGACCATTTAAATCCTTTCATTTTTGTCCAATGGTTAATCCAGTCAATCAAATCTTGGCTTCTTAATCAGTTCTCCTGGTTTATCTTAATCCACCAAAGAGATTAGTGATATCCATGGCATGAACTGTATCCCATGTGAGGTAAACTGTTGATGGGAAGAAATTAAATGATTAATTAAACAATTAGAATCACAATTAAACACTGGTCAAGGTTGATTAACATACTAAATCGGGTATGGGACAGTGTGTTGGTGATGATGGTCACTTCGGGATCCCATTAGATAGCCAAGGATTAAACCTTCACGATACCTTCGACCTGCCAAGCAAATGGTAAATGTGATTGAAAGGATTAACAAAACAATTGGGATTAATTTTGAAGAGAACATTTTTTTTTTCGTAAAACTTTAATCAGCTGATTGTGTTGTTTGATTGTTTGATTGATTCACTCAATTCAACTGATTTGTTAAATTGTTTGCTTCGCCTTTTATATTTATCAGATTAGGGTGAGCAATTTAGCCTCTCATTGGGTCCAAATTGATTGTCAACAATCAAAAAGTTGTCATTTGATCATAATTATCGATTGACATTTAATTTTACAATAGAGAGATAATTGTGACCTGGAAATTGGTTAATAATAATCTCAGTTTAATCAGTTACAATCAAATATTAATCGGTAGACTTAATTGTTTTATCATCGTTTCATTTTAATTCACAATTTAATCAAACCCGAATATTAGTTTTCCATTTCTTGTAATCATCGTATTTGTATTAACGATAATGTTCAAAGTTTAGGCCAATTACCGATTGATTTAGTGATATTAATTCTGATCATCAGAAAAATCTTGATTAAGGTAAGTGAAACTTGTCTAATTGTTGCCGTTGATTTAACTTCCGTACTTAATCATTTAACATTTTTCTTTTTCTTCTCAATAGTTATCGATTTTTATAATCTTAATGGTTTCCAAATCGTAATGATTAAAATTTAAGTTGCAAGGTGATACAATTTGAGTAACAATTAACTCACCAGTAGTTTTGTTTTATCGACTCTAATGTAATGAAATACGTTTAATTGTCTTCAATCAAACTAAACCATTTACTGATCAAACAAATGACATTAAATTATGCGACTGTTAAAGGTTGTTTGTCGTTATTGCGATTTAATTAATAGTCAATGCCTCTTTGATTAATCAACAGTTTCGAGATCAATCGGAAGTCATTTGTTCACCGTTAAATTGAAAGTTCAGTAGGTCAATGATTACATTGAATTTTGAGTCTCATATATTGAAATCGTCTATTTAACCGATGCTCTGGTTAATTAACCAGAGTAACTAATTGTATAATAATAATAATCTGAGATTATGTGACCTATGGTCCTAAGTTTAAGTTTCCTTGGTGATCTAAAACATGAATACGCTGTATATGGAGTATATTCTGAATAAAAACAATCTTAATCTGTGTTAATTTGATTGTACCATTTTAATTTTTGATGTTAGCGTGAATTCTGTTGATTCATTGAATGTCGATTAGTTGTTACAATTGATTAGTTTTTGAGATTATCGCACAATTGAAGGTCCAATAATCCACAAGCGTATTTGAATAAATTTCGATTATCCTTAAGATCGGTGATTACAGTTTTCCAGTCGACGTCCTTTGATCCTGATTCTGATTTACTTGATTCGAGATAATTAACTAAACCATCGACATCACCGGAGTAGATGAATTTCAAGATCTCTTGTTTATGGTCCAAAATGTAGGAGACTAAAGTTTCTCGATCAACAGAGGCCAATGAAGTTCCTGGTCCAGTGTTTCGAACAGCCCAAGCAGCTAGAGAGGGGACTCCGTGTTCCTTTTCCTCGGTTTGTCCAGTGACCTTTTTTGCCAAGATCTTTGCGAAAACGGCAGTCCAGATAACTCCGGATGTTCCTGATTCTTCAGCGTTTTTCTTCAAGAAAAGAGTAGCACCAATGATGTTATTACTGTTGTAGTATTTGAGGAATTCTTCTCGGTGTTTTTCGGTGAATTTGTAGAAAGTACCGGCTTTGATTTTAGCGGCTTGAGAGTCTTCTTCAGGATCAGCAGCGGCCCAAAGTAACAAGGGAATGGGTTCGGTAACGGCACCACTTTCATCGGCTGTAAGATTAATAGACAATCAACAATTAGTATAATTAGACTAATAGAATGATAGAATTGAGTAGAAACACTTTACCTGAGACAATGAGAGCTGGAAGAACGAGGATTGAAGCGATAACGAGGAACTTGATCATTTTCGATAAATTCAGTTAATTATTGTTTTTCTAATTAATTTTAGATGAACAAAATTGATTATGATTTCTATGTTAAGATTCATCTCTTTTTATACTAATTTTTAATCAATCCAATTTATCATTTGATTGTCATTACAATATGAGATCTTGTGAGTTGTCTAAATACCAAATCAACACATTTTCATTGATGGAAAATTTGATCACCTCTCTCAGTACATTTAGTACTCTTGTTCTGAAAATATGTTGTTAAATTGTAAATTTATGTTGTTATCAAATTAAACGAGTAAATTGTTCAAGATATCAATTATTTGATTGATTGTCATTAGAATGAGAATGAACGTCAGTCTCAAATTTTCATCAAATCTTTTTTCAATTAGTAAACACATGATTAATTTTTTTTCAATAATCAATTAAGAGTCGCAGGAATTTAATTCTTGATTTAATTACGATCGAGGTGGACATTAATGAATGTACACTAGCTAATAGACACCTTGGGACTTGGGAGTATCTATTGCCTCCATTCACGATCGTGAGCTCAACCTCAAGAGAACCTCATAGACATTTGCATTTGGCAATTGCCAAATTTAAATCGTTTAAAATGAGTGAATTAGTGAGTGTAATTGTCCGACCAAAAGTCAGAGAAATTGATGCAACAGTTTGTGAAATATCAAAAAAATTAAAATTTCGTTATTAATGTATTAATATATTGTTAGAACAAGAGCACTGAGTGTACGAGAACAAGGTATCAACGTTGCTTCAGGTGTAATAGTGATAAATTATGCCAGAAAATCAAAATTTTATGAGTATTATCAATGGAAATGTGATAATTTGATAACTAAACAATGAAAATTCAGACACTGACGATGAAATTATGACAATTTTATAACATCTCATTGTAATGACAATCAATCAAATGAAATTGGATTGATTAAAAATTAGTATAAAAAGAGATGAATCTTAACATAGAAATCATAATCAATTTTGTTCATCTAAAATTAATTAGAAAAACAATAATTAACTGAATTTATCGAAAATGATCAAGTTCCTCGTTATCGCTTCAATCCTCGTTCTTCCAGCTCTCATTGTCTCAGGTAAATTGTTTCTACTCAATTCTATCATTCTATTAGTCTAATTATACTAATTGTTACTTGTCTATTAATCTTACAGCCGATGAAGGTGGTGCCGTTACCGAACCCATTCCCTTGTTACTTTGGGCCGCTGCTGATCCTGAAGAAGACTCTCAAGCCGCTAAAATCAAAGCCGGTACTTTCTACAAATTCACCGAAAAACACCGAGAAGAATTCCTCAAATACTACAACAGTAATAACATCATTGGTGCTACTCTTTTCTTGAAGAAAAACGCTGAAGAATCAGGAACATCCGGAGTTATCTGGACTGCCGTTTTCGCAAAGATCTTGGCAAAAAAGGTCACTGGACAAACTGAGGAAAAGGAACACGGAGTCCCCTCTCTAGCTGCTTGGGCTGTTCGAAACACTGGACCAGGAACTTCATTGGCCTCCGTTGATCGAGAAACTTTAGTCTCCTACATTTTAGACCATAAACAAGAGATCTTGAAATTCATCTACGCCGGTGATGTCGATGGTTTAGTTAATTATCTCGAATCAAGTAAATCAGAATCAGGATCAAAGGACGTCGACTGGAAAACTGTAATCACCGATCTTAAGGATAATCGAAATTTATTCAAATACGCTTGTGGATTATTGGACCTTCAATTGTGCGATAATCTCAAAAACTAATCAATTGTAACAACTAATCGACATTCAATGAATCAACAGAATTCACGTTAACATCAAAAATTAAAATGGTACAATCAAATTAACACAGATTAAGATTGTCTTTATTTTGTTTTTTTCTCCAAAAATTTAGATTCAAAACAAAACATTACATGAAATTATCCGTATGTGTGTGAAGATGATGATGATTAAGATTGATTTAAGAATCAATTGGATATTTGAAGTATTATGAACAATAAGATGATCACTTATTAACAATAAAGATAATACAATTAATAGATTTTAAAATCGAGGAACTAAATTCAAGTTGATCAGTTAATCGATTTAGATTTACAAAATTATGTTTCTTTTACAACTGGAATTTCCTTTCCGAGTTTGATAATCATTCATTAATTGTTCATGATTAGTACAAGATGATCAACTTAAATTGTACATTGAATGATTAATTTTAACAATAAGTATAGTTTACCCTTCTCATGTAATTGTTTAGAGTTATATAAATATGAAATATTAGTTTATATTAATTATGATAGTTAATAAATAATTTAGTAGATTTCATCATTAGATTTTGATTTGGACAAAATGAGAAACCTTAAGATCATCATGAAAATTAAGAGTAATTGACAAGAATAAGAAAAAAAACAATAAAATAAAAGGAGGAAGTTATAAAGGGAAAATATTGACAAATGTTGGCCCAACTTCCGTCTTGTAATATCACATTTCCGTTACATCTTTTTCCAGGTCAGTCAATTAGGAATGAGAAAAGTTTCTCCTTTTCTTGGTTTTTCTTCCATGGTGATGTGTTTGTCTTTTCTTGTGGATTATTAATAGTTTGTCAGTGGTGATTTACTGTTGATGGATTAATGTTGATAATCTACATTAATTTAAGAACCTTATTGATCAATTTTCTTGGTTGTTGTCTCATTTCTCGCCAAACATCTTGACCTATCACAGTGTGTCCAAGATGTCGATCTTTCCTTGATCCCGTTGGAATCTCTGGACTTTCAGGGGAAGAGGGAGATGATAAGGAGGCAGCTATGGGATCGGTGGATGATGAGAGAACCAGTAGAAAAGCAGTTTCTTCCGGGTTCCATTGGGCAAGGTCAAAGGTAAGAGCATCTTTCTCTGTCCAGTTTAGTTTAAGGTTTGTTGAGGTTTTCTTTTTCTTCATCAATTTACCTTTGATAAACATCAAAGCTCGTACATAATAATCTATCCATGATTAACATCATCATCATCATCATGGAAATGATGAGCAAGGTGTTGATATGAATTCAAGGTTTAACAAAAGGAAACAGTCATTGGAATCAAGGCCATAGGATAAGAGAGAAAGAAGAAAAAAAAATATTAATCAAATTAGAATCAGATATCAATCGTAATGATGGTCAATTAACTTAATTGTTTGGTATTTGTAACTTACTAGTGTTATGAGATTGACCAGGAAGTGTGGCCTTAGTAGCAACAATCGTTACCCGTCTAGCGGTTGGTAGATAACATAGTCCCAATGTAATGTCACCTTTTATCTAAATTCAGTGAGAATTAAGATCAATCAAGATTGATTAGTTTTAATCCGGTTTGATATGGAAAGGATAAGAAAGAAAGAAGAAAAAAAAGAGAAAGTTTAACTCAATTTAATCCGTAAACAATTTACTATTTTTTTTCCTATTTAATCAACTGTTTCAGTAGATCAAATTTATAACGGTGTTTGTTTTTCTTATTATTGATGATATTATTATAACAGAACTAGAACTTTGTTCAACATTTTCGACCTTCGATATTTAAAGGAAAAACCGTTTTCTTTAATGTCACAATTATGATTAAAGTCTGTCAATAACAGTGAAGAAAAACAAGGAACTAGAATTGGCGAAAGATTAATTGTTAATTAATCCTCGAAGGTATTATAATCGTAATGAGTTGAGACGCAAGAATAAACCTCGATTAATTTGGTAGATTAAGTTTCCATTTTTAGGTCAGATTAATTAGTCAATATAATTTTAGAATCAAGTTGATTGAATCAATCAACTCAAAGATGCAGGTAGGATTATGAATAACAACAACAAAAAGAATCTCCTAACTAATTTGTTTACCTTGGGTGACAATTAAAATGGTTTAGAATATTGTTAATTAAGTTGATTAACTTCTTACCTCTTTCGGTGGTTTCATTTGATATGATGTTAGTACCATTGGACTGTTGAGATCAAATTGTTTCAATGGAATAGTTAATTCACCAAAGCAACAATCGTTGGCATATCTTTCATCGTCCATCACTTTGATCTTAAGGCGGCCATCTTTCATTATGGATTTAGGAAATTCAGGAGATGCAAATGATTCACCGAATTCAGGTTCAACTGATCTTTTCGCAGTATTGGTTCGAAACGAGGCTGAAACCTTGGCCAAAGCTGATCGACGTTTAGCTCGAAGACCGGTAACTGTGGTTACATCGATAGTAACATAAATAGCGGGATCCAAACCATAACCTTTAGGTTTACAATTGTTAACTGAATTTACCTTTAGAATTAATTTAACCAGCGATTCATCAACTTTTTCACATGAAACACCAAATGAAACACAAGGAACGTTTTCTTTACATTCTGTTGACAAATTTTTGTTTACTGATTGTGCTCCTGGTTGAGGAAGTGACATTGTTACCGGAAGACCGTTTGAAGCTTTAATTGCTGATCCATTAGTGTAACCAGATTGTTGATGATGATTATTAACATAATGATAATTTGCTGTTGGATGTTGATGTTGTTTATATGAACCATTGGCCGATTCTGTTAATAGTGATTCTTTTGAACCTAAATCAAGATTAGATCGGGTATCAGGATGATGATAATTAGCTGATTTTTCACAATTAGATCCATACAAGGGGACAACTTTGAGCTGGAAATGTTTAGATTCACCAATGACCACTCTTTGTTTACCTTTAACCTCACCCAAGGGTTTTTTACATCGATTAAACAAAAGCCTATTGAAAAGGCAAATCGGTGAGACAACACAAATTGTGATTATAACCGAAAGAAGGAATAACAATGAAGCAATTAAGATGATAAATATCTTCTGATATTCTGTTAAAACAAAATCCATTTCATCATAATCCGTTGTGGGTCCCATTTCTATTGGCATGGAATCGTTAACAACAATAGGTAATCTCATTAAAGAAGCGAAAAAATCAAAACAAAAAAAAACAAAGATTAACCAAAAATTAATCTACTCAGATGATGAAGATGCTAATGATGGATAATAATAGCAAAGGTAACAGTAAAATTGACCATTAACTGATTGACCACAAGAGTAACTTGAAACGACCACAAAATGACCACAAATTGTAATTAATTGTTTGACAATTAAATTTCATTGGAACCATTGGTTTTCAACTGGTAAACATTTTCCAATCCATTGAATAAACAAACAATCACATTAACTGTTTTCCTCCTTTAATGGAACCAAAAAACCACAAAGATAAATAATCAAATCTAATTGTTGGTTATCTCGCCTGGTAACTGTTCTTTTGGTGGTTAATTGTTCACACAAATTGACAATCAGCTAATGATAATCACAGGAAGAAAAAAAAAGAGAAAAAAAAGACTTTAAGAGAGAGAGAAAGATGAAAATTAGAAAAGAACAAAAAATTTATTCTTTTCAACTGAAATGATGATGCAGATGATTTTCCAATCACATGTTTACTTGTGTTCCAAACCTGAAACAACATTTAACTAACGTAATTAATTGAACATCTTTTTCTTTATTTCTACCTTTGTGATTGATGATTAATTGTTACAGATGAACAATCGAACAACTCTGCTAATTAATTGTTCAAATTTATATTCATCTACATTATATTGGTGATATTTAATTTATTGTCTTCTTTTGGTTTGGTGATTTTATTGTCGACGCCATTTTGATTTCCTTGTGTTTCCCTTTTGGATTTATCATTTTTTTTTTATTCTTTTTGCTTGTTTGATTATTTTTTTATTGTGCCGATTTGTTTAATTACATGTTGGTTAATTAATCGACAATAACTAAAAAAATCATTGGTAATAATAATTGTGTTCTTTTTACATTTGGTAATTGTCTTTTTCTCTTTTCTTTGTGACTCTTGTTTTAATTTCTATATTAACAGATTATTGTCTTTCTTTTTTTGGTTTTAATTGTTTGCTGATATTTGACAACATCTAAATGGTAAAGTGTCATTGAATTGTATTTCTATTAGTAATTATAGTTGATCGTCAATCAATTACATTATCAACTAATTGTTTTAATCGATTAACTATATTTGAATTTGGCGTTAAAATGATTTTCCCTCCATCTTTAAATTACTCAAAGTTCATCTCAATTTCTGAAGGAAAACAAAATTCTCAAAGGTAAGATTTTAATTTGTTTCTTTGTTATATTAATTCCCAATTGATTATATTTATTTTTATTTCTTATTTTTCTTTTGCTTCTTCTCTTTTCAGTTCAACGTTTTCAATATTCCAACATTGATCTTTGATATTCTATTGGTAAACAAAATGGCTGCCAAAAAAAAAGGGTCAAAAAGGAAACCTCATATGATACAATCGTCAATAATAATAACCTTAGGTGGTTCGGTTGATTAGGTTTGACTAGAAAACATATCAAACATGATGAGTGATTCCATTGAATTGACAATGAATGGAAATGTATAAATATAAAATCAATCAGCAACATGACCAATTTCCATGTGAATCTTATCATTGGAAAGAATCCAATTCAACTAAAATGTTACGTCCCTTGTGTTGAAATATGTAAGTGGATAATCAAAAAAAAATTCATTTTCTTTATTGTATAATATTAATCATAAATGTTATTCCTATCAGATGATTCTTTTGATACAATATTATCATTGATGACAATGGATTAACCAGGAACATTAAGCTGACATCAGCTTTACGGATCACGTTGAATCTACACACGAGAAGCTAATGACTTTTTCTTTACCATAAGTTCAAGTTGACTGAACTAAATCACCTTTACATCAATTTCACCAGAATTTCATCTAATTTGATATAATTGAGCTGATACAATCGTTAATGAAGATACACTTGTATATATACAATTACTTCCCTTTGATAATTTGATACAAAGATTATCTAGTAATTTTTGCCCATTACCAATGATCCAAGTGAAAGTTATCACGATATGTTGGGATGAAAATGTTCACTTTGGTTAAATTGTTGCTGTTGTTTTCCAAAAATCATTTTCCAATCATCATCATTAATGAAAATTGCTGTTTAAAGGTTAATCGGTTTTTTAACCTTCTAAATGTATATTTAGTGATTTTCCATTGACTATCAAACACTTTCACGCTTATTGTGAGATATAAGAAAGGAGATGTTTTAACCAATTCCCTTTATACACCTGAATTACTGAATAATCCAACAACACACCAATCAAGGTAATTCTGATTGATCAACTTTCAATTTCCAGACTAATGACTTCTCAACTTAATTGACCTTTGTCTCTATACTAAATTAATTATCTTCATAAACTTGAAATTACCGGAACCATTAATGATTAACTGTTACTGATATTAAATCGCTGGCTAATTGTTATTGTTAACAAATTTGGTATTAACTTTCATCAACCTTATGATTAAAATTGGATTTTAATTCATTAATAAGTTTTGGGGTGTCTCAAGTGAGTGGAAATTGGTTCAAAAGTTGTTAATCTCTTTAATCATTATCATTATTAGACGAAATTGGTTTCAGATTAAACATTAATCTCAGGAAATTAACAAAATTAAACCAACCATTTAATTTTTTGTTGCAAATTGCCGAGATATGAAACAATTAAGTGAAAACTTAACGTTACCAATTAACATATCAGTTGATTGTCCTTTGTGTTTTTCAATAGACCAACTAATTAACAGCTATAATTTTAATCATCTTACAAATATCAGGATAAACTTTAAGTATCCTGATTGTAATCAATGATTATAATCAACAGTTTCAATGAGAAAATTACAACTTCCATTAGCAAAATATTGAACAACTTAAATTGAGGTAACAATTAGACTAATCGTCAGTCTCTTCCATCTGATTATCACAACAATTAAATTTAATTGTGCTGCTGATTCAATGATTATCGTCAATAGCTATTGTCACCTATTATTATTATGTTCAAATGGCCACAAAAAGTAATTGAATTAATTGAATTCTAGGAAAGATCAGTAATTTATTTGATTGATTTGAAGTGAATCAAGAAAATATAATAATTCTGATTGAAATATCAACCACCATGAAACAAAAATTCATGTAGGTGTGAATAACCAGCAATCAAAATGATTGTGAAAATTTCTGAACATTTTTGTTGATTCAGTTCAATAATAAATGAATCCGATTCATCTGATTATCAATTATCAGGGTGAATAATTTGATTCCTATGAATTAATCTAGAGATTAAAATATAAACACCATGAGCCTCAATCAATTTGATTGTGACTGTCAAACTAGATTAAAATCAACTTGAAATATGTAATTTCAAATTCAGTAAACTTCCGATAGATTCATGAGCATGATGATAATATGATGAGGGTGAAAACTTGACAAGAATCGGAAGTGAATAGGAAAATAACCAAAAATGAGAATCGATGATGATTCCCAAACTAATATTATTACTGTTAAAGATAATCTTTATATTCATCTAATTCTGATTATTATTTGAAAGTGAAAAGTTATCATGATTTTCATGTGACATTTTCATGGTAAAAAATGATAATAGCTAAAAGTTTCCAAGCTGTTGAGTGTCAATGAGAATCAATTTTATTACCATGATAAAAACCATCGAGTTTCAATCCTGTTAATGTTTAATCAAAGAAAAAGATGAAGATTAAGTTAATCAGATAAACAACTGAATATCATCAACGACACTTCATTGATCATCCTCTTGACCATTGGTCAAACTAATCTAATATACAATAAATGTCATGATGATGATCTTTATTTTTAGAAAGGAAGAAAAAAAAAGTTCCTACTTGATGATTAACTATCGGTGAAAATAAATAAGGAAACATGATGAAGGAAACACTTTTCATCCTCATCAGCTTCAGATGATGATAATTGATCTTTACCTGTTCAGTATTTCAGGTGAAAAACTTTTATACCACCCAAAAGGATATTAAATGAATACTGATATTTATTCATGTGAAAGTAATGAAACCTCATGAAAAAATGATTTTTTCCAACGATAATTGAAATTTTTGCTCATTCAATCAACAGATTCTCATGGTAACTCTGGTTTAATTATTGTTTCAGTTTAATCCTCTAACCAAAGGGATTAATGATTATCTAATCAACATGTTGCCATTATCATGTAATCATTATTTCATAATTGATTTTTATATAATTGTGCTTCTTGAATTTTGATTAATTACATGTACAGGTAGAGAAATGAAAATTCAAGGTTATATTCAGTTCAATTGTGTAATCAGATTAATCTGATACATGAGCAAATTAGTTTCATCAATGAAATCACTGATTTTTTCGTACTTTTTTTCAGCAATTACTTTTCAATCAAAGTTCTGAAAGTTTCAATGATACTGAGATAAGTAAATGTCATCGGTACTTTTTCCAGTAATTGGTTAAATTGTTAATAATTCAATTCTAAGGTTCGAAAAAAAAAAGTTCTAAGTGAATGAGATTCTCAATCATGAATTGTTTTTGCTTCCTCTTTCTTTCCAGGAACATGATGATGGTGATGATGATAATGTATCTTCCCTGGATGATTATCATGAATACCATGATTTCTTCTTCTTGGAAAAGAGAAAGTTCTAACATGGAGACTCTCGAGTTCTAATACACCTACGCTCAAAAGTGAAAACCAAGAAATCAATAGTCACCATTCAGCCTTTGGGAAACTTTCACATCCCAATTGATAAAATATTCAAATGAATTTTAAATGAATTCAGTTAATATCAATTTTGATGAGTTTCCCTGTTTTATTTTTCTCGATGAATTATCATCAACAATTTAACATGAAAAACAGTTAAGGAAATTGAGAATTCCCTTAATTGTAATTCTGTATCATCATTGCAACTATTGGACTTGATTGATTAACTTAAATTATCATTTTCACCGTCACGAAAACTTTGATTGCAAAATTATCTTGAGATTGTCAACTAATTACAAGTTTTGATTTTAATTACTAACAATTAAAAGGTTTCCAACTCTAGTTAATTTTGATTGATTCATTAATTAGATTTAAAATTTTTGTTTTTAATCAATGACTCAATTTGATTATCTAATCAAATCAATGATGATCAATACAATATAATTCAATTATTATATTCAATCAATAATAATTGTAACTCTAATTGTTGATTGTATATTAATGGTTAAGAAATTGGCCTGTAATAATTTATTAATTGCTGACAAGAAAAATTGATTACAAAATGATTATACAAGACAGTTAATTGTTGTTTCCCATTCAATTGTTTAATCTTAATCTAGTTCATGAACAAATCAATTTAATCCAACATGTATTTACTTAAAGTAAACATAATGATTAATATTATTGATACAAATAAATAATATTTATCATCAATGAAAATGATTATATTTCATTTGATTATGTTCATCTCAACAATCAACTAAATTTAGCCAGAACACAATTTAACAATGATAATTATATTCAATTGTTGATTTTGTATATTAATATATAAATTACAATGTTGAAACATAGTCAACAATTGATAATTGTTATTACTAATAACTGTTAATCATGATTGTATATCAGATTAATTGAAGCTAAACAGTTAATCAAGTAGATGATTAATAGCTTTAAGTTGAGCTGATAATCAAATCAATCAATATGAAACTTAATTATCTGAACAATTTAGTTGAGAGAGATGATGTCAAAGTGTTGATTAACATTGAGACTAAAAATAGAATGACAATTTAACAATTACTTGATTCAATATTCAATCCCATGAACGGTAATATGAAATGTTTACACTGTTGATCATTGATGTTAACAATTTAATGGTTCTCTCATGTTTCTTGTTGATAATTTAACTGAATCGTGTTAATCTGACAACAATTTAAAACGGAATCCATGTTAAAATGAATTCCTAAGCTTATATTTATTTTTCACATTCTCAGCAGAAAAAAATTTACCATGAAATGTTCAGAAAATGTTGATTTCTTTGTGTGTATTTTTCCGTCCTCATAATGTTCATGTGTTAAACTCTGAATACTGAATTTTTCACTCCTTGATTACTATCATCAAGTATATTATTGTTATTCCAGTTGAATAACTATTCAGTCAGGAAATTCATTGGAAACATCAACTGAATATTTTAATAAAACATTCAAATGTCAAAAGTTTCAAAAAAAAAATTCTCAAAATCGAAACAGAAATAATATTAATCATGAAAATTCATATATACTAGTATATAAAGTATCATGCTCTGAAATCAGAACTGTTTATAAATAATAAAATGAAATGTGTCATATGAATATCGTATGAATAATAGCAACTGAATGAAAATAGCCAAAGGCAATAAAGTGAATCTGATTAACTTGAATTCTCATGAAAAGTTGAAGTTGCCGATAAACTGTTAATCAGATTGAAACTAATGTTCTAGTAATTATTTTGTTGTGTTACCTGTTGAGTCTAATTGTATCTACATGTAATCTTCATCCTCTCTCTGTCTGAATTTACTGTCTATCTTTTGGTGAAGGTAAATTTCATGGGGATTCTGAGTAAACCCATGATAAAGTCAACAAAATTCATGGTCAAAACGTGGGCGTTTTCATTATTATTTATCATCAATTTTCAAAGGTATAATATGTTGATACTTTTGATTATCAACTTTTCAGGGTTGATTATCATGATTAAGATTAATTTATGATTAATTGTTGATTTCAATTTCTATTCAATCAATTTTAATCTTTGTAGTAATTAAAATCCTAATTGAATTCCCTTGGACAAGATTAATTTGATTGTACTGTTTTTTTTTGTCTTGATTACTGTTATTAAGTTTGCCACAATTTATATATTAATTACTCAGGTAATTGAACATTTATAAATTTAACTATTCACTTTACTAATTGTTGTGATTAACTTAATAATAATAGGATATTTAAATTGTCATACCACAATGAGATCTGTGATTAACTTGAAGGGTATGATTAAAGTCACGTTGAAATAATTAAATAATCAATATTTTCACTGATTGTGAATGCTAATCAATTTGAAGATGTTGAAGAATAAAAATAAATTGTTATCATTAAGGTTGATTTAGTTTGATTAAATTAATTGATCAAGTCACGTTCAAATGTTATGTTTATCTGTTAATTGTTATAATAATTGATTGGTTGATAATCAATTTGATGATTACGATTGACAATTTTTTTCTTAGAATTGATTGTTACAGTTAATCATAAATTGTATTTGGACAAATTTTTTTCTCATGATTTATTGATTTTCATTTCTTATGATCAATTGTTGTATTAATAGTATAATATTTTTGTTCATTGTTAACACAAGAGTATTGATTAACTGCTCTATTATTAACTAATTGCTTTCATCAGAATTCAATTAACTGTTAAAACAATCAGATTCAATCAAATCATATGAATTGTTTGGATTAATTGTCAGTTGATTTGCTAGATTTTATTATCAAAACAATTTAAAACTTTAATTCAATTAGTCAATCCAACTAATTGAAAGAACCTAAATTTTTACAATTTAACTTTAATCCCTAATTAATTAACTTTCTGCTTATTAACTAATTGTTTTCATTTCCATGAAAATTTCGTTCAACAACAAAAATACTTAACAATTAACTAATTAATAATGTATTTTCATCAATTGTTAATCATTGTGACAATAAAATGTTAATATATCTGTAAATTGTCAACCACTGACCCTCAATATCAAAGTTAATTAACTTGAACACTAATTTATTAGTTTACCGATAGTAAATGATCAAGTTTAATTAAATTAGACGAAAAAAGATTTTCATGATTAACTAATTTAATCTAGTTAATAAAATTGTATATTGTTAATTAGTTTCCTTGTTAAACACTTCAATCAAACCAATTAAGTTAATCATAAACCCGAATCGTTACTTGACCTTTTTCAAAGTGACCGCAACATTAAGATAATTAAATTGTGATTGTCACAATTTAATCACGATAATGTTAATGATAATGAATGTAAATCTAATCAGTATTTGACCTCAATTAAAGTATTAACTTAATCACCATCAGATTATCATTGGGATTATAAACATCATTGGGATAATCTCAATGAAAAAGTTACACAAACAATTAAACTTAAATTATCCCGTTCTAAAAATTAAATACATACAAAGGATTAGATTTAATTGTTAAATGTAAATCACATTTGATCACCAAAAATAACGTGACAATTAACTAACCACAAATTGACAGTATATTGAAATTAACGGTGTAAACATTGATTGGGATTGTGACAAGTTGATCAATTGAAGTAAATAAGATAAACATATGAATGAAAACTTACCTTTTAAATTGTAATGAAATGGGTTTTTATTGATTTGATTTGTGATTTATTAGCCTGATTGATGAACCAATGGATTGAATCAACAGAACTTTTTAAATTAACTCAGATTTGAGAGCACAAACAGAGATAAATGTTGTTATTGTCTATGGAGTTTCTTATATTATTGTAACTTTAAACATGAGGAGAGGAAAAAAAAAGTAAACATGATAACTGAGACTCGGAACTTGAAAGGAATCAAATGTATATCACATTTAAACTTGGAGCAATCGTAGTACCATGAAAGGAGATGATTTTTACCATGTAGTGGATAAAATATCTTCCAGAGAATTCAGGGAGAGAGAGAGAGAGAGAGAGAAAGAGAAGATGAACTGGAAAAGAAAGAAAATGTTTCATCTTCATCCTCTTTCTTTATTTACTTTCTCAATGGGAGCGCATGTATTTTGACCTTATCATGTAGGTAAACCAAGTAATTCCTCTTGTCATCCTCATCTTCCTCATCATCGTCATCATGGATTAAATATATTACTGAAATTCATTCAGAATCAAGGAAGACCTAATATTCAGAATTGGAAAGATAACTGAGGGGGAAAAAAGTTCGAATAAAAAAAAAGTTCGAACCGAGATAAATCTCAGTGTATTGACCTTAGAGTCTAAGGTCATCTCTTTCATGATGATTGACCCTAATGACCATTGTTATCCAATTGTAAATCCATTTAACTATCTTCCTCTGATAAGATTATCATAATTTAAGATCAGTTTCAATTTCAAGTCTCTGGTCAATGACCATTTCTTGATTCATTGATAATCCTCAATTTCACTGGACACCTTAATCATTTTGATAATTTAATCTGATTGTTTCTATTGATAGATTTAATCTTTTACTTTTCTCTAATTTCTAAATATATTAGGTAACATTTATCGAATCGGATTAAAGATTTAATCTCTATGTTGACAATTGAAACCTCTAAAATATAATCAACAATTTGAAGATTAATGTTATTGGATTTAAAGTTAATCTCAAAAAAGAGAAAGTTGAAAATCGTTACCTTTATAATCTGATTTGATCTTGTTAATTTTCAACAACAATTAACTGATAATAACGATGAGAAAATATATCATTAACAATTAAGGCCATTGTGGCAGAATGGTTAACATTTAAATTTCTCTCCATTACCAACAATTAACTTTTAGATTGTTCAAATTAATCAAGTTATCATTTTCTAATATTATTTAATCACCAACCAATTAACACTTTAATCACTCACGCTTGTGTTAATTGTTTTAAAATGGTTCAATGATCGTAGATGTAATAATTAATATCTGAATAAATGATCCTTTAATTCATAATAAATTGTATGTTGAGGTTAATTGTAATTAAACAAAACCACAAGCACAACAATTAGTGAGTAGTGAAAAAAATTTCCACTACATAATAAAAGGATCACAATCAACATTTTAATTCATTAATTTTATGATCATCGTGGTGAAAACTATCAATAAGTATTTCAAATTTGTTGATTGTTTCTAAATCATTGAGGATTAAATATTATTAACCATGGAAACTAAGTTTACCTTAATCTTTGTTTGTTTGTTAATCTGTTGTTGTTGTGTTTCAATCACAATTGGATCAAGAAGATATCGTGAAGGATTAATCCTTGGCTACTTAATGGGAACTCAGGGTAATTCAAATCATAATCACCCAGTTACACCATATCCAATTCTGTGAGTATAATTCATTTACAATTACAATTCTGGTGATTAATTAAATTATCTCTGGTGTATGTATCATAACAATCAACTTTAATCCACGAGAGGTAATTTGGATTAATATGATTATCCATTAAGTTACAGTTTGTATAAGGGAAAAAAAGTTCAACGTGACTTTGGTACATTAGATTTACAATTAAACATCTTAATTGTTACATTGGTAAATTGTTAACACCATTTAAATAATTTAAATTACGATTACAAGGTGATGAGTTGTATATGCAACAATTAAGGTTATGTTGATATTGACTAGGATTCTGATAACTGACCAGAGCTATTGATTAACTGATACTATTTGCTAATGATTGAAACTTTGACTGATTGTTACAATTTACTAATCGTTGTTTTTGTTTTCTTCAATTCTATCAATAGTATTCAACGGCCTGTTGATTATTGCTCAGGATGTTGGGGTTAATTGTGACAATTTATTAACTCAATCTGATCCAAATTGTTTCCCTGGAAATTTTAATTACTATTTATTACTACTTTAAACATTTAATTGTTACAATCAAGATTAATTCTGGAATTATCTTCAATCCAAACATTGGACTCTTATAAAATTAATAATCAAAGATTATCCTTCCAAATGATTACAATTAACCTTTAATTGTTTTTCTCTCTCTTTGTGTATTATCAATGATTTAAATTAAAAAACTTTCAAGATTAAATTGTTTACCTGTCTATATTGACAATTAATTTCTCAACAATTAACTCCCAGATGATTAAGCCCTTCACAATTAACATGTAATTGAATCAACTACCAAACTATTATCATTTTTTTTATCATTGAACGATTTTTAATTGTAAACAATTAATTGTGTACTTATGAATAACAATTAATTAAATGATACCAGGAATAGGATTAGGTATTAATCAATTTAATTAGTCTTAATTCAAACTAAATTAACTGAAAATATCGATAACAAATTTCAATTATAATCCTTGAGATTTTGTTTCATGTTAACTATTGATAATCAATTGATCATGATAATCAACAATCAACTGATTGATTGTTATTGAATAAAGAAAACTAATCTAATTGATTAATAGACAATTTGATTATTCAGATTAAACTTAAATTGAAACAGTTTCTCAACGTTGATAATAAATGAGACTAAATTAGGTAACAAAGCAATTAGTTAATTTCTCACTTAAATTCAATTTAAATTGTTTCCTTTTTCATGAAGTTAATGTAACAATAACTATTACGATTTAATCAACCACTTAAATGTCATTTAATTGACGAGTAAATTGTAACAAATTGTCATTAATTTATCCTTGTAAAATTTACTTAATGTGATGATTAAGATCACAATTATGATCACAATTAAGATTATAATATCATCTAAATCATCAAAATCATCTTATCTCTTCCTCTTCATTAAACTAATCACTTCTTATAACAACAATCAACAAAATCTTAAGTTTTTTGTTTTCCATTTCTCATCTTGGTCTCCAATCAACAACACATAATTTACTTTAATTGTGATTTAGTATTAAGCCCAAAAGTGATTTAAAATCGTTCCAACAATTAGTTAACCATAATCAAGATGCATTGTGAAAATAACGATCAGGTTAGTTTTTAATATTGTGGTTACTCAAGACTTTCCCTCTTAATTGTGATCTAATTCCTATTGTTGTTAATTTCTTCCTCAATCATCATGATTACCATGTTAATCTCTATTGAAAATTGGATTAATTTCAGAGTTTGACCAATGGTTTTGCTAAACAATCAATTCGAGACAAAGAAGCTCTTTGTGTCTTATTTTGTATGAAGGAAAATGTTGGTGCTTTGGCTGAAGCTCTCAGGATATTCAAGGTAAGATTAATCAGTTGATTGTGATTCTAATTGTGAACAATCATCGATGATTATCAATCGACAATTTAATGAATGATGAGAGATACTTTTATTGCCATTTTCACTTGAATAACTTTTTTGCTTTCGCCAGGAGTTTGGTGTCAATTTGTCACATATCGAATCAAGATCATCAAAAAGATTCTCAGATGATTATGAATTTCTCATTGAGATTGATACTCATTCCGAATCAGCAAATATTGACAAAGCTTTGGCTAATCTCCAGGAGATTACAACTTACATGCAAATAATTTCCAGAGAACCAAGAGGAAAAGAATCAGTTCCATGGTTTCCGGTCAAGATAAAGGAAATTGACCGTTTCGCTAATCATGTTTTATCTTATGGCTCAGAATTGGATGCTGATCATCCGGTAAGTGCAAAAACTACAACATGATCATCTAATTACTAGAAAATCGATTCAATTGATCAGCAACAATTTTACTTTTAAATCTTAGGGATTCAAAGATCCAGTTTATCGTGAACGTCGTAAATATTTTGCCGATTTGGCCTTTAATTACAAACAGTAAGTTTTGTTTACAGAAAAAAAATCTCGATTATCGTTATGATTAAGATAACTAATCAAATTGTTGATCATCTCTAGTGGACAACCTTTACCCCGAGTCGATTATACTGATGAAGAGATTGGTACTTGGAGGGCAGTTTACAATCAATTAACTGGCCTTTACCCGACTCACGCTTGTCGTGAACATAATCACATTTTCCCGTTGATGATTGAAAACTGTGGCTATGGGCCAGATAATATACCACAATTAGAAGATGTTTCCAATTTTCTTAAAGGTAAACGTTTCTAAATCAACCATGTAGACAATTGATTAACTTTCAAGATAATTTAGCGTTAATCATCTGTAATTGTTAATTGTTACGGTGCCTTGTATATGTTAATTATTGGAATATTTTAATAATGATATTGATCGTTTTTCTATTCGAACCTCCGATCCAATTAGATTGTACTGGTTTCACTTTACGTCCAGTCGCTGGTCTTTTGACTTCACGAGATTTTCTTGCTGGTTTGGCTTTCAGAGTTTTCCATTCAACTCAATACATTAGGCATGCCTCAGTTCCCCTGTACACCCCTGAGCCCGATATTTGCCATGAACTTTTAGGCCATGCACCTTTATTTGCCGATCCAGCATTTGCTCAATTCTCACAAGAAATTGGCTTAGCTTCATTGGGAGCACCCGATGAGTATATTGAAAAATTAGCTACTTGTTATTGGTTTACCGTTGAATTTGGCATTTGCCGACAAGATGGACAGATCAAGGCCTATGGTGCTGGTCTACTCTCCAGTTTCGGTGAACTTCAGGTAAGAATATTGGAACCAATCTACTAATTAATTATTGAATGGAAAATGTATCAATATAAATCAATATTAATATTCTTATGAATTATTTTGTTCGATGTTCTTTAGTACTGTTTAACTGATAAACCAGAAATTCGACCCTTTGATCCCCATGTGACTGCTGAACAAAAATATCCGATTACAGAATATCAACCAATCTACTTTTTGGCTGAAAGCTTCGAAAAAGCCAAAGAAAAGCTCAGGTAAATTGATTATTCGAATTGACTCTAATTAATGGACATAATTTTTCGAAAATTTAATCTAATTATTTTATCTTATTATCTTCTTTACAGAGAATTTGCTTTCTCAATTCCAAGGCCATTTACCGTTCGATATAATTCTTACACACAGTCAATCGAAATTCTTGATCGTAAGAATCAATTAGAAGAACTTGTTAGGACAATTAAGGGTAAGTTTAGATTTTGAATGTTGTAAATTGCTGGAGATTAACTAATTGTTTCTCACTCAGGTGAAATGGAGATTCTCAATGATGCCATCAGGAAAATTCAATGATTTGGAATCTAAATTTCAACGATAATTATTCAAAAACGATTGTGGCATTTACGATGAAAGAAAATAACAATTAAGATTTTAAAACAATTTGCTCACATAAATTAAATGATTTAATTGATTGCCTATCTAAGCTTTTATTTTGTCCTAACTGAATACAAAATTTATTTCTTAATTGTGATCAATTAGATTGTCTATTTTAACGATAATTCAAGTAGAAATAACAATCGGTGCTATTTTCAGAGAGAGAGAGGAAAATAAATCAACACATCAACTGATTAACAAGAATATGGTTAAAGTGTTTTTAATAGAGTTTTAATTATCTATCGATGATGAGGTCTAGGACCACGACCTGGAATCCAACGGATTGGATATCGTTTCAATATGTTCAAAATTGGTCCATTAACAAATCGACCTACTTGTCGAGCGAAGGTGAAATCCATGTGAGACCATAAAGGATCAGGTAAACGATATTCGGCCATTGGACGATCTGATATAAGAATGAAGATAATAATGGTGATTCGATGATCAGTTTTCGAAATAAAGAAGAAAAAAGTTCTACTCACGTTTAAGTGTCTTACGAACTGCGTCCATTTCCTCCGCTCCACAGAAAAGATCATTTTCTCCCCAGAACATGACCAAGTTACTAGTGTCCATCCTATCAAAATGGAAATCGGGTGGAACTGATTGACCGTATTTGACCTTATTCTTTTCAGGTCCATAGTCAAAGTAACGTGTTCGATCAGTTAACATTTGATAATAGTGTTTAATGTTCTGAGCCGATGTACCAGCCGGAAAATAGGAAAAGTAAACGGGAAGTCGAGTTGTGTTCAATTGGGCAACGTTAAGTCCACCCATTAATTGTAGAGCATTTTCGCAAATATAATGAAGTTTCGTTGAGCAAACAACTTCAGGGAAAAGTTCCAAAAGCGATGAATGAGGAAGAAAAGGTCCACCCACGTTATTTAGATCTTGAATCAATTCTTGATCGGAAAGAACGTGTCGAAGTCCATCTTTGGTCGTGGTTATATTGATAATCGGTGCCAACATGATCAACGGCTTGAGAATCGAAGCATATTGTGGCCTTTCAGAGACCAATATGAAAGCGATCGTTGTCCCCTGAGAATGGCCAATATAAGCGATCTCCGATTGCCCTGTTACCCGTTGAATATGATTGATTACCGCTGGTAGATCAAATAAGGCCATTTCATCGTACGAGAATTCCCAATACTTTTTATCTTATCGTAAACAAAAGGACAATCAGTTAATCAATTGTTAATCAAATGTAATTAAATGCTACACATGAATGATTTAATTACCTTTAAACGGATTCAAAGTTGTATGATTAGTTGAATAAGTGTTTCCTCTTGAATTTGGAAGCCAAACTTCATACCCGTGATCGGCTAATAAGAAGCCCAAATTGTTACCTGGTTCATATCGTCTCGATGAATGGTGAATCGGATCATGATACTCTATCGGGTCATGGAAATATTGACCTCCGCCCGGTGAGTTAATGATGAAAAGCATGCTGGACAATAAAAGGCCATGTTGAATGAGAACCACTTTTCGAGGTACATGAAGATATCGAGGTGAGATTATCCGAAATGCTTGGACAATATAATTATCTTCCGTTATGATGTAATGAGATTCACCGATGTAACCATGAGATTTAATGTAAACTAAATGAGGGACAAATTCATCTGGATCACTTTCTGATTTAATTACCACAGGAAAACAGATTACAATTAGAAAGATTAACTTAACATAACAATTAGAATCAAAGTTTACCATTATCATTGATTATTCATCAATCAGCTTGTGATAAAATATCATGGGAAATAATTCACTCAGATTCCAATTGGAAATCAACATGATGATGATGATTATTGATAATCGATGAAATTTGATATTGAAATTTCATTTTAATCGCAGTTTAATTTATCCTCTAATTGTTGAAATGATATTCACAACAATTTAAAATGATGATCCTTTCAGGTTCCACTTAACCTTTTCAATTAGGTAACAATTAAATGACTAATTGTTATTATATAATTTTCATAATGACGTTACAATCAGTTGAACTTGAAAATTATTTTATATAAAAGTTAATTTCATTGATATATTATCACAATGATTAACTTGATTGTTATGAAAATCAATTGAAATAATCAACAGTTACAAAAAAAAGGTTCAAAGTAACTGTGAATGTTAAATTGTTTGTTTACTGTAATCAATAAATTACCATTGAACTATCACAATTAACGGTTAATTAAATACAAACAAATTATCTCCTTTTCCTTGTTAACAATTTACATGAGTATAAATTGTTAATCAACTCTAATTATTGATTAATTGTTTTAATCACAAATACAAATTAACAAAAAAAAGTTGAGTTTGTTTTGTTTTCCACAATCAAATTGGTAATATTAGTAAACAGGATTTACAACTAATTAACAATTTGACACATTTGAATCAATCATGATAATCAGAAAAATGAATTGAATAATTATTATCATGATTAAAGACCTAAATTAAAACTAAATCAATTTGATTTGAGTTGTTGATTGCAAAAGGATCTCCCTTGAAAATCAATTCAGGTCAATCAATATTAACTCAATGAATTTGTTTCAATTGATTCAATTGAGAGTCCAAAATGATTATCATGTATATATAAATTTCCTTGTGGTCATAAATGAAAGGGTGAAAAAAAAATTGATCTAATTGATATTGAGACCACAGTTAATTACAAATTAATCATTAACATCATTTCCATTAATTATTTACAATCAAAGAATCAGGAAAGAGGTAACAATTGTATCACCGCGAGAACTCAATACCAAAAACGCTATTGAATAAGTTGTTGAGCCTCATGGGCCATTCGCACTCTAAAATTTTCGAATTCACAAATTATCGGTTATTTGGAATTGAATTCGAAAAACTACATGAAAATAGAAAATGAAAGAAACAGAATATCGTTGAATTCATGTGGAGAAATGAAGGAATATAAGTGATACTTGTTAACGAATAGTTGAGTAGAAAAACGAGTTGCTAGTCGTGTTAAAGATTCACATCACAGGGGAATTCCCCCTGTAATTTACTCGTAATATCAATGAAACGATTCTATGGAAATCGATCAATTTTTCTGAGTCGAAATATCGATCGCGATCGATTCATTAGTCATTATTCATTCATCATTTTCGTTAGTTCGGTGAACATTTTTGGACATTTTCTCTTCGATCACATTTATATCTTCACTTTTTCCATTTTGAATCATTCTAATTGTTGAAAGCTCTTGAAAAATATCCAAATTGAATTAATTAACATGACGAGAAAAATTTACCAATGGATTAATAGTCTAGATCCTTTCGAACTTGTGAAACTATTTTTATAATTTATCGAAAATTGATTGATTAACAACTTGATACTTAATTATTCTGCCTTGGTGATTCCCCATGTAAATTAAATGACAACAATTAACTCACCTCATTGTTAACTCAGTGAACTTGCTGTTTAAATGTAAATAATTGTGATTAAAGAATCGCCATTTTAAAATAAAGATGAACGAAGTTGATTAACTTTAATTTGAATTTGCCAATGGTCAAGAGAATCGCTCTCATCTTAAATAAATATTAGAACCTTTAATTGTTGGAATTAGGAAATAGAAAAGAGGAAAACTATTAACACAATTAACTAATTGTTCACCTGATTTAGAAATTTTTTCATCATCATCATCATCATGATTATCGGAACTTCAATTCCTCTTTTCATGTAAGTAAAGTGATTGGAAAATCGTTACCAAGTTTCTCAATCTTCTTCTTATTCTGTCATTGATATTGAATCTTTTTCTCTCTCTCACTCACTCACTGAGAGTTGTAGGGTAGTTTAAAGGGTAGTTAATGATGACGAAGATGATAATTAGTGAGAAAGAGTGAGAATAAAAGAGGAGAGAGAGAGAGAGATTATGTAGATTAAGGTGATTACTCAAAACGGAGACAGTTAATGTTGAGAGCGAATCAACAACAACCAGTCTTCCCATTCACTTGTCGATTTATGGGTTAACCAGAAGGAAATTTTTTTTTTTATCTTTTTTCCTGATTGTGTCTCTATCTTTTAAATTACCAAAGATCAAGTTCAATCGATTAACTGATTAAGACCACTGGTGGTTAATTGTCACAATTAAATGATAAAAGAAAATCTAATTACATGATTATCCTGTTTGTTTCCTCTTCTTCTTTTTCTAATTCTGTGTACCTTTATCTCTCTCTCTCTCTCTCTCTCTTTGGTTTATTTTCTTTTTTATCTAAATTTTTCTCTTTGTTTTTCTTTTGTTCTTTTTCGCGATAATTTTCTCTCTCTCTCTCTCTCTCTCTAATTTAATTGTCAGTTAACAATTAGTGTTCTGTGTCTTTGTGCGTAATTAACAATCGGAATTGGAACCATAAATGGTAAACATTCAAATGTGAAATGGCAACAGTAGAGTTTTTTTCTCTACCTCTTTGTTGCTAAGAGAAACTCTGATTTTCTCTTGTTAACACGTTAAAATAATTGTCAACACTTATCTTTTTTTTAACTAATTTAATCTTTTCTATAATACCAGTAGCATCCCATAGTGTTACAATCAAGATTGGAATTCATTTTAATCAACAACAATTAAACCAACAAAGTGATGGCCAAATCATTGAAACGCGAAAAAGTAGCCACAGGCATCGTCTGTTTGGCTTATTTTGTCTATGTGAGTAACCAAACCGTTTTTTTTTACCCTTTGTTTACCTTTTGGTTCTTGGTTTAGAATTGGTTTTTTTCCTTCTGTTTCTAATTCTGATTCTGATTCTGGTTTTTTTATTCAGGGTATCGGTTCCTCGCTCATGAATACAACTATAATCGATTTAACTGAAATTTTAAACGCCGATGTTCAATCTGTTTCTTATGGACTTTTACTCAGAGCTGTTTTCCATTGTATTGGAGCTCCATTGTGTAAGTCAATTGTGTCCACTTATGGGCTACTGTTTGGTGGTCATTGGAAATTTGTTTATCTATAAGATTTAGATTTGATTAGATAATTTCATGTTCTCTTGAAGTTTTTCTTCCAAGTCTGATTGTTATCAAAATTTTGAAGAAATTTGCTTGTTGCTAAGTAGTTTTGGCGCAAAAAAATATAAATTACTTTAAGTGGTTAATGAACTTTTTTTTACATTGAATTTCAACACTTTACTAGATTAATTTTCTTTCACCATTTATCTTAATTGTTAATCTTCATTCAAGTAAGAATCACTAATAATTCTCAACAATTAGAGATATTCAGAGAATTTTATGTAATTCTTGTGACTCTTGATAACTATTGAGATGAAACTAGTCATAGAGATAATCATCATTCCCTATGATGATGAGTTGCTCTCAGAATTTTATTTCATAATCAACAACGAACTTCTTGTTAATTATAAGAGATTAACAAGATCTCTTAATCCGTATGATGATCATGACATGATCAATTGATAATCTATGGTGGGTGACAAAATTTTCCGTAGTTTATTGATTAAAAATGAAAACTTCTTCATTGACTATTTAAAATAGAAAAGTAAACTCGAAATGATTTCTCTTTTCATTTATAATCAATAAACTACAGAAAATTTTGTCACCCACTATACTAATAATTTCCATATCAAACGAAAGGACGCTGAAATCCCTTCGATAATTAGATGCAAACTCTCAAAGATTTAAAATGGATTAGTTGATTTATAGATTGTTTCAATCGGAACAATTGATTTTTGGATGGATTTTACTTCTAGTTATTAATCATCTCTTTCTTTTTAATTTAGTTTCCTGGTCATTCACGTCTTTTAACCGAGAGTTTCAATATGCTCTGGCATTGGCCCTCTTTGGACTAGGAACTTGTTTCACCGCTTCATCTAATACAATGGTGATGTTCATCATTTTCAATTCACTTGCTGGCTTAGCAACTACTGGAATTGATATTGCCTCTTATGTTTGGATACTTGAGATTTATAAAGAAAACGCCAATCCCTATCTCCAAGCAATGGGCGGTTTCTGGGCTATTGGACAAACTTTAGCCCCACTAATTACTCGGCCCTTCCTTTCAAGTGATCAAACAATAATCAATGGAAATGAAACAATCGTAACCAAACATACAAAAACCTCCATTCAAATACCATATAATATAATTGGTATTCTTACAGCGGGTGTTGGTTTTCTCGTCCTATTGTTTTCATGTTTCTACAATAATCAACACACAAATGATAATATTGATGACAATCGTCCCTCAATTTCATCATCATTTTCTAAATCAAAAGAAGATCATCTAAAAGAATATGGATCAACAAGTGATCGGCAAAAATCATCACATTCACAATCATTTACTGGTGATAAACGTTCAATTAAACAAGAAAACTCTTCCTTGTTACCAAAAAGTTTACCTAAAGGTTATTATGTCGCAATTGTCCTTCTCGCTGCTCTGATGATGAATTTTCAAGTTGGACTTGATTTAGATTTTTTCAATTTCCTTCATACTTATGCTGTTCAAGGTCCAACCAAAATGGACAAATCTGATGCCAGTTACCTTGTTTCGTTAACCGGTTTTGTACAATTAGCTTCACGATTTATATCAATTTTCATCTCAATCTACATAAAATCGGGAACAATCATTGCTACCTCAACAATTGTAACTCTTTTCGGTGTTATCATTTTAGTCCTCTCCGGGTCAACAGTCTCTGGACTATGGGCTGGAGCGATTATATTATCGATTGGATTTGCACCAGTGGGATCGTCAATCTATACTTATATTGAGGAAAGGACCACCGTTACCAATACGATCGCCGGTATATTATCATTTTCAAGTACCATTCTCTCAACAACCGGACCTTATATTGTTGGTGCTTCACTTGATACTCATCCATTCATATTTATACTTTACATATTAATATGTAACATTTCAATTATCATATTATTTGTCCTTCTACTTTTAACTGATCTCTGGAAACGACGATACTTGGAAAAGCAGAAAAATCAATCGGCCAAACGAAGTACAGTCTCTCCACTTGTCACAATCTTTTATTCATAGTGTGTTTTTTTTCTCGTATTAATTATTTGGCAAATCTCTTATGTTAATCCCTTTACACTTGATGTGATAATTAGAGATGAGAAAAGGGATTAACATTAGCCTCAGGCCTTTGATTATTAATTAATAAGTATGGTTACGATAAGTGGAGAGACGACTACATTTTGAGCACACTCTGAGCTTACAATTAACTAATTTTAACACATTTTCTTACCATATAATCTATATGCTCCATTTGTGTTTAATTTTTTTAAATTATGGACAAATTAACTAACTTTCCATTTATATCAACAAAAAAAAAAGTCAAACGGGTAAACATTTGAATTGATTTTCATGACAATTTAGACTAATTTTTTTTGTCTAGTCAAGTCAATCAACTTTAAATTGTTAAACAATTCAACTCTGTGATAGTTTGTTAAAAAAATTTTCCACAAATAAAAATAATTACACATTTAAATTGTTTCTTTAATTGTTGTTTCTCTTTTCATTAATAATCGTAAATATTTAAATTTCGCGGTAAAAATGGAAACGAATTCTAATCAACTTGTTGTTAGCTGAAAGTTTTTCGGCTAATCGATTGATCAGCCGACTTTTAATTTCCAAAATTTTTGTTTACATTTTGTTTTCCTTGTTCTTGTCTTTCATTTTTCTCTCTCACTCTCTCTCTCTTTTTCGTTATATATAAATAATTTTTGTTCTTTTCTCTCTCAATGGAAGAGAAAACTTTAGCCTCACTATCTCGCCTTGATTTGGACAATGAAGTAACACCTGAGAGAAACAATGAATCGGGTACATGGTGGACAGATGAAGACACCGATAATCCTGAAGATATGTTCCTAGTGGAAAACAAAGATGGACAAACGGTTTTCTTATTGGTCAAGGATAACAAAATTCACGAGAAAGATTGTGTTACCGGTGATGTTTACATTATCCATGATTTAGGAGTAATTACAAATTTAATTCTACCAGGTGAAGAAGAAGGCGGAAAATCATCAACCGATTGTCTAGAGATAAAATTAACCTTTGACTCTCGAGTTGAAAGTAAACCTGAAGCGAGTTACACATTTGAAGATGTTCAATCATTTAACCTTTTTAAGGATCGATTTATTCAACCTGCAATTAACCGTCAAGATAAACTAGTCTCATCTTACCAGCAAGAAGGATTACCAAAGAGAGAGATTGAAAAATCTAATCTAGATAAAATTTACAGATATGTTGAAAAGCTTCCCAGTGTTAGACTTGTTCAACAGGGTAAAAGTGATTCGATTGATAATAAATTATCAGGTGAAAGGAAAATTCAAAATGCTTGGTGGACCAAAGAGGACGTTGAGAATCCTGATGATATGTACCTGGTGGAAAATAAAGAGGGTAAAACGGTTTTCCTTTTTGTCAAAGATAATATTATCCATGAGAAGGACAGTGTTACCGGAGATGTTTGGATTAATCATGATTTAGGAGTGATTACAAATGCTATTTTCCCGGATAATGGTAGTAAAAGTTTGGAGATAAAATTATCATTCGATTCGCGGGTTCAAAGTAAAAAAGAGGCTCGATACTCGTTTGAAAATCAATCTTCATTCAAACTGTTTAAGGAGCAATTTGTTCAACCAGCAATTAATCGTAGAGCGAAACAATTGTCACAAGGAAAACGGAAATTTGAATGTTTAAAATGCGGTTTCTCAGAGATTGCAAGTCAATCTCACGAAAAGAACAATTCTTGTCCCCAATGTTCAAGTATCTTCACCTTTTTCACCAATGATCGTTAATTTCCATCATCAAATCATCATCATTATCATCGTATTATAATCACCAATCACATATATACACACACAATTAATCATCGTCTAAATTTCTAATCATCATATAGCTTTTATTTTCTGCTTTACCAAACCAATTTTTATTTCGTTTCCATATTGTATTATTTTCCCAATCGTTATGGTCTAATTTTAAGACTAATTTTCAAATGTTTATATTACAAATAATTGTATTAGTTTAATTGAAAGAGTTGCAAACTAAATTATACAACTGTGATTGCAAATTTAAACAGAAATCATTTACCTGAGGATCATGAGGATCAGAAATGATTTACAATCCTTTAACAATTAACTTTGATGAGATGAAGTTTCTTTCTAATTATCATGATTGCCTGAAACCAGAAGAAGGGCCAATCCAAGGATCCAATTGAATTGAAACAATTAAACAGAGAAATAAATTGTACACGAAATGTAATCAAGTTATCTAATCAAAATTGATTAACAAATGTTTATGATGGTTCAACAATAATCTTCCGTCATCATCTGCTCATCATCACGATGATGAAAAGTGAGATGAGTTGATAACAATGAGAATGATAATCGTGATTGAATTTGGAAATGAAACTAATCAACAATTCAATTAGAAACAGAGGAGAGAAAAAAATCGCGAAAAGTTGATTACTATTTAAATCTAAATGATTAACTTAATTTAGTTCATTGTTTTCTCATCTTTCTTACCTTTCAGTTAAATTGTAACGAAAGGATTAAATCATGAATTACTTTTCTATCTGTTTAATTGTTGTCACTTTTGCCTCTGGTGTTTTATCAGCATCCGATTCTTGTCAAAAGGATAAAGCCTTTGACATTGCCCTTTTGTCCGTTCAATGGGCACCCGGTATTTGCGCCAATTCTGATCGTAAATGTGTTAAATATGGTAACGAATTCACCATCCACGGAATGTGGCCTAATTACGCCGACAATTCGTACCCACAATTCTGCTGCTATCAACAATACTTGAACAAAGGAGTTCTCGATCCAATCAGAAGTAAAATGGATGTAAGTTGATTGTTTTGTTTTTCCAATATTTCGATAATTAATTTGATCTCTTGTCATTTTATCCAAATTCAGGCTCACTGGCGATCGTTATACGACCAAGATTCATGGAGTTTCTGGATCCACGAATGGAAGAAACATGGAACTTGTGCCAAATTCTCCGCTCTCGTTGGACAATTTAACTATTTCAATCGAACTCTCGATTTGTTCGAAGAATTGAAATTATCTTCATGGTTATCCGAGTCTGGAATTAAACCAAGTGAATCGGGTGTTGCTCTTGAAACTGTTCGAGAAGCTTTAAGAAAAGGATTCACCAAACGACCTCAGATCGCTTGTAACGGCTCAGGTTCGGGATTACCTTTAATGACCGAGATCCGATTCTGTTATGATCCAGAAAGTTTAAAACCAGTCGATTGTCCAGCTGAAACTAAATCATGCAGATCGAAAACTGGAAAAATTGTTATTATTCCAGCTAACTAATAATCGCTGATTGTCAACTAATTGTAATCAATTATCATGATCATCAATTAACTTTGAAAATAAAATAAGCAAATCAATCAAACTCTCAATTTATGTTATACATTATTTCATTGGAAATAATTTAAGTTTAACCAAGGTTAATTTTCAACAAATCTACAGTTAATCAATGATTCCCTCAGCAATTTAATATAATTGCCCTAAATCAACACTCATTGGTAACAATTAATGATTTGTTTTTTTATTGTTTTGTCAATCAAAATTTATTCAACCACAATTAGAAACATATATATAAATATAATCAACATCTCAATGACGACAATCATCTTGATAATTGCTGTTGCTATAAAAATGAGAATCTACAATTAACAGATGTAGAAAAAGTCTTGACAATTACATAGTTAATTTTAATTGTGATTAAACAATTGTTTCCATAATTAAAGTTTCCTCATCATCGCAATCAACATTTGAAACAATTGATTCAATTGAGACGAGCCTCCAATTATTAATAATAGATTTATGATTCTCTTTAATATCCTGTTTGATAATTTAATTGGTAATTCCATCACAATGAAAATTAATTAACGATTAAAATTTAATTATCTTTATGGATGGAAAATTATTCCAGGAAAAAACTAAAGAATAAAATTCATCCCCTTTACGATTAACGTGATTGGCTAAAAGAGAGAAAAGCGCGAAATTCAAATGAAAAAGAATAGAATTTTTTTCGTCAACAAAAAGCCATTGATCGTTTATTTAGAATTTATTTTCGCAATTGTTTAGTTTAATTGTGATTAGTTTTTGAAAATTTTTTCTTCCCTGTTGATTGTGAATACTCAAGGAATCATCTGGTAAACACTTGGATAGTTAATCAAGAGTTGGAAATGAATTTAAAAGATGAAATTAATTTTTTCAAAATGAAAGTGAAAATGTTGGCTGAAAGGATTAGTGATTTGGTCAAGACAAATACTGATCTTGGTTTACAAATTGAAAAGGATGAAGATGATTACAATAAGGCTGTTAATCAGTTCAATTTGGTTCAAATAGATATGGAAAAGTGTGCTAATACAATGGAAAACACAACTGAACAAGATATTGATGGTCGTTTAATTGAAGCAAAGGAGACCAACAGTAGATTGAAATGTGATATTGATCAGATTCAATCTTGTATTGACCAGATTGAGATGAAAAATAAGATTGAAACAAATCGAATCAAAGCTTTAGAAAGGAGAATTGAATCAATGGATAAAAAAGCCAATTCATTAAAGTTCAACAAAAGGAATTAATCGAGAAGATGAGGAAATCAACAATCAATACACCGGATTAACCAGAAGAGGAAAGGATATTAACCATTTAGATTGTATTGTAATAATCAATCAATAGAAATTTAGAAATGAATTTGACAGAAATACCTGGTGTTGACCTAATGTGTTTACCCTGATACTTTTTTTTTTATACAACAATCTACTTTATTACCTACTGGTGGACAATCAACTAATCAATTCAATTTAAAAGTGCCCTTAATCCAGTAAAATTGGTCTAATCTGTTCATCAAATAATCAACTTTAACAACATGGTAAACGATTGATTTCACCCTGGAAACATTTAAAACTTTTCTGTTTTTCTTTTCAAGTGAATCTGATAAAACAACAACAATTAAGGCTCAATTTGATAATAAGTGAAACAATCACAACAACAACAATAAAAAAAACCCAATGAAAATGGGTAAACTTGTTATTACAATTAATATATTACAATTTCTTGTATTTAACTACCGCCCAGGTAAGATAAACATTATCAGGTAAACAATATTCAACAATTCCGGTCAATTAAGTTTATATATATTTTTAGGTCTAAACAATTGAGTTTAAACTATGGGGTAAAATTTACGCTAATTGTTGTTGATTTTTGATCATTTCTCTTAACGACAACTTGATGAATTTTACCTCAAAGAAATTTATAAATAAATCAGCTTATTGTTATAGAGAGAGAGAGAGAAAGTTTTAATCATTGATTGTTGTTATTTTGATTAATTGTCTCTGTCTTCATATTTTGTATTTTTCATCAACAATTTAACAAATTGTTGTATTTCTCGGTATTCATTTACCCAACAATTAAGGTCATCTGAGTTTAGCTACTTGTTGCTGCTTGAAAACAGTTCATAATCATTTAATTGTTTGTCCAAACTTGAGAAGAAAATTATTATTCTATTAACATAATTATGGTTTAATTGTTTACACAATTAAACTTATATTTAAAGACTCACAACCTAAAACCACCCAAACTAACAATCAATTGATTATATTTAAAAAGGTAATTTAATCAACGTTCATCGGACTAATTAGACTCAGTTAACTTTTGATTCTTGTTCCTATCAGATCAATAACTTTCAATTTTTTCTTGTGACAATTAAATACAATGGGATTAAAAAAGGTAACATGATTAACTTAAATTAATTTAAAGATTAATCAATGAACAATTAACAGATTAACTTGTATCATTCTAATTAATTGTTGTTTTCTTTTTTTTCTCAACAGTTTCTATCATTTCTTTTCATTCCAATCATGGTTTCTGAGTGTTTCTTCAATCCATTTAGATGGAGACAAACTAATTGTGACAGTTACAATTACAATAGTGTCCAACAATCACATATGCCTTTTAATAATTGTGCTTATCAACAATTAACTCGACCTTATTATCAATCAACTTATCAATCAATGATGGATACAATGGAACCTTATCCTTACTACAATTCGTATCAACAATTTAAACCCTTCATGATGTCAGGTAATCAATTAATTCACCTTGATTAACAATAATCATCTCTTTGATTGTTGCTCTTATTGTTATATATAAATATTTTAATTGCTTCAATAGGTCAACAACAATACTATGGATCTAATCGTCCAAGTTATTTCCCAAATTACTACAATTCCCTTGAATCTCCGATGACCACTGGCTATTCAAAAAGTTGGCCTTATTCAACATTTCAGCCCAATGTTCAGGTTCCCGTTGCTCCGAGCAAAGTAAACACTCAGATTAAACTGAAATCATATTGATTGAAACAATTAAATCACCAAAACAAAACAAAAAATGATTCAAACAATTTACCAATCAACAAGCAATCACCTTAATCATAATCATTTCATTACTGTATCCATCACAATTAAAGTAACTCTTTGTTACAATTGTGTTGAATTATTTTTTCACCTTCAACATTATTATTATTATGAAAGTTAATTGTAAATTCACTGAATTTGATTAATAAAATGAAAATTAAAACAAAGTTAACAGTTGAAACAATTTAATTTGATTGTTTTGGTTACAATGACAGGAGATAAAACTGATTATGGCACAGAGTTTAATTGCTAATATTTAAAAAAAAAACATTTATATAATTAGTTTAACTCTTAATTAGTAAAATTTTGATGCGATTATATTTGATTTGTAAATTGTGAATAATTAATTTTGATTGTTAGGAAACATTTTGTTTTAGGCACAATGAGTTTGGGGCTCAGGTAAATACAAGCGAGATTTAAGCTCAAAGACACAATGGTGAAGCTAATTAAAAGCTAATTAACAATTAAATTGATCAATTAAAAATTGAATAAATGCCAATAATAGATTGAGAACATTTTCAATTGAAATTAAAATGGAAAATAAAAACTATTGGTCAGTTAACTTTTGGGTAAAAGTCCAGCTTCTTTTGCCAAACTGTGGAAATATGAGAGTTTGTTTCTCATTAGATTCATTGGTGAATCAAATTCAGCGATTTTACCAGCATCGAGAACTAGAATACGATCAGAATCCATTATGGTGTTTAATCGATGGGCAATGGTCAGTATTGTACAATCAGAGAATTGACTTCGAATAGTTTCTTGTACCAAAGCATCAGTTTCCATATCAATGGCTGCTGTTGCTTCATCGAGAACTGATCAAAATAAGAAAACAGAATTAGAATATTTTATTTTATTTTAAAATAATATCGAGATTATTTTTAGACTTACCAAGAACTTTGGACTTTTTAAGAAGCGCTCGAGTTAAACAGATCAACTGCCTTTGCCCGAGGCTTAAATTTTTACCACCTTCAGTGGCTAAGAACTCGAGACCAGCTCCTGATTGTTCAAAGTATTTCTTCAGATGGGAAAGTTCAAGGCAAGCCCAAATTTCATCGTCACTGTATTTATCGAAAGGATCGAGATTGAAACGTAATGAGCCACAAAAGATAACGGGATCTTGTGGAATTATAGCCAAACGGCTTCGAAGTGTATGTAGACCAAGATCGTCTACATTACAGTTGTCAATTAGAATTCCTCCTTCGAACGCTTTCAAAATTCTGAAAAGGGCCAATGAAATTGTCGATTTTCCCGCTCCAGTCCTTCCAACGATACCAATTTTCTCCCCTGAACCAATGCTACAGTCAATGTCAGAAAGAACCTTGTCCAACTCGGGTCGATATCGAGTTGAATAATTGTCGAATCGGATTGCTCCTTGTGTAGGCCAATTAGGACCAGGGTCACATTTACCTTTGAATCTTTCACCTTCAGGGGTTAATGCTGAGTATTCAGCTATACGTTCAACGCAAACAATATTTACTTCAAGTTCAGCGATAAAATCAAGACACATAATCGATGATTCGGTAACTCGTTGAGCAGCGACCAACATAAGACCAATGTCACCAGGTCCAATCGAACCTTTCGAAATGATTCCGAAAATGGCGACCAAAAAGAGTAATAAACTTCCAAAATACCAAGAATCATTTGTCTCCAAAGAATTGACATAACCGATAGATAAGCGGTATTCTGATTGGTATCAATTCGATGGAAAAATTCATTAATGAAACGATTTTGAACTCCATAGGCTCGAATTGTCACAATTCCCGAAACAGATTCACCAATATAAGAATAGATTGGAGATCGTGTGGTTGAGTCAAGTCTTTTTAATTGTCGAGTTGCGGGCATATAAACACGAGGGAAAATACTGAAAACGGCTCCAAGTGGAATCATAACAATAATGAAAACTGGTGCTTGAATTGCGATATTGCAAAGAGCTCCGAATGTGTCGATTGCAGCGATGATTAAACAGCAGATAACTAAACGAATCCACATATCGATAACATCCATGTCTCGAGAGAATCGATTTAGAATACGACCAATTGGTGTTTTCTCAAAGAAACTTAATGGTGACAATAGAATACCCGAAGATAAATCTTTGTGAAGTCCTCGGCACGAATGAACTGAGGCCATATTAGATCCAATCATGGTGGCAATCACTCCGAAACCCTGTGCTAAAGTGATCAATGAGAAGATCATATATCGTCCCCATGGATTAGGTTCATTTTCAGCTACATCAGCCCAAACTGCGAGCCACATGTTACTTGTAATGAGCGTTGTGAACCAAAGGATTCCCGCTGAAGCCGTGATAGCGAACCAAAGGAAAGGCACTTTCGCAAAGTACTGTTTGTAAACAGCCCAATCGATTTTTCCGCTCTCAAGAAATTCATTTTCTACAATATTTTTGGTCTCTTTTTCATCTTTTTCCTCTTCATCTTCATTGGTGTTCAATTGGTCAGGTTTTTCGTCCTTTTCCTTTTCCTCTTTCTCTTTCGCTCCTTGAGATCTAATTTGGCCGCAAGTCGGGCTAAAGAACCTTCCGATTGTAAAAGCTCTTGATAAGTTCCAGTTTCAATTATGGCTCCATTTTCCAACATGATGATTTTATCAACTTCTTGTAGAATGTCAAGATTATTGGTCACTAGAACTCTTGTTTTATCCTTTAAAAGGCCAGTTTTCGAGCTGAGTACATTGTTGATTAAATGTCGAGCGACCGGACCATCGACAGCACTTAAAGGATCATCGAAGAGGAAAAGGTCGGCATCACTGTAAACAGCTCGAGCAATACTAACTCGTTGTTTCTGTCCACCTGAAAGGTTAATTCCGTTTTCACCGATTTCGGTCAGATCTCCGTTTGGTAGGATGTTAATATCTTCCGATAAAGCGCACGAGAAAAGTGTACGGTCATATTTTTCCTTGTTGAACTGTTTACCGAAAAGTATATTATCCCTCATGGTCATGTGTTGGCACCAAGGTTGTTGTGAGATAAAGCGATTTCAGAAGCACCGTCGATATTTATTTTACCCTGAGTTAGATTCATTTCACCAAGAATCGCCGATAAAAGTGAACTTTTACCCGAACCAACTGAACCAATAATGGCGGTGAATGATTTCTTGGGTATTTTAATGTTGATGTTTTCAAGATCGGCGGGTTTCCATTCCATGGAGACCGATTCAGTGAAACTGTTTTTCGATGAATTTTTGGACAAATTTTTACTGGTACTTTTATCGTCTCTATCGATAGTCCCGTCTTTCCAACTGAAACTTGCTTCTTCAATTCTGATTGCATCCATTTCGTTGTTACGACTAATATAACATCGAGGATCGTTAAGGTTTAGGAAATCGTTGATTCGACGACATGAGACCATGGCCAAAGTGTACTTTTCGATAACTGTACAAAACCTTTGCAAGGGTATTTGAATTGTCGCAGCGATGGAAAGTGTAAAGAAAATATTTTGTGCTGATAAAGGTTCGGTGTTGGTTGATAGATAAGTTCCGAAAATGATTACCGAAAAGATCAACGGTAAGAGTGGACTTTGCAAAATAATGGACGCTTGGAGAAAGGCCATTGTTTTGAGGTATTTGAGTTCGGAATCCCGAAGTTTGGCAATGTATTCCATGAATGATTCTTCCCAGGCGTAAAGTTTGACGATCTTGATGCCGTTGAGAACTTCATTCACAAAACGAACTCGTTTATCGGTTTCTTCCATTTTTTTAGCTTGTTGAAGTTTCATGAATCGAACCACCGATAAATTGAATGGAAACCAAATGGCCATGATTAGAAGAGCATAAAGTGCCGATGGACCTAAACTTTGATGCAACAGGTAAACGGAAACAATAAAACGGAATGGAGCCGAAACAAGGACGTAAAAAAATTCCATAAACTCGAGAAGACGACGAGTATCAACAGAGACCATGTTCATTAATTTTCCCGTTTCAAAGTCTCTCCATGAAGATTGGGTTTTCTTTAAGGCTTTTTTATAAATCGCCGCTGAAATAGTGGCCGTCATTCTCAGTCCAAGGCATTGTTGACACTCTTTCAATTGAATTTGCAATAAATTCATCGTTATATTTGCACCAAATAAGCAGAGAGCGATAAGGAATCCATGCCAAGCAGGTTGTTCATATTCGTACTGAATAAACCCAATGAATTCTCTGAAGGATAAAAGGATAAATACTTAATCAATTAATCTGTAGAGTCTTAAATTCAACAATTAGACAGAAAAGATCGATAATCTATCAAGGTTTAATTGTTTTTCTTTTCTTTTTCTAGTTCTTACTTGATCAAAATAGGAACCAAAAGAGTGAAAATATCTGTCAAAAGTGTCAACATGATGGCGACTAGAAATTTTCTTGCAAACAGTTTGATGGACATCGAAACGATGTCAATTTTTCTCGAACCAGCTGATGAACTATCAAAGAACGAACTTAAAGTTTCCGCTTGGAGATTACCCTTTAACTGCCACATATCTTCAGTACCAAGAGGTTTCCGTCTTCCAAGAAGGATCAGTTTGGTGAACCAAAGGAAAAACACTCGATTTATAAACGAAGCTTGAGATTTGGGACATTTTTTGGTCTCGAATAACGGTTTCTCTAGTTGAAGACTAGGATTGTGAAGATGATTGTGATGGTTAAATGGACTATGGAGTTTCCAACCTTCATTGAAACAGAATAATATTGAAAGAAGGACCAAAATTGGTACATAAGTTGTATAGAAAACGAATTGGGAAAAGTTTTCTGGATTAAACATAATCCACTTCTCGTGGTAGATTAACAGGGTGCAAATTGTTTCGACAATTAAAAAGATCCAAATCATTCCCGATTTAGTTGATATCCGTTGTTTCAAATAAGTCCAAGTTAAACATACCTGTTGAATGAATACAGAGGAAAATGTGGTTAAATTGATCACAAAAAGGAAACCAAATTAACCAGCAATTAAAATTTTCTACTCACATAACATGTTGATTTGATTAATTGGAAGACTGTGAATGTTAAAAGAACTCGATCTTGAATTGAATAATATCGTTGGGTGAGAATGAATGAATATATAAGATTGGAAAGACAAGCGAACATGATCAAAATTAATCGAGTCCATTTTAGGAATGTCCATTTGGTCGGATCGAAAGGTAACTTTTTTTCGCGGCAAATGTGAGTTAAAATCGTAAATATAAGAAGAGAAACAGGAAATCCGTTGAAAACAACAACCTGGAAACATTCAGTGAATTGGGGATCAGTTGTGTTCCATGATAAATTTGATTCCCAGAAAAGTTGATCACCACAAAATGTTTCAATGAGCCCATTTGAAGACATGATGGTGATACGGAATCACTGAGTTTACAGAAGAGCACAAAATCACAGAGCAACAGGTTGGCAACTGAATGGAGAAAGATTTAAGATGAGTGAGTCTGGAAAGGAATCAACAAGTGAGAGTGGAGAGATTGAGGAGTCGATGTTGTTGATTTTCTGCTCAAACCAGTACAATCTAGTTCCAAGTTGGATCTAAACAATAATAGTAAAAGAAAAGAGAAAAGGTTCAAGAGAGAGAGAGAGAGAGAGAGACAGAAATGAGAGAGTAAGTTTGTGTGTGAGAGAGAGAGATGAGGATAAACCTTCAAGGTGAAAGAGGAAAGGGAAACAAAATGAGAAAAAACAATCAATTCGATCATAGAAAAAAAAAGAAACAAAATGGAAAAAGTTGTTCACTGGATTGACTTTCTTAATCTAAATGAGAAACAATTGAAACTCTTTCAACTCCATCAGGATTAAGATAATCAAGAAATTCACAGATGATGAGTGATTAAACAGCCAATTGAGAGATTATTCAACAATCAATCATAGAAAATCATTGGAAATTGGAGAGAGAGAAAATAAAACAAAATCAATTAATTCTCTATTCAAATGAGAATAAAAATATTAATTGATCACCAAAGTCAATCAATTACTTTGTCAACAAATCAAAAGTCAAACATTGAGAGTTAATCAAAACAAAGACTCGTCCGACTAAAGCGCCATTAGATTGTTAGTGGTAACAATTGGCAAGCCAAGAGATTTGTTTATGACACAATTAAGTCAATTACTTTTTTCTTTTAGTTAACTTTTAATATAACTATTAGTTAATTAGTTGGGTTGCCCTAAAGGTAAATAGATTAACTCCTCAAAATGCTTCGGAGTTTATAAAAATTAACCCGAAGGTCACCAAATCGTTTTAAAAAAGTTTACTTCGAATTTGAAAAAATCTAATTCTTCTTGAAAGAAATTTTCTTAACCATTCAGTTGGGGAAATCGGCTCTCAGCTGGTCAATGTGAGAGGTCTAGTTCTGAATGACCATTTGATTTCGACAACAACAACAAGTCAAAGAACGAGATTGAATTGTATTGTCATTGGTAATCTCGAGAAAAATGGGACAAATTAGAGATCTGGTTAGGATATTTATACCTTTATCGATTGATTGTATGTCCTTGATTCTGCATTAATTCAGTAAACGATGAAATAGACATTTGTGGATCAGCTGATAAGAGGAAAAAATGAACAGAAAAATTGGAAATCAATCGATTGTGAAAAGGTTTCTCCTTGATATACACCCAGGGAATTGATACATTTGTATTTGGGTGAAATTTTCACAAAGTTCGTAGTCAAAGTATCAAATAGATGGAAAAATAAGTCAAACGAATGTCAAAATGTTCATAATCCATGGTAATTGATGACAACAACAAGAATGAGGCTCATTAGATGAGTGAGAAGACACAACAGTCCATTGAGATATTTCAATTCAGATCAATCAGAATTTAGAAGAAAAATGAACAGATAAACAAAAGAAATTAATTTTCCACCAATGTCAATCAAATTCACTTGGAATATGTCAACAAATCAAAATAGAAGAAAAAAAAAGAAGAAAAAAACATCAAAAAGAATTGAAAGAAAACAACGATTCTACTTACGAAATTCTTAGTTCTAGTGACTATTGATATTCTTTACGAATGCGCAAATAGATTGTTGACAATTCGAAGAAAATTAATGCTGGTGACACAATTAAGTTTCGAACACGAAAATTCAAAAGAAAAAGAAGAAGAAGAAAATAACAACACTGATCACTCTTGTTTTCTTTTAATTACTAATGTGAAATGTGATCATTTGGTTGAGCAATTTACTCGTTGATTAACTGATTAGCTTGACAATCAATTCTTTTATCACCACTTATCCTCTTCTTCATGTAATAAGTTTCTCCCTCGAATATGAGATTACATTGTAATTTTTATTCCTCTTTCTTGTTACCGAAAATCGAAGGAATCAAAAATTCAACCATCATGAATTCACCAGTGAATTCAGGGTGAAGGATTTTTGGTCAATCACCTTTTTCATCACCTTGTCGCTTATCTGATATTGAGATTATCCAATGATTCCTAATATGTGCCAATCAATGAACTTTATCCAATAATCTTGTTTCAAATGGAATTAACCTTAACTCTTATGAATTAATCTCTCTCTCTCACTTCATGATAAAAGACTCTGATCTCTCTCCTTTACCTGAATAACCGGAAAATGAATTATTATCAATCAAGAGATTTCAAAAATCTTCATGATAACCAATGAATGGATAAAGATAAAGGATTGATGATGAGTTGGAACTTATCATCTCTTTGATTTTCTTATGATGAAAATCTTGATAATAGTTTTGTTTATCATGATTATGATTATTATTTAATCAATTGCAATGGAAACTGTGATATTAAGTTGATTACAATCAACAATCAGTTTATAATAAAACAAAAAGCAAGATAATTGATTACAAATATTAATGGAAAACATGATTAAGCCGGAAGGCAATTGATGAGACTGATTAATCACTAATCATTTGTGAAATTATCTAATTGTTAGCTAATCATTGAAAACAAACAATGTTATTATCAAACTATCAAAGAAATTAATTTAGTAATGATTATCACAATTAACCTTGAGCATTAATCATTTTCAAGATTGATGCCATATGAGAATCAAGGTGATCAGGTAAACATTTATTTCTGAGTTTCAATTAATCAATCTTACTTTTAGTTTTAATCATAATTGTTGTTACTTGATAGTTGATTAAGATGAAAGTATAAAAATTTAAATTGTTTACATTTATAATCAAATCAAATCAATCAAAATCTATGAATAGATTGTTGGTCTAATTGAATGATCGTTGTTGTTTTAGTTACTACAATTAAGATGATTGTTAAAAGTCAAATCAATTGATATAAACAAATGAGAGTCACCAAAGACATTGACATTAACTAGTTAACTGAGATTTATATTAATAGTTAACCAAAAGAAAAAAGTAATTGACTTAATTGTGTCATAAACAAATCTCTTGGCTTGCCAATTGTTACCACTAACAATCTAATGGCGCTTTAGTCGGACGAGTCTTTGTTTTGATTAACTCTCAATGTTTGACTTTTGATTTGTTGACAAAGTAATTGATTGACTTTGGTGATCAATTAATATTTTTATTCTCATTTGAATAGAGAATTAATTGATTTTGTTTTATTTTCTCTCTCTCCAATTTCTAATGATTTTCTATGATTGATTGTTGAATAATCTCTCAATTGGCTGTTTAATCACTCATCATCTGTGAATTTCTTGATTATCTTAATCCTGATGGAGTTGAAAGAGTTTCAATTGTTTCTCATTTAGATTAAGAAAGTCAATCCAGTGAACAACTTTTTCCATTTTGTTTCTTTTTTTTTCTATGATCGAATTGATTGTTTTTTCTCATTTTGTTTCCCTTTCCTCTTTCACCTTGAAGGTTTATCCTCATCTCTCTCTCTCTCTCACACTCTCATTTCTGTCTCTCTCTCTCTCTCTCTCTCTCTCTCTCTCTCTTGAACCTTTTCTCTTCTTTTTTTACTATTATTGTTTAGTTCCAACTTGGACTAGATTTTACTGGTTTGAACAGAAAATCGCCAATATCGAGTTTAAAAATCTCTCACTTGATCATTTCGACCTATTCTCACTCACATTAATTCTCTTTCATTCAATTGCCAACCTGTTGCTTTTTTTACTTTGCAATTCTGCAATTTGACCAATCGCCTTGTCCTTTTTCTGTGGAGGAGATGGAGAAGGAGGCGGACGAATATCAGGGATGCAAAGGAATTGAGAGAGAGAAAAGGAAAATAAACAGAAAGAGAGCAAAATAGGTGAGCTTAGAGAGAGAGAGCGAGAGAGAAAAGATCGTAAAGTTCAAGGTGATGGACAATCAGTGAGAGAGAACAAAAAGAAGAAAATAAGAAATGTAATAAATAGTCCGGCGATGTTAAAATTATCCCAAACTAAATGTCAAACTTTTAAAGGTAACTTTAAGTTTATCAATTTATTTTATCGAATAAAAAAAGTTTCAATTGTAATTCTGTTTAATTGTCAACATTTTCAACAGTCTAATTCTTGACACAGAGATATGACTCCATCATACAGAATACTTGTGACCAGCATAGATGCGTAAGTATTAAATTGTCATTCATTTACCAACAATTAACTTCAACAATCACTTTAACAATCAAAATTACGTAACAATTGGTTTATTTGTTTTCCATAAAATTTATGATGATTTTCAATTGAGATTAGAAGTAGAATAAGTTTTTCTTTTTATCATTTATATTGATTTTTTTGGTTCTTTATTTATCTCTTATTGTCCAGTTGTGGTCATATTAATGCCTCTCTTGGGTTTGGTGAGTTACTCCAAAGTCGAGGTCATACAATTATCTTCACGAATCGAGAAAAATATAAGCATCTTGCCGAGAAACGAGATTTCCAATTTGTACCATTCGATGAGGATGTTTTCGTCGGTGAAAAGTTGACTCCATTCATGGCCTGGTTGGAGCGAAGCTACGATTTATTTCATAAAGATGCTACCGAAAGGTTCAAGTGTTTCACTCAAAAAGATCGTGATTCTTATGCTGAATTTGTAGAAGGTTATATCAAGACGAACGAAGCCTTAGAACGAGTCTTGAAAAGTATCGAAGTTGATCTTATAATTGGCGATCTTCTTGTTCCGTTTCCCGTTATGGCGAAATCAAAGATTCCTTATATTCCTCTTGCTTCTCTTAACCCATTGGTGCTTTTCTTAAATGGTCCACCAGAATTTTCGGGTTTATCGGTAACAAGTGGACCAAATGAACGGAAAGAGTTTCGAGACGCTTTCGAATGGGCAATGACCCCACACAAAGAAAAGATCAACAAATGGTTAAACGAACACGATTTACCAGGTCTATTCGAACCGGCCTGGTTTCTTGATCGACCGAAACATTTTGGATTCTATCATTACCCAGAAGATTTAGATTACACCGAAGTAGGACCAGTTCTAGATAATTGGGTTCGAGTTGATTTATCTATTCGAAAACCTGATGCCGATTATTTTGTTCTACCCGATTGTTTAACCAACAGAACGGGTAAGTTGATCTACTTTTCAATGGGCTCACAGTTTTCAGCTGATCTTCAATTGATGCGACAATTGATCAAAATTCTGGCCAAAAGTCCACATCGATTTATCGTCTCAAAAGGACCTAAAGGAGATCAACTTGATCTACCAGATAATATGTGGGGTGAAAATTATGTTAACCAGTTAAGAGTATTACCTGAGGTGGACATGGTGATCACTCATGGTGGTAACAATACAATCATCGAAACATTTTACCATAAGAAACCGATGATTGTGGTACCTTATTATTTTGACCAATTGGACAATGCGGCTCGAATAGTGGACAAGAATTTGGGCCGACGAATTGACCCTTGGAATATCGATGAGAAATATTTCCTCGAAAGTATTGAGATAGTTCTTAATGATGGAGAATTGAAAACTCGAATTGAAACGATTGGTAACAACATGAGAAATACGAAAAGTCGACGAAAAGCCGCTGAAATGGTCGAGAAGTTGATTGAACAAATTCGAGAAGAAAAAAGTTCGACACTAATTAATAGTTCTAAATTGTCGGAAAACAAATCAACGACGATTTTATACCTTATCCATCAATCATTGGAAATTAATTCATCTCAATTTACTCCATTAATTAACTTCCATAATTAGCTTTTGTCGATCATCATTATCAGTTGATTAAAGTATTGAAACAATTTCTCAACGATTTTCTAAATCATATCTAATTAACTACTAATTGTTTGAAGATTTATTTACTTATACTAATTGTTATGAACGAAACAATTTAATCAATAGTTTGAATCTCAATCATTAACCCAATAGTTTATTGGTTTTTTATATAAATTAATCAAGTAATCAAATGAATTCAGTTCAAGTGTAGATTCATAATAATTTGATTACCTGTATTAATCACAACAATTTAGTTCCAATTGGTTGATTAATATCACAATTAGCCAACTTGCATCAATAGGAAAAGGTCAAAGCTTAACAATTAAAATCATTGACGTAACTGAAAATCAGATCAAGTTAACTGATTATAATATTATACATTTAATCATCATTAATAAATTAATTGTTATTTTGATAAACAAGAAAAAAACAATAACAAACAACTGACCAGTGGTCAATAGTTGGATAAACAAAATAATAACACCACATAAAAAAAAGGGTGGTCATTAGAGTGGAGCCAAAGATTTGCCTGGTTAATTGCTATATATAAATTGTTTGGTTGACCAAGCACCAAGAGTTTACCTGACCAATGGTCAAATGGTCACAAACAACCAATATTATTATGATTCTTATATGTAATAGTAGTTTCAATCATTGAATTTCAGTTTCAATAGCTGATGAACAATCAAAATTGTCTATTAGCTTTTATATTGTGACAACTTTGATTGTTGAAAGTTTTTCTTTTTCTCTGTAAATTGTGATTAAAATTAACTTCTAATTGTGATTGAAAATGAAACGAAACGATTCCCCAATGGCTTGGGATACAACCGATAATAAAAACAGTAGTTGTATCAATCTGAATAAAAATCTTGACCCGGAAACTTATTCAACTTATTCAGTTGAATCTTCAGAGGCGAGTTCAGGTAAACAAGTTTGGAACTCAGCTAAAAGAGTTGTCAAAGGTAAGAGATCATCTTTAGATTAACCCTTTTAATTAATCAATGAATCCACTAATAATATAGTCTGTGTTCACAGACTAGTTAAAGGATTAAAAATATAATATAAGTAAACCTGATTATCCAATTGATTAACTGAGAAAAGTATAAAAAAATTAAATCTCATTGGTCGTTGCCCTTTGATTACAATTTCAAACAGTTTACAAACTTTTCCATCTGATTAATCAGTTAGAAATGTCATTTGATTAGCTAAATCATCAAATTGATTCACTTTTCATCATTAAAACCACTCAACTACAATTAATTCAGTTATCATGACCTTTCTCTCTCTCTCTCTAATCATAACTTATCCAGGAAATGCTGGATTATCATCAAGTAGTAAATTCAATGATCATCTTCATGACAGTTCAATCAGATTCTTATCTTAGTCAATTAGATTTTTTTTTCAAGTGAAATTATGAAAAAAACTGTTACAATTTTTCATAATTAACTTAATCGTCTTAATGATTAGTTAATTGTTTACATTTTAATCTGATTCTCTCTTTAATTATCATTACAATTGAAAAATACTCGTTGATTGTTAACTAACCTTCAATGAAACAATAACACTTTCCCTTTGATAGTTATAAGTTTTTTCCCATTGTAAACAAAATGATTGAGCTTAATCTTGTTTCAGATTAATTGATTACTTGTATTTAATTTTCTTAATCATCAACAATTTAATCAACATCAAGGTTAATATACACATAAATTAATCATCTCAACAACTTTACCCTCTTTGTTTTTTTTCGTGTTGTTTTAATTACAAAGAGGGAAACAAATCAAATGTCAAGAGCTGACAGAGTTTGTTAATTATTTTTACCTTTTCTTGTTGGATATTAATAGAAATACAATTTACTAATTGTTGTTTAATTCTTAATCAAGGTTTCTGGACAACAACTCAAATTTTACCTAAAAATGCTGAAAAAGAGTCGATAATTAAAACAACACTTCGAGAACTGTTCATCTATTTGGCTTTTCTGGTCACAGTTTCAGTCAGTAAGTTTGCACTTTAATTGTGTCATAAACAATTAGTTAATTGTTCATTTTTCGCCAACAGTTTCATTTTCTGTAATGAATCCAACGATGTATTATCAAACCAAATTGTTATCTGAATTGTTTCTTGATAAAACTGCTTCTGATGGGACATCGTTCAGAGCGGCGACCACAATGGACCAATTCTGGAAGGTAATCAAGGATTAAATTAATCGATAGTCGATTGATAATCAATTAAATGGAAATTTTTCTTTTCTTCTCTAAATCATTTTGATAATCTCTCAGTTTGCAGAAGAGATTTTAATTGATAATCTCTATTGGGATAAATGGTACAATAGTAATAAGACCTCGACGGAAACTTCAATTCTCTATGAGAATTATTTGATTACCGCACCTCACCTGAGACAACTTCGAGTTCGTAACGATTCATGTGAAGTTCATAAAGATTTTCGTAAGGCTATTCATACGTGTTACAATTCTTATGCTGATTATCTCGAGGAAAGAGATTGGTTATCAAATGGAACTGGATTCCAGTGGGAAGAGATTCAGTCGTTTGCTAAGAACGCAATTTGGGGTAAAATTTCAACCTATTCGGGTGACGGAGGTTATATTGTTGACCTGGGGCTGAATAAAACTGCGCCGGTGAAATATTGGCCGAGTTGAAGAAAAATCTATGGATCAATCGAGGAACTCGAGTGATCTTCATTGACTTTACTACTTACAATCCGAATATTAATCTGTTCGTTGTTTCCAAGTTAATTGCTGAATTCCCTGCCACCGGTGGTATGTTGACCTCGTGGCAATTTCGAACTCTAAGTTTACTTCAAACGGGAAATAAAGCAATTATATCGACTATTATTTTCTCAATTTTCATCGCATTTGTGGTCTATTATTTTATCGAGGAATTGGTTGAGATGAAAACTCTTGGAATAACAAATTATATCAATGAATCTTTTTGGAATTTTCTTGACATTCTAACTATTATTCTTGGTTCCATGCTAATATTTTATTCATTTTACAAGAAATACGTAATTAATAAGATATTCAATCAAGCGGCGATTGGTAAGTCCATCAACAAAATTAATAGACTAATGGTCAAATATTTGATCAATGGTCATAATCCAAGTTGATAGTAATCAGTATAATAGAATGATAATTGTTAATTGTCAACTCATTTCCTTGTCTCGATTTACCATTAAGAAGATTATTGTGCATGATAGAGTTTTATATGAATTGTTGCTCAAGACCATGAAGACTTTTGGGAATTTGATGGAGAAAATTAAGTTCTAGTTGTTAAATTAGCCGAATAAATGACAGAACTGAGCCAGCGAGAATTCTTAATATATAAGTTAATGTACCAAAGAAAAAGTAAAACATTGTCTCAAGAATTCAATGTAATATCAAATAGAATTTTATTCAATTTCAGTTTGGTTAATTGTCGCGAATAAGCAATAGGTTTACATGATAGAAGAAAGAATATCTCAATTTGATCAATCGATTTTCGATTATTTTATTTCGACTCTGATCTTCTTCTTTGGATTCGTTCTTATTGATGAATTGTCGAATTTAATAATGGAAATTTTTCATCGCTATTCGAATTTCTATTTCAGAGGAACCTAATTATCTGACCAATTCGAGTTCTGTTGCATTGAGAATGGAAACTTATCAGTTCGATACTCTTGGTTTCTGGTCTATGCAGTTCGTTAACATGTTGGCACTTTTAACTTTCATTGTTTGGATCAAAGTATTTAAATATATCAGTTTTAATAAAACGATGTCACAATTAAGTTCAACTTTGAGTCGCGTGAGTGTTTCAAACTTGAATCCCGTCGAAAGGTCAACTATCGAAAGCATATTAATTTCTTATTTGTTCTAGTGTTCTAAAGATATCGCTGGTTTCGGTGTCATGTTTTTCATCGTTTTCTTTGCATTCGCCCAACTTGGTTATCTGCTATTTGGAACTCAAGTCAAAGATTATAGTTCATTTGGAACTGCGGTGTAAGAGTTGATTCAATTCAACGATTATTCAATGATTCGATTAATTTTTTTCATCTATTTTCAGATTCACGCTACTTCGCTTGATTTTGGGCGATTTTAATTTCCAAGAACTTGAAGCGGCAAATCGGGTCTTGGGTCCATTCTTTTTCCTCAGTTACATATTTTTCGTATTCTTTGTCCTAATGGTGAGTGTTAATCAATTTGCATCGTTTGATTGGAACTGTTATTAATTTGATTCGACTTGTTTTCAGAATATGTTCCTTGCCATCATCAATGATACTTACGCTGAAGTAAAAAGTGAACTTCATGAAGACGATGAATTCCCAATCATGCAATATTTCAAGAATCATTATCAAGGATTATTGAATAAATTGGGCGCTCAACGAGATCAGATTGAAGGTATTCAAGCGGCCTTAACTTTAGATGGAAATAAAAAGTTATCTTATGAACATGTTCGAGCTGAATTAAAAAAACGCGATCTAACTGACCCAGAGATCGAAATGCTGTTCGCTAAATATGATCTAGACTGTAATCGAGAATTAGATTCAGAAGAATTGTCGAAATTATTAAATGACCTGGAGGGTAAAAAGCTCGCACTTGACAAGCAAATTGAACACGAACAAGCAAATCGACCGACATCAGCTCTTAGTCGACATCAATTCGGCCTTGGTGGTGAAGACATGGTCAAACTAGTTCGAAGGGTCGACCGAATGGAACACACTTTAATGGCCATTTCAGGTAAAATCGATTCCGCTTTGGCAGGTAAATTGATCATTCCAAAAGGGCCACCGGAAGTTGGAGTTACTCAAGCCTCTGATGATGAAAATGAAGCAACTAAACGTTGGGCTAATTAAAACTAATTTAAATCACTTTCCAGTTCCAATCAACAATCAATTTTATCACCCAAACTTTAACTTAATTGTTCATTCAAACTATTGACTATATTTTCATCAAAAACTGTTACTAATTGTTGCTCTTGTATTTAGTTTAACTATTAACTTTGTTTCGCTTTCAAAAAATTTAGCCTTTAATCATTACAATCTAATTTAATTGTCATTAATTAAATCGAAGCACTTGATAATTAATAAAACGTATTCCACCAACAAGGAACCGAGAGAAATGCAAAAAAAAACTTAATCACTATAATGAACAAATTGATTAGTTAAATTGTTTCGTTAATCATCAACAATTAACTTACTTTCTCTCAAAAATGGATAACAATTGATAACATGATGTTAATCATTAAAGTTGTTGACAAAATAATCAACAAAGTTAATTAATATGATTAAATGTCAATTATGACAATGAAAACTTTTTAGTTTGATTGATCTACTTTTCTGTATTACTTTTAACATGATTAATAAATAAATGATTAATTAGTTAGTCATGATTAGTTAATTATTGATTTGACACAATTGTGTTTGCCATCAAATGGTAAAAGATACATAATCAAACTACTAGTTCTCATCATGATTAGTTAATTGTAAGAAATTTTAATTTGTATATATTAAAAAAAACCATGAAAAGTGTTATGAATTCATATTCATTGTATGGATTAGAGTTTAAGGATTAAAGGATTAAGAGGTTTTCTTATTGACTTTTATTTTGTAAATCATTACGAGTTAATATTAAATCATGATTATCTTATACATTTTGTGTAATTAAATGACTTTGTTAATGAATAAAATTGTTTCAATGGAAATAAAATTCATGCGTTTAAAGGGATTAGATTTTCATTTCTTGATTTATCGCAGGACGTTGAGGTTTCACCTGAATTATCACGATTTGTATGATTATTTTCAATCTCTTCATCGAGTTGATTGATATCTGAACATTTTAAAGTTATCCAAATGGCTGAACGAATCCTTGGATTAGTTAGGAAATAGATTAACGGATTAAAGATGGTTGATGTTTTAGCCATAAGCGGTGGAAGTAGACTGAACCAAACGGGTACATCGGCGGGATCACCGAAAACAACATAGAGACATAATAATGCATATGGAGTCCAGGCTAATAGGAAAGCGATGTTAATTACAATTGTCATCTAAATGATTAATCGCGAAAAGAAACAAAAACAAGAGAATAATTTTTATCAATGAGAGTAAAACAATTGGTAGCACAATGCGATATACTTACGAATGTTATATTCTTTTGATTGGTCCAATAATCTCCTAAACAATTAGTCCAACGAACCTGAGGATCTCTTGAGTTAATCCATCGACGAACTGACCGATAAGAGAAAAAGATTATTGTAAAAGGCAGAAAATAGCCGAAAATGGCATAAACTATGATAAAAGATTTATATGAATCATCATTTTGTCGCCAGTCGATTGTACAACTTGTAATTAACGGTTCTAGGCCATAACTGGCCCATCCGATCATCGGCATTAGCGCCCAAAATAATGCATATAACCAGATCGATAATATAACAGCGATAATATTATAAGGCGATGTTTCAACTCTTGGATTACCTGGTAATTCAAGGAAAGAGAGATGGAGAGAAAATAAATTGTTAATCAGATTCTTAATGTATTGTCAATACAAATTGTGTATCAAATTACTAATTAAATGTTCACCAAATTGATTATCTTGACTGATATATTTTACTGACCTTCATCCGATTATAATAATCATCAGATTATAATCCAAAGTTTACTCTTTACGTAAATAAATCAATGATTATCTAAGCAAAATTTAACGTGATCTCTAATCAAACGTAATCAAAGGTAAAAATTGTAAATTATAATCAACTTGATTTGGTCAGTTTTTCGTCAATTACAATTAATAAATTGAATTGAAATTTCACTTCAATTAACTAACAGAGTTTGACCATATTAAATTGATTGTTACACTTTTTCTGTATCATTATAATTACTATTAACTGAAAATATTACTCCCATGGATTCTGATGATTGTCTGAACAATTTAGACGAGAAATCAATTTATCTAGTTAATTAAGCAACTTAATTCAGTTATAATTTAGAGAGTAAATATTTTTCAATTACAATTATAATTGATTAGTAGTTTGATTCCTAATAAAATGTTGGAAAAGTTTTTGTTGTCAAACTTATAATTAACTGATGATATTAAATTGTTGCAATTTTTGATTAACTTGGTTTCTCAGGTAAATGGACCGATAAGTAATCAATAGTTAATAGGAAACAATTCTGATGACAATTAATTATGAAATTGATTCACGTTATTATATTGAATTTGATTAAATAATCAGATAAAAAAACGAGACGTCAAATTGTTACAATTTAAAAAAGAGAGATATTAATAATAAATAGACAATTAAATCTTTGATTACAATCAATATTATTGAGTAGACATGTAACAATTTACCTTTGCTTTAAATTGTATCAAAATTAATCCGATTTATCATCTAGATTAAGGAATCAAGTTGGATAATCAAGTAACAACAATTAAAAGGACAGTATTTCAACAGTTTAATTGTTATTTATAAATCGTCTTGATTCAATCATCTACCAATAGTAATATTGGATTATCAGTCTGGTAAATGATCAACAATTGAGCTGATTCAGTTTATCTCTTATGTTATGGGGTTTCTATTGTATTAAATTCAATTTACAGTTACAATTTGTTGGAATAATTAAATTGTGAAAGAAACAATTTAACCCTTGAGGCTAAAGTTAATTTCCTCTCAATCTTTCCAATGTGTAAGAAAAGAGTAATTTTGTTATCGAATGAAATTCAATAAAACAATTCCTATATTCTTTAGTCAATTTTCATGGTAACTGTTTCATCACATTTGGGACTTTGAATTAATTTCATCTGATTAATTGTTTATAATTAACTAGCAAACATCATCAAGCAGATAAAAGCAAACACTGGTGATACTTAAAACAATGTCATCAAGGTATTAAACAAGACTTTGATGAGTATAGACAAGAGAGAGAGAGAGAGAGAGAGAGAGAGAGAGAGAGAGAGAGAGAGAGAGAGCTACTAATTGTATTTGCAAATTCGTGAGTAAATATCAAGAATCATTATCATTAAGGTAAAATTGATGACATTTCTTTAAGGTGATTGACTATTTTGTCCTTGGCATATTGTGAATGGCCATTTACAAGTGTGTTATGATAATATTATCGTAAGCATTTTGCAATAGTCTGATTATAATTTCTTATAAATTACTAAAACAATCAATAATAATAAACAACAATCAACAAAAAAATTGATTCAACCTGAGATTGCATAAGATGCAAAAATTAACCATCGACTTTTAAAACAAAAATAAACAGAGAGAAATGCAAACCTTGATGTAAATCTAAACAGATAAGGTTTCATCAACTACATTTACCTGGAGAGAGATGAGGATGATGATTAAATAAAAGATACTAATAAGAAGATGATGATTAACAGAATCATCTACTGAGATAATAATCAAGTAAATAGTGATAATAAAGGGAAAAGATACTAAACTGTTAGTTGGAAGATGCTAAAAGCTTTTCAAAGAAAGAGATAAAGATGATTAAAAGCTAATCCTTTTGGGGATAAATGATGATTATCTTCATTGTTTAATCAACATTATTCATATACCCAAAATCTTTACTCATTAAAAACCATATTAACCTTTACGAACGACCTTTAGTAAAACATTTACCTCAAGTATTTACCTTTATTGTTTTGTTTAATATCAAAATGATAAATTCTTACCCCATATTATTATTGACCTTTAATGTACCTTAACCTTAATTATATTGACCTCTCAACTCTGTGGTTCCTTTCACCTTTAAAGGTAATAACAACTACTAATATACACGAAATGATAGTTATCTTTTACCTAAAGATTTAGTTACTTTTTGCTCTCAGGTAAGTTTATCATATGGTAGAGTAGCTTATACCTGTCAACAATTTAGTTAATTGTTAATTGTGATGGAAACTTACTAATGGTTATCCTGCAAATTTTGTTATAACGATCAAGAGCAAGAAATGTTAAGGTTCCAATGTGAGCAGATCCAAAGAAGAATCCAAAAAAGGCATACCATTGACATCCATCATCACCATAAAGCCATCTAATTGGGAAACAGTTTTGATTAGTTAATTAGCTGGTTAATTGTAATTGAAATTTGTTACCTTCCAGCAAGATTAGAGGAAGATGAGAAGGGATTACCAAATGATACTATTCCAAGATCGGAGAGGGCAAGATTTGCCAATAGAATCGCTGTGTCCGAAGTTCGTGATCGAAATCGATAGAACATAAATAATAACAATAGATTGCAAATACTACCAATGATTCCTGGAGAGAGAAACAAATTCACTAAATTAGATTAATTTCTCACAATGAGATTAAATTGATTCGTAGACTTTAATGTTTATGATTAAGTGATTATACAAATGTATCACAAAGTATAATCACTTTTTCAATGGGAAACACAAAAAAAGAGCAAAAAAAGGTTAATTGTTACAAATTCATTTAGTAAATTAAATCTCTTGGTGATTAACTTTAATAGACAAAATTGAAAAGATAATCTCTCATATTAAAATCTATTTCCTGGTTCGAGTTTAATTCACTCAAAATCAGATGATTGTAAGACTATAATTAGAGTCAACTAATAATTGTAGGAGAGAGAAAATTACAGACTAATTATTGATTTAATTAGATTTGATTACTAATTGTAACTTTTCTTTTGTTGGTGAATAATTAAACTAATTAAACTAATCTACATGCTTTAACTTGAACTCAGACTTATTGTTTAATTACATTAGTTGGACAAGTTGAATTATTATCGATAAATTTTGTAATAATTATGTCAAAGTTTCGGTTAACAATTAATCTAATTAAATCATAAATTCAGTAAGAAATTACTGTCATCATCATTTCATGGTGAAATTAATACTAATTCACTTATGGGATTCAAATGAGGAAAAAAAATCGGAAATGAACTGAATTGGTGTTTACCTTTTTGTTTCCCATTCGCTGTCAGAACTTTTTTTTTATGTTTATGATTGAAATCATATTAATGATTAATCAATCAATCAACTGTTAATTTAATCATTCAAGTAGCAAATTTACACATGCAGGTAATTGTGAAATTGTTAATGTTTCACGTTTCATGTTAAATTAAATGATCAACAATTAATTGTACAAAATTTGCTTAACTTACCTACGGTTGCAAGATAAAGTCCAATGAATTTGGTTAAATTAGGAAACGAGTTGATCATAATTGTTGAATTGATTTACTTTGATTATCAATTATAATTGATGAAGAAATGATTTAAGATGTGATGGAATTGATTAGATGATAAATTGTTTCAATTAACTTAATCCAAATCTGTTTGTTGGTTTATGTTTACCGTTAGACTAGTGATGATGATGATAATTGTGATGATCAATTGATGAGAACATATTGAGAATTAGATGATTTAATTAAATTGTTCTGGTCAATGGTAAATCAAACAGTTAAAGTTTTTCTGTTAATCACTTAAAGTCATTTGGAAGGAAAATAAGGTGAAGATGAAGATGAAGATGAAGATGATAATGGAGCTGATTGTGTTTTGGAAGCATTTTTGTGGTTTCCAATGATGATGAAGATAAAGATGATGAGAACAAGGTAGAAAATAGAAAGAGAAAGAAAGAAGAGAGAGAGAGAGAGATTTTACAATGATGATGATAATGATGATTAGAACATTGGAATTGTAATTATGATGATAATTTTTTTTATCTTCTTTCTTTTCTCTCTTTATATTTATCTTTCTCTCGTTTCTTCTTCATTCTCTTTTCTCTTGTCTTCTTCTTCTCTCTCCTTAATCATCATCATCCTCCAAAATATTATTCGATAATCTCTTCCTGTGAAATGCAAAACAAAAGTAAAATATTAACTCGACTTAACTTTGATTAAAATTGATTCTTCAAGTGATGTTAATGAAAAGGTTTGCAAAAGTGAAACATTCGAATATCAAAATGATTCTCTCTGCTATTTTCATCCTCTCTCACTCTCTCATATACTCATTCTCTCTCTCTCTCTCTCTTCCATTGTCTCCCTCTAAGTTTCTTCTTCTATCTTTCCACTCATCTTCTTCTACTTTTCTCTCTCTTTCTCCATGACTCTGTCTTTTGAGCTACTTCTGTCTTCATCTCATATATTCACCTTCATTCCTTGGACATTTAAGGTAAATCGAAGCCATCGAAATGATATTTTCTTAATGCTTACTCAGGCGCTCTTTTTAGTTTCATAATAAATAATTCACCTTTACGGAAGACAAAGATGAGAATGAAAGAATAGAAATGTATCCGCTTTCTCTCTCTCAACTCTAGAACAGTTTTTCTTTCCTCAAAGAAGAACAAGAAAGAAAAAGTAATAAATTCTCTCATCTAAGAATACTAATAATAATGTTTCATGTTCATTGATCTTTTTTTTTTCTTCTTCTTCATATTCTCAACATTTTCTTCATATATCACTTTCAGAACGATGTTATTATTACCCAAGTAACCATTGTATCATTTGGGAATGGAAAAGGGCAAATGTATCCATGTTAGAATGTGTAAGTTTTTCAATGATATTAAATTGACATGTCAGATTATTAACATGCCAATAATTAAATGTGAAAACTCACCTTTGGTTATCCATAGTTATAGAAGATGATGACGATGGTGATGGTGACAGGAACAGATGAAAATAGTTGCTTACAATTAGAAACATAGCCTACAGAGATGATGATGGAACAAGTTGAGTTACGATGATGAGCCAATTTGAACGTTTTGAAAGCCTAAAAGGATTAAACAATCAAAGAGAAGAATAAAAAGAAAACAAGTCAATTAATTAATGTTACATAGTCTTACCTTTAAACGGAAGGAGGTATTAATTAACTCTGGTAATTAGAAATTAAGTGAAAGGTAAAGAAAATCTAATTCTTGCTTTCAATTCAATTTTCTATCATGTAATGTTTACATTGCATTTTCTTATTACCCATTGAAAATATTGGAGGGAGAGATTGACAACATTAAGGCCTAAAGGGTCATTTACAAATGGTCACTTAAATTGTTACCTTTAACTAATTAGATTAACCATGAAACAATAATCTGCTATTTTCTAATAATATGTAAACAAAAATGTTTACATACAAGAAGAAAATTATTTGGTCATTTGTATTATGTTGAATAAGAAAATGTTGTCAAGACATTTTGTTTTTGTTTGTTCACTAAAAGGAGATTTTTGTTTTCTTCATCTTCTCCAAATAATCAGTGTCAGTGACGATAACAACATTTCAAGTGTCAATTGGATTAACAGGATTGTTGAGAAAAAGAGATAATAAACACAAACAGAATAGTGAATAAAACTAATTACCAGAGATAATTAAAAACGTGACTTAATTTGAGAAAAAGAAAAATTAATTTAATGAAAAAAAGAAGACAAGTGCTGCCATCTCTTTATTTCCATTTTAACTATTGTGCTTTTTTCTTCTTATTTTCATATTAAAAGATGAAGGTCAATTAGAACGCGTTTCAAGGTCATTTGCAGGTATCGCACATTGTTTGTTAGAGTTTCTTCATCTATCTTCAAATTTAATCCTTTCTTTGATTCTCGACATAAACTAACTACTGTGTTCGACATACATGTATTATCCGGAATTGTATTATTGATATAAACTTTTCCAAAATTTAATTACAACAATTAAGAGCAAAGATTTAATATCTTTTACTTACAGAGCGAAAAAAGCATGATAATCCAATGGACTTTCGGTTATATGGCCTTCGCTCAACTGAACCCAAATCGGGTTTCCAGTGTTTAGATTGTTAATCCAAAGGGGTTACCTTTAGATGTCCTTGTTTGGTGAACCTCTTGTTGGGAATGTAAACAAATGAATTATAATTGATTATCATTTGGAAAATTACCTTTAATTTAACGGTAAATTTTGTTTTTCTCTAATTGAGAATCTTTAATTACGATGTTTCCTTTAAAAATAACTGTCGAGGTGAAGCATCAATGGATCAGTTAATTAGTAATCAATTATTCACCATTACCGGTTGAGAGATTCAGTTAAGTATTGACAACTTGTTGTCAATTCAATTTCCCATTTTAATGTATTAATTGTTCAATTGCTTTTCTCCAACAATTTACTCGACGATTACAAATTTGAAACATTCGTAATTAGAGATTTAATTGTATAACAATTCATTTCCGTTTCTTCATTTCGCATTCATTCATAATTCTAAATCTAATTATCGTTCTCTTTTCTTCAATTATATCATTTCTCTCTCAGGTATTAATTGAATTCTCAAACTCTCATTAAATGTCCATACAAATTAATTGACCATTGGAAAAGCTTATCCATCGTATCTCTTATTTATTAACAATATTATCTTGAAGGATGCCAACAATAATCAATATAAGATCAATATAATTACCGATGAGAAGAAATTTAATTCTGAATCATGTACAGGTAATTTAATTGCATGTTCTTGAAAAGGGTTATTATCTTCTTGTCTCTGGATATAAACCCCATAAATGCCCTGAGGCTAAGAGAGTATAAGAAGATACCAATTGATAAGCCGAAACAAATAACCTGACCCATCAACAATTAGTAAAGGTAAATGATATTATTGATAAAGTAACAAACTTGTCCTTCTAATGGTCAAGTTCACTTTCTGAATCAAGTTCAGTTCAACACTCAACCATCATCATCATTATCATGATTGTTTCCATCATTAACTAAGTTCAACCAAAGGTAAGTAATTTCCCTTCAATCTCACCAAGCTAATTACATGATAATAACAACACCAAACTAATTGATAACTTTCACTGTGATTCTTTGAATTTTGGTGATTATCATCATTCATCATCATGTAGTATTTACTGTTAATTTGATAGAATCACAATTATAATCACTTGAATGTATCAAATAGTTAAAGTTTTATCATCTAATTGTGAAAATGAAGAAAAAAAGTAAACAAATCATTAAATGTGATGATACATTTGCTGTTGTTGATGAAAACTGAAGCCAATTCTGAACAATATCATGAGTGATTATTATTCAATTTACCGTTAACTTGAAGCTTAAGAATATAAATCAGAATTTAAATGAATCTAATGTTTGAATAAGGAAAAAACGAAGAGAAATATTTATATAAGTCAATTAGAAATTTGGTCAAGTTGCCTGAGGCGAGATTTTTATATCAGGTCAACATACGCTTTAGATTAACTCTCCTTTTCTTTTTCTCTATTCTATTATCATGAAAATCTTAATTCTTCATTGAATTAACTTGTTATCAATGAATTTCTCATTATTTTACTTGAAGAGAAAGAGAGAGAACAAAAAAATTACTCTGATATCACATTTCGTATTCTCATCCTCATTCACAATTTGCTCTAATTAATATTCTGATAGTTTTATCATCTACATGAGTCAAATTTTCATCACTGAAAATTATACTCAAATTCAGTGAAGTAAATTAACTCAATCTGACAGAAATAATCTTAGGTGGAAACGTAAATTGTTATGAATGAAACTCTGAGCGGGTGGAAAAACAATCCAACTCTAAACGCAGAAAACTGAACCGAAACTTATTTGGACATTCGAGGAAACGAAAACAAAAAAGGACGATTGTAAGTTTTTTAAATTGTCTTTTTAGTGTTGATCATTTTTTTACGATTTTTACGGTTAAATTGAGCTTCTTTATGGCGAACAGAGAAATTGATTTTATGAGACAAAATTTAAGCGTAAAGAAAATGATGATTAAACTCGCAATTCGTTGTTGTTAATCGGTGTTAATTATCAAATGATTTATAATATTAATCAATCTTATTATTGTTTGTTGATGATTTAGAAATGGGTGTTGATGAAGATGAAGATGAAGATGGTGACATGTAAGCTTTTTTATAGAAAGATGCAAAGAGGAAGAAAAATAAAACAGCGTGAAGACCCTCGAGATAAGCCAAGACCAAAGGCCAGTGACAATTTGGATTAACGATGGCATTTAGAGCGTGGAAAAAGGTCAACACAAACTGGACCATTTGCAATTGGGTGATATGCTTTTTCCACCAAAGGTATTTCTTCATCTCTGGACCTGCACAGGCCAAAGCATAATAGGCATACATGATCGCGTGAATAAGGATATTGATGGTTGGTAGGAAGCCCGAATAGCCTACAGGGTGGAATTTCAGTCCCACAAAACCGACAATGGGCATGACTCCGTGGTGGAAAACGTGTAAAAATGAGGCTTGATGGAAACGCTTTCTCAATACAAAGAAAATGGTATCACCAAAGTCCACGATTTTAGTGAGAAAGTAAATGTAACCAAGGTAAACGGTTAGATTATCCTTGAGGTTAGAGGTATTGGGATCGACTGGACCACAGTTCCAGGTCTCTTTTAACATATCGGTTACCCAAAGACCCACAAAGAAACCAACTCCGTTTACACCGATGAGGAAACTGTTGTGTAGTAACATGATTGACCTCAAGTCAAATGGTTGTCGTCCTTTCATCAGAGCTGGACCCAAGATTCTGACAAAGTACCAGTAAAGGAAACTGATCAACATGACCTTCCATGGACCACCATACATAAGGGGTAAAGATGATACTCGAGGGTCACCCTTTTCCTCCCAAAAATCATGAAAATAGTAAAATGTTGTATCCATAAATGATTTACTAGCATTAATTGTCGTCGTTGCCGTTGTCGCGCTCGACATCCTGATTAGTTTTTCTATTATATAAACTTTTCTTGTTAGACTAACAATAAAAAAAAGTTAATTCGTTGATGACAAAATTTTCGATTTCGTTGGTTTCAAGTAAATTAAATCCTCTAAAAGAAAATGAGGAGAATAAAAATTAAACTAAATTAAATTAAATTACGATGAGATCAGTGAAGATTCAATAATGATAATCATTGATCAGAATGATCTTCACATGTTCATGTTTACATGATAAACTCACATTTATGGAAAAGTAGATAAACAAAAACTGAATGAGAAACTTTTTTTGCAAATTAGTTGATTGATAGAAAACAAATAGATTAATATAAGTTATCAATAAAGTTAATTCACTACGATGATTTAACACAATTTAGATAATGATTAATTCACAGTTCACTAGTTGAAGGGTTAGAGAATAATAAACAATTTTCAAATCAAGGTAACTATTAACTCGAAAATGAGTTGACAATCAGTGACACGTTTAATAATCAATAGAATTGAATAAAGTAACTGAAGGGGGATCTCGCCATTAATATGATCCTCACAATCATCAACATGATTCGGTGAAAAGTTACTGATAAACTAATCGAGAAGAAAAGTATCTCCAGGTAAGTAAAACTTTTTCTTTCCACACCATTCAGGTAAAACGAGCAATTCGTAATTGGAAAACCCTCCTTCTAAAAGGCTACTACCTTTTTCCCCTCTTGTTTTCATGATAAACAACAAGTAAACATGATAAATATTCATTTTCCCCTGAATAACATTTCCAATTGGAAGGAGGTTCAGTGAAGACCAGAAAATCAGGTTTAACCGAATAAACCAAATGACAGAATCGAAATGATATCTTCCTTTATCATCCATCTTCATACTTTCACTTTCTCTCTCTCATAACTAATCATTATCACCTTATAATCAAATGAATTCCCACTGAATCTGATAATTTCATAGACATTTGATTGTCACAATGACTTTTTATTTTATTTCCATATATTGTCCAGAATATCAATCGACTTGATATCCCATTTGACAGCTACAATCATCCTAATCACTAATTTAAATCCTTTTTTGCTACTAAATTGTTGATTATTCCCCTTTAATCTAATTGTAAACTGATTGTTTTCATTTCACATTTTCCTCAATCAATACTCATAACAATAAGTTGATTGTTACCTTTGATTTTGTATCAACCATAACAATAGTGTTTAAAGATAACTTGGTTTCCTTAATTGTCATCAAATTGTTACCATGTTGACATTGAGAAGTAAAAAAAAAACAACAATTTTAATCAGTCTTTTGTCTTGTTGGTGGACATAATCATCATCTCAATTGACCTTCACAATTAATATTAATTTTTTGACGTAAATTAGATTGATAATTTACCGTAATTGTTATTTTACATTAATCCAATTTCATTGAAACAATCAACTTAGTGGTAAGAATCAACTAACGATCAAATTGCATTAACAAATCAAAGATAAAATTTAAAATATCCCTTCAATATTAATCCAATCAGCTGATAATTAACTTCCAATCAATTGACAATTACTTCAGTTGTAACCATTTGAATATTTCAATTGATTATTATAGACAAATGATAAAATATTATCATGATATTTGTCATTAATAAAATAATGTTAAGATGATAGTTAATTGTTAACAATTGAAATTACTATTTGCATGTTGTTATTGTTGAGAAACTTTTTTTTTTAATTGTTTCTCTCTAATTGTAATTCTGATTGATAATAGTAGTTAACATGTCAAGGTTACCTTTTTTTTTATTAAAGGTAATTGTTTCTCACATTTCAAACTCATACCAGATTATTCATGGTATTATCCGAACTCAGAATCATGTTGATTATCATGAGGATGTTGATCATGATTAGATAATAATTTAGTTAATTGTTAAGCCAGAAAAAAAACTCGATTCCCTTGAAAATGAATAAAAACAAAACAAAACAAAAAACAACGAGATGACCTTTGGGTTATCCACTTATACTAATCATTAAATTATCTAAAGTCCAATGGACTTTAATCACTAATTAGCCAATAGCTTGGAATGAATAACAATTAAAAGAAATTAATCAACACCAACTAATCAATCGAATATCGAAAATTGTTATTATCAAGACAATCAGCATCTTCTTCACCTTTATTTTTCCTCCTCCTCATCATCATCATCGTCGAAATTGTTTCTCCTGTAGTATGATAACTTTTCCTTATTTAATCATCGTAATAATTAACTTAATTTACTGAATATCAACTAAAAGGATAAAAATGAACGGAAATATTTGACCTTAAGTCTTAAGTTTCCCTTTTCTTTTGCCGATTACCTTTGAATTGTTGGCCTACATCGACATCGGCAGTTTGTTTTCTCATATTAAGAGAAGAGAGAAAAAAAAAAGATGAAAAATTTATTTACGAACTTTTTAAACGTGTTTTTGGCTTTTGCTGTTGATTGTTGATTATAATCAACAACAATCAACGCAACTTTTTCCCTCTCACTCACAATTAACTATTTACAATATCACAACTCACACAAATTGAAGCCCAAGTTTAAAGATGAAATAATGACCTCAATTTTTACCTTTACAATGATTAGCATTTATTTATTTTTCTTCTTCTTCAAAATTAACCTTAAGACTGTAAATTAATTAATTGTTACGTATTTAGATTGAATAATTAACAATAAATCACCTTAAGTTGAAAGGTGAATCGTCACCAATTCATCTTGATTTACCTGATCAGCTGATTCGCAACTACTTAACATCTTTAAATTTATCCTCGAGATTATCAATTGATCAAGATTAATATTCTCGCCTATTTGATTGTTAATTGTTGAGACATTCAATTTGTACTATTTGCTTTTGGACAATTTAATTAGTTTGATTATCCAAAGTTGGTTCATTTTTACCTTTTCTTAATTGTTAACTATCATCATTGAGAAAAAAACAATAATCTTAATGACGGTCAAATGGTTAATCTTGATATTTGATTAATTAGATTGAAACGGTTAATTGATTAGGTTCAGATTAATTTTCACTTTTACCTAAGGGACAATTATTAATATAATTGTTGTTAATTATATTGTTTTCATTTTGATAATTGATTGTTGGTTGATGATGATTAGCTTATTGAGAAAAAAAAAGTTAACCGATAGTTAAGATTGATCAATGAAATTGTTAATTATTTTCCTTATCAACCATTAAGTATCGGTCAACAATTAAGTAGTAGCCAGATTAACAGACAGGTAATCAAGTTAATCATAATCAATGAGCTTAAGTTAATTGTGACGTTTAATCATCTCTGTTCATTGATTAGATACAATGATCCAATTGATTATGAATCGATGATGAGAAAATCAATTTTTCCTTATTATTTATCAATTCTTGTTGATTACTTATTGATTTTATCAGGATTATATTATTTGTTTACAATTAGTTTTAATTGTTACTGCTACTTAAACTTTGATCGTGATGGTTATCCCTGATCCTTGATTGTAACCTTGATTGTTTTTCATTACCAATTAAACTTAATGAAGGTTAATCAAATTTTTCATTTCATTTTCATGCAATTGTTACATTAGCTAAAAAATTGGAGGAAATTATTAACCGTTAATTGTAACTTAGTTTAATTATGATTACGACTTGTTAACTTTGTTTCAAACAATCAAATCAACAAATTGAACTTATTTTTTGTATACATTTTAATATTATTATACATTACACATACAGAAAATATTGATTGTTAATTGTTGATTATGCTGTTCAAATCATCAGCTGATCAAATGATTTTATTGATTGTTGGATAATTTTTGTCTTACTATTTAATTTAGTTTGAAAATATGATTACAATTTGATTGCATGTCAAGCAACAAGTGAAAGTGCAATCATAATAATATTAAAAGTAACAGCAATTTAAAGGTTAAATTGATTGTGATTAACGAAAAATTAACTTAATCAATCGTTAATTATTCAACCATCAGACTGAAGGTCATGACTGAATTTAAATTGTTATTATCATTTGTTGTTTTATCCTTTCACCTTTTCATTAGTCACAGAATTAAAGTTAAATAATTAAATTGTAATTGTCTTTTTTCTTGATTGTGATTAAGTAGATTGTTATAATTTAATGATTTAATGTTGATCTGTTGCTATTTTCAAATGGTTAATATAATAAGTTTCATATTATAATTGTTATCTAATGGTTAATTGCTGGTCCATTGATATTTGATTGTTGAAAGGTTGATTGAGTGAAAAGGAGGCAACAATTAGTCAAGGTTAATTGTTGTTATTAATTTCTTAGTTTAGATTTACACTGAATTGTGATTAATTAATTAGTAATTTTCATTGTTGCAAATGTTAACCATCAATCAGACCTAATTAGTATTTGTGATTAACTAATTTTCAACTTTTCAACGAGCTCATTGAGTCTTGATTAATAAATTAATTATCTACTTGATGGATAATCTAATTGTTTCATAAACCACACACACACACTGATTAACTAAGATTAACTATTAATTATTTTAAGTTCAATATACGTTGACAATTAAAGTGACAAAATTAAAGTGAATTAATTGTAAACCGGTTGATTTAATTTCAGTAATCAAAAGATTAACATTCAATGGGAATTACCCAGTCCATGATTAGGATAACCTTGAGTCCTAGAAATTGGGAAAGCAAATTGTTTTGATTGTTACCTCATATTGTTAATTATCAACAATTAATCAACAAATAAAAAAACAACAAAAATTAGATCCAAACAATCAAATATCAGAAAAAGTCACAATTAAATATCAAAATTAGTGAATAAATAAAAAAACTTTCGATTTACAATCAAATATGAATGAAAAAAATCGAGAATCAAATTAACTCAAATTGATTACAATTAAGACGTATGAATTTACAATTGCTAATTTCTATTCTCATTAATTGTAATATTTAAGACCCAATCGATTTATCATTATAACTGTTAAATTATTTAATTGCAATCAATTTGAATGGATATGTTTTGATTGAAGTGAATGAAATTTTGATTTAATTTGCAAATTTGATTACTTTTCAACCAGAAATCTAATCATGACTAACTAATTATGATCAATATGATTACCATACTAATTAAGTTTTCTGCATATACATTTTGATGATACAACATTGTAACGACAATTAGATTGACAATTAATCGTTGATTTGGTTTGGCAAAAGTAACAGAGACTTTGATTGTTGTCAAATTGTAAAGAAGGAAAATGTTTCAATGAAAATAATAGTAAATCAGATTCGGGAGATTGATGGAAATTGTTAAGGAAGATAATTAAATATTTCTTTGATTTATCAATTAAATCACTTTAACAAGGATAACAAGTTGATGGAATTAAACTCACGTGAATATTTGACGTTCACTTTTTTTTTAATTCGTAAAAAAAATTCAATCAACTTAAAGTTTCAAATGATGATTTAGGTAAGAGAATTTGAATTAATTGTTTCAATTAAAGGAATTATGAAGGAGGAACAATTATGATGATAAAACCATCGAATGGGAGCTAAAGGTGAGAGAGAGAGAGAGAGAGAGATTCAGACTTGAATAATCAGGAGACTGGATTAACTGAACGTGCGAACGTCAGTTCCAGATAAGCTTTTATCCGAATCATGTTAATGTTCAAGTTTAATTGTTGAACATTGACAAGTAACGAGTAAATTAAATTCTGTTCAGTGTTGACTTACCAACGAACATAATTAACAAGAGAAATCAAGTGAAATTAACTGATTAACTTGTTCGTTTTTCGTTCCAATTTTTGTTTTGTTTATTTATTAATTTTTCTTTAACGTTGTTTTGATTAAGTTGATCTGAAATCGATATACAAGACAAAATGGTTGGACCAACGACGACAATTAATGCTAGTAAATCATTTATGGATACAACATTTTACTATTTTCATGATTTTTGGGAGGAAAAGGGTGACCCTCGAGTATCATCTTTACCCCTTATGTATGGTGGTCCATGGAAGGTCATGTTGATCAGTTTCCTTTACTGGTACTTTGTCAGAATCTTGGGTCCAGCTCTGATGAAAGGACGACAACCATTTGACTTGAGGTCAATCATGTTACTACACAACAGTTTCCTCATCGGTGTAAACGGAGTTGGTTTCTTTGTGGGTCTTTGGGTAACCGATATGTTAAAAGAGACCTGGAACTGTGGTCCAGTCGATCCCAATACCTCTAACCTCAAGGATAATCTCACCGTTTACCTTGGTTACATTTACTTTCTCACTAAAATCGTGGACTTTGGTGATACCATTTTCTTTGTATTGAGAAAGCGTTTCCATCAAGCCTCATTTTTACACGTTTTCCACCACGGAGTCATGCCCATTGTCGGTTTTGTGGGACTGAAATTCCACCCTGTAGGCTATTCGGGCTTCCTACCAACCATCAATATCCTTATTCACGCGATCATGTATGCCTATTATGCTTTGGCCTGTGCAGGTCCAGAGATGAAGAAATACCTTTGGTGGAAAAAGCATATCACCCAATTGCAAATGGTCCAGTTTGTGTTGACCTTTTTCCACGCTCTAAATGCCATCGTTAATCCAAATTGTCACTGGCCTTTGGTCTTGGCTTATCTCGAGGGTCTTCACGCTGTTTTATTTTTCTTCCTCTTTGCATCTTTCTATAAAAAAGCTTACATGTCACCATCTTCATCTTCATCTTCATCTTCACCAAAACAATCAGTCGCTGCTCATAATAAATCCGATTAGAAAATTAATCGAAATGTACTAATTAACATTTCAAATTGTTTGTCGTTCGTCTCCATGGCCTGGATTCCTCGTTGCTTCAAAATCATTTCTCATTTATGGTAAAATTCAAGGGATAAAAATCTTCCGTTATCATGTTTCCATTTTCATCTTCATATTCATCGTTTCTTCAAGATATACAAACGGTTTTTAGTTCTGCTGGTTCTTAGATCAGGTCACATTGGACGATTGTAATTGGAAAGGTACACAAGAGATCAAGACCAATATCGAGACTTTGGAACTAATTTCAACCAGATCGAAATGGAAATTCAAACAGAATCAACTTGATAGGATAACAATTAACAGATGAAAAATTTACAAGGAAAACCAGGTTACCAATTTAATTAGAATTAGATATTTAGCGGGAAAAGAGAAACAATCAAAGTTAATCATTTAAAACTCGCCATTTAAATTTCAACTAACAAACTATCATCTTAATTATCCATATAAACAATTAATCGATGTTCACACTAATATGATTAATACGCCAATTTGCTGATTGGAAAACACTAGTCAATACTTGATAATGTGACACTGATGCTCTGATTTAGATTAAAATTGATTTGATTACTTGATTATTTGATTTATGTCATTCAAATGATTGTAATTTATTTAATATATAATTGATTCAATTTCTGTTATTAAAAAGTCCCAATGAATTGTTTTCTGTTCAAATTAACAAAATAAATTGTAATTAAATATCAATTCTTTTGACAATTTACCAGTTCAAGAAAAAACTCCAAGGATATTAATCTCATCTGAACAATTAATTACCATTTATCAATCATATTCATTGATTAAGGAATCATTTCAGGGATTCGATTGATAATATAATTGATATTTTCGATATTAATTAACTCGGAATCTTTTAAGCGATTTCGAAGTGTTTTTGTTTTCTCAATTGACGAAAGTTGTGAATCCGATTCTTGGTTAATCCAAACAATCAACTATTTCCATAAACTGAATACTTGATTATCGTTTAATTGTTTTCTCTCCTTTGATTAAGCTTCCTTTTCTCAAGTGAACGCTTGAACTGATTAAATATCGAACCAAATGAACACATATTATAATCGAAACGCTTCATTTGCGGCGAAAAACACCAATTCAACAATCCTTGAATTCTTTCTTCCTTTAATCAAGTTATCGTTCTTTTTGTTGTTGTTCTTATTCGGATATTATATCATGATTATCGACTTGGAAGTAGATCAAAAGTAAACTTTAATTGTTGTTCTTTAATTGAATTTCACCACAATAATATCATTTTCTTTCACTGAATAAAAGTCCAAATTGTGCTCCTCTTTATCCAAATGGTATTCAATTTCCTACATGATCGAAAAGGAAAAGAAAACAATTATATTTTCATTTTTTCGAATTTTCCAAAATGTTCTTGCTCGAACTTATCGGAGAGGAATATGTAAACAAAAGGTTCGAAATGTTCTAATCGCTTTTGTACTAACTTGATTGTTATCATTTCTACTCTTCAACCATAAGAATATCTCAGTCGAATCATCAATTGAAAGCAATTTATTCACCAATTTCTTTAAGGCCGAAATTGTAGTTGTTCCTGTTGATCAGAGAGTTGGACAATTAGTAAATCTTGACAATTAATGAGTTACTTTAATTTCTTACTTGGAACTTTTTTGGAAATAGTTGAATCATCCAATGAATTTCTTATTGTTAATCCGATTAGTTTACTTTGAGGCTTCATTTTATTTCCTGGAACCAAATCAACCGGAGTTCCGTATTCTGTTGAACAATTAAGATTTCCAATTAAATCAATACAAATCAATCAATTTCCATGAGAATAATTACCTTCGAGAATATGTAAATATCGAGGATTGTCTTCGAGAAATGTTCGATCACCGTTTTCGATTGACCTGAGGTATTTAAGGTAATAGAATCGGAGATAATGTATTTCGCCGTCTTTTCTGAGATTATTCGTAATCTGTTGAGTAGATTTAAGGAAAATGCCGAAGATTAGTTGATGTTTCAAGTGCGAACATTGGAACGGAAATTAAAATGGAACTGACCTTAGCTCGATTGAGAATTTTAAGATTACCGATTATACTGAGAACGAAATTAAAAGCATAATCAAAGTTTATCTCCTCGAATAATGGATTATCTCGGATAATTAATTCCTCCAAAGATGGTAAATTGTTGAGATTAGCAATATCCTTCCATAGTTGAATACGATTACTTTTAAGATCGAGATGGATTAGGTTAGGAAAAAGGTTCTCGTCTCGGTTAATCACAACCGATTCTATGTCACAATTTACCAATTTAAGAGTCGTTAACCTGTTGGAATAGTAGTAAATTTCATTAATTGGTCAGTGAGAGTTTGTAATGGAATCGGTTTACTTTTTCAAGTGACCAAGTTTGTTGATGTATCTCCAATGGGTGATTTTATTATGATCCAAAGTGAGACTGGTCAGATTTTCCAAAGTTGTGGTTGATAGCGTGGCGATTTCATTGATTGAGTTGGAGAAAACATCTAATTGCTCAATGTGAGGCCAAAGTCGTTGACTGCACTCGATAATTTGTTCCCAATTGTAGTTCAATTTCCCAAGAGTGATCGTGTTCAATTTACGAAAAGAACTGATAAAATCTGAATGTTTATCATTGTCCAATGTTTTCAGGGGATTTCCAGTGACGATAATATGTTTAAGTGATTGGAAACAATCAACTATCGTTGCGATTTGACTCCATGATGATAGATGATTAAAGGAAACGTCTAAAACTTGGACATTTTTAAGCTTATCGAATAGGTCAGTGTCGATGTCCACTGTTCCTATTGAGCAAAATTTTAGATCAATTTCAATTCGCTTATCCAAAGCTCTAAGTTCACGATTAAGTTTCTCAGATCTTTCATAAAGTAGATTCCGTTTTCCACCGCCAAGGGTTGGAAATGATATTCCTGGTTCCTCATCAAGAGTATCATCATCGAGATACTTTGAGGTGATCGCTTTTGTTAAACTAACCCGATCAGATGATTGATCCATCAAAAGATTCTGGTGACAATTACAAGAGTTCCAACCAATAACTGAATAAGAACAATTAAAAACAGGGAGAAAACAATTAAAGGTAGAAAAAAAAACTGAATCAATGGCCAGAAAGGTAAGAGAAAATGGAGACAAATTGAATTGTAGTTGATTCTCAATGATAATTGTAATCAAAACAACGACAATAAGACAAACAATCAATAGGGAAAACTTTACCAACCTTGTTGTTAATCATTAGATGTCCAATAGAGTCGCAATTTAAATTGATCAAACTGATCAGAGATTGTTAATTGTTGGAAACAAATTACAAAGTAAAAATTTGAAATTAGACAAAGAAAACCAGACTAACCAGTAACCATGGTTATATTGATGCTCTAATCAGCTGATTGTGTTTATTTTTTTTTCTCTATTTAAAATTAATGTTAAATTAGTTGAATTGGTTGATTGATTGTGTTCTTGTTGTTGATTTAATTTACTAATTTTGGTTTGTTTGCGACCATTTGATTTATTCGGGTTGATGATGAGCTCGAAATTTTGACAACAACAATCAAAAACTTTATCGAAGTTGGAAAATGTAATTGATCGCTTTCGAATGTGTTATATTTGATTTGATTGTTTCGACGATTCATTCAAGTATCAAAGGTACAAAAAAAGGTCTGAGAATTTTGATAATCTCAATTTAGGTGAATCAGGTCAGAATTAAATGAACAATTAAAAAATGAAACTTTTCTCTCTTCTTGTTGTGATTAACTTTTTAGTCCATTTTCAATGTCAATCTAATTTATTAATCAATTGATTATTATTATTTTCCAATTGTGATTGAAAATTTATCCCAAAAACAAACTGATTAACCTGATTCTCACTTTAAACAATTAGTTAATTGTTGATTGGGGAAGAGGTAAACAAAAAACAACATTCAATTTTTAATTGTGATGGACACGAAAAAGCAAATTGTTTAATCCAATTAAACTCGTAAACATTTTCAGATTAATTAAATTAATTTAGTCTTCCTTAAAATGGAAATGATTAAATTGATTCACATCCGAACAATTGTTTTTTCCAATCAACAATTTAGATGCAACAAAAAACACTTGATTCCTTAATTGTAACTCAAATGAGAAAATCAATTTCAATTGTAATTAAGTTGATTGTTAAAATAAACAATAACAAACTAACAGTTAATTTGTATTAATCTAAATTGATAATAATCAACTAATTTCCGGTTGTTTTTAATCAATTAACCAAACTAACAACAAGCTCACATCTAATTAACCAAATACAAAAGGATAATTAATAAATTATAAAAACAAAGAGTCAAATTAATCAAATTAATTACTGCAAAAAAAAGAGCCAGTTGATTAAAACTAAATTAAGAACTGATTGTTTACCAAATGATAATTAAACAATAACACTCTGATTAGACTAATTAACTGAAATATAAATTTGTTCCTAATAATAATTATTAATTGTGTTGATGATAATGATAAAATTAACTAATTGTCTTACAATGATAATGGCTAATTGTTGGTTGATTGGTTACTATACTAATCGATTGATAAAAACAGATCTTTAATTGTCAACTGATTATGAGTTTTTTTCATCTTCTTTCATATTGAATTTGAATTGATTGTTGTTGATTTAATTTTGATGAGAGTGATTAAGACTGATGATTTGTGACTGGTTCTCTTAGGAAATGATTACAGAAAAAAAAGACAATCAATTGTTTTTAATTAAATTAACGTTGATGGTTAACAATCAGAAAGAAAACCCTTTTCTTAATATAAAAGTTTTCATCTCAATTGTTACTTTTTTTTGTCTCTAAATTGTTGTACTTTTTTTCTGTTCATTTAACTTTAATTCAGTTTGATTAGAAATCAACATGATGATGATGATTTAGGTTCCACCTTCAACAATCAATTAAATCCTTGCCTACAAAAATATTGTATTTTTAACCCAATCACTTGAAGATTAAACCAATCACTTGGATTTGATTAGTGATTAGACCAACATCAACAATTAAAGAGTAACAATTTAGTAGTAACATTTGAGTTAATCAATTCAGATTTGTACAGTTAACCGGATTTAAGGATCTTCAGTCAATCATTTGTCTGTGTGTTTAAATTATTATCAATTGATTAACTTGATTATCTTTAATCATGTATCATTCATGTGTTTCTTTGATCCTTTACTCGTTTATTTTGGGTGAATTGATTGAGACAATTAAAGGTTTACCTGATAAATTTAATTCACAATTAAAATCAGCTGATCCTTATCGTCCATTTTCATCAGTTGAAACAGCAACAGGAACTAAATTAAGCCCTAATGGAGCAGCAATTAGACAATGGGAAACCAGAAGTTGGATATCAACAATACCATTACAAAAAGCTACTTCAGTTAATGATAATAATCATCATCATGATTTAGAAACTGGATTAACACCGACAACAACCTCAACCTCAACATCATCTTCATCTGATGATCAATTTGATTACGGTGAGAGTAAATATTTATCTTCATCTTTTCGTGATAATGATCCAAGGGATCCTCGTAATTACCCAATCATTATGACCTCAACTAATATCACTCATCATAATTCACCATCTTCCCCATCATCCTCATCATCTTCTTCTTCCTCTTCAGGATCGACAAATGATTCGTCAAATTGTCGTGGTGATAATTGTCGTAAATCACCATTCCAAGGTACGTATGATACAATTAATTATCAAAAGAAAATGGTCTATCCTGATAAACAATCAACTCGAATTGAAGAGCCAACTTATTCCCGTGGATTTAGAGGTGATGATGATTATGGTGAAGAAGGTGGAAGACAAAGTGAACAACCTCATCATCAGAATAGTTATCATCGTGTTCATCATCATCAACGAACTCACCATAATTCAAATGAACCCGCCGATCGAGAAAATGAGAAAAATTCCCGTTCGAATACCGGAAATCCTTCTAATCCTCATCCTCTCAATTGGCATCATCACGCTCACCCAAAGGGAAGATCAAGCCGTTGGGAATCTGATATGAGCTCTTTTGATAATAATAAAGATAAAGATGATCATGGTAGTGATCATGATGATTCAGATTGGAATAAGAAAAATTGGAGAGAGAGATCAAATTTCGGTAGAGATTCGGGTTTCAACTCGAAATCATTCGAGGTTCAATGGACAATGGAGATGAGAACGACAAAAAAGATCACCACTTCCAGAGAGATCATCATCAAACCCGCCGTCGAAAATACAACAACCATGATGAGGGCAAAGACGATAATCGACCGAATAAAGATCATTATGAATACGATAGAAGAGAATACGAGAAAGAACGAGATAGAGAATGGAAAAGTTATTCTAACGGTAAAAGTTCAGAGAACGATAAAAATCACGATTATAATAATAATCACAACGATTCTGGTTATGGAAATAATAAATCGGGTAAAGATGAACATAACGAGGGAAGAGTCGAAAAATCATCTCGAGAGCATAATGGAAGTCACAATCATCCATATCATCAGCGATCATATGACTCGAATGGTTCTAATGGTGGGGGAAGAGGAAATTCTGGTAAATCGATCGGTACAAAGGATAAATCAAAGCCGAAAGTGAAAACTTATCACCATGATGAAGAGACTCGGATGGATATTCACATGCTCATGGCTACGAGAAAGAGGAAGTTGAAGGAAGCCGATTCTTTGAACCTTCGGGATTAACGGGACAAGACAATAGTAACAATCATCATCATCACCACCCAGCATCAACTTCATCGGGTTCTCATCATCATCATCATCATTATCCAAGTGATTACAATCAAACCTCAACTGATGATTATCGCCATTCAAATGAAGGCCACACCAGGCCGACCAGTGGCCGGTCAATCGGTAAAAATAAACCAGAATGTGATTGTTCAGGTAAAAATGGTAAAAATCATCACTATGATGTACCCGATGTCGCAGATTCCAAGGCCAAAGCTGCTTCGGCTGCCGCTTCGGCCGCGAGGGTTAAACGTCAAGATGAAACCAGTAATAAAAATGTATTTGGAATCAGGTCTAAATTAACACCCAAATATTTATCGACAGTTAATCACGTTAATTACACTTTTAATTCAAATTAAATTGTGTAACGATTAATGTGCTTCTAATTTTTCAATTTAATTGTATAGACAAATTTAACATGAGTAACAATTAAACTTACGATTTTTAATTGTTTTCCTCTGATCAAAGTTTATATTGAATTTGTTGTAAATGTATTAAGGTGACAATTAAAGTTAATTTTTTTTTCTCTCTCCAATAAAATTAATCAACTTTTTTTTGTTTCTTGCTGGTTTGAAAATTGTAACAATTAATAAACATCGAGATGTTAATTGGATTTACAATAAATTAATGGACTTTATTTTTTTCAAGGTAATAATTTATATAGAAAATTATGATAGTTAAATTTAATTGCACATTAGTTAATGTGAATTTGATTGTGTAGTGATTTAAAATATCCTCAAATTAAATCATTGAACAGAAAATAAGTTTATGATGAAGTTTTGTTGAAATTTTTAGATTGGGATAGATTTAAATTCAGATCGTTGATTGTGATTGTGGTTAAAAAGTAGATGGAGTGATAATCAGATCTTTATAATGGTAATTAAGAAAATCTTTGGATTAATTGTTATAGTAAGGTAGCAAAAATTAACGAAAGTTTCACTTTGCACAATTTAAATTAATAAACTTTAAGTTCATTTGATTTTTGACTCAAGTTTTCGGTGGAACTTGTTGATTAAAGTTGATTGTTGACGATAATTTGATCATAAATTTGATAAATTAAAATCTTTGAGATAATTACAATATTTCGCCGGTTATTGTGATGATTAAATGATAATTTAAATTCCACATGATTCCATTTCAATCTCTTTCTGAAACATTCGGATTAGCAGAGATTCAACTGAAACTCTTTCAACAATATGAACTTTAAGCTCAGGTTTATCGGGAAGATAAAAGATTGATGATCGATGACCACTCGCTCCACCATAAGCAGTAAACTCATCGTATTGATTAAAATCACAATCAACAAGGCCATCTAATTGTTCAGATTCTTTGATTGTTTTCAATGATCTTTGACCAGGGACATTTTTATCTGCATCTGATTTACTACCACAGGAACCAGAAGTACCATTGCTATTGACACTCGATAAACCAAGTTGCTTAATCTTAACTAGAACCGAATTAAGATTAACTGATCCTTCCGTTGTATTAGTATATTCCAGGATAAAGGCTTCGATAACAAAAGCTGCGAAAATGTTGAGCACAATAATAACACAGGCGACATGGAATGAGATGAAGAAAAGTCTAGTATATTTGGATGAAACTAGAACTTCAAAATTATTTGCCATTGTGTGCCATTCGTTGACCACCATCAGATCAAATAATAATAGGAATGAACTTGAAATACTGTTAAAATTGATTGTGCACATTGTCACATTTTTAATTGCAAGTGATTCAGGGCAGCAATCAATTGATCCAGCTGAGCATCCATTTGGATCTGGATAAACTAATCCGTGAAATAATTGCATCCCAATTATGGCATAAAAATAGTAAAGTACCAAAAGGAGGATACCATAAGTAGCTATTGATGGAATCAATGAACGAATCGTAACAACGACAACTGAGAATCGTTGAATGTTTCCGATTATTTTACCTATTCGAAGAGCTCGAAGAACAAGAACAATATCGAAATATCTACCGAGAGCAGTTTCGGTTGAATATTTAAATGAGATTAAGATCCAGAAGATAATTGCTAATCCAATGACGATTAAGTCGAAAATGTTCCAAAAACTTTTAACGAATCCATTAAATCCGAAAGCGTAAAGTTTGGAAACAATTTCAAAGGTAAAAGCTGAGAGAAGGTAAAATTCTAGATGAAGCTGTCGATGATTATTGTAGATTGCAATCAGGGCCACGTTTAGTACAATGAGACAATCGAAGGTGTAACGGAAGTAACGAGAATGGACCATTCTAATAAGAGCTTGAGAAGGGGCACTTTTATAAATGAAGGGAATCCAAGGGCAACAATATGATTCTTGAGAACTTTTCGAGTAAATTATACGAATTTTCATAGCCATCAGGTCACCGATATCCATGAAATCTGATCTACGAATCCGTCCATTAGTCTCTAAAATTGACCAAACCAAATCTACGATAACTGAATCGTGCCGAGCTGCATAATCGAAAACTGACCAGGTCTGAAAAACGGCTTCCATAATGATTTCCAATTGATCCCGAGTCATACCAAGCTCATCACCTTTGGTCACCGTATCATAAGCACGACTCAGGTTATCACGTTTAATTTGTAACAATTTGCTAACCTCATTCTGGACAAATTGAAAAAGAATCACAATTAAATTAGTTTCTTTACTATTATGACACAATAAAATAAGGTATAGAACTAATTTTTTCACCTATTATCGATTCTTGTCACAATTCATGATGATGAATCGTTGATTGATTGCATAGAGGATTAAATATAATTCTGTAAATGGTTAATTCAGCCATCAAAAACTATGAAAATCATATAATTACCTTCAAATGTTTCCGATATTTATTGTAAATAACAGCAAGTATTATGTTCATGAACAGGTAGAGATTAATGATCAGAAAGACGATGAAAAAAAGTGCATATAATCTGTTCCTATTGTAACTCGGCATCCTGTTGATCGAGAGAGAGAGAGATGGGAAAAAAGTAAGTAATAAAATAAATCATCTAAACGATAAAGTTAATTGTCATTCCATCGAAGAAAAAAAAATATGAGAAATAATGATAACTGTCAACTATTAAAAAGCTAAATGAAAAATGGAAAAATTTAATATAAAAAGTTTGTAATAAAGTTGTAACAATCAACTGATTGTGATGATTAACTCACATTATTTTCGGGTTGTTTGCTGTGGTAACTAGAATGTAAAGTTGATAGAAACTATCGATAAAATTATCAAAATAATTCAAATTTTCGGAAACTTTTTCATCGTGAAACAATTTAGCCTTATTGAACAATTTGAACGCAATTAATGATGAAACTCCAAGTGACAGGAAGAATAATATTAACACATTGATTATATCAGGTAAAGTATTTCGAATGCTTCTGATTGCCCTTCGAATCTGAAAGAAAGGAGAAAAAATAATTAGAAGCCAATTCTAATTAACTTTCTAAACTTCTATCATTAAGCAACCAGGTTGATTTAGATTGATTTAGTGAAAAAAAATTGACAGAATAGACTGGAAATTAATGAATCACCTGAATGAATTGTTAGTAGAAATTAAATTAAAGTTGATACATTTCACAGAATGAGAGGATTTTTTTAAGATGATTCAAGGTAAAAAAATCATTATAACCTCAAGTTAAGGTTAAAAGGTAATCAAGTTTCATGGTTAAATTAAGTTACAAGATTCATTCAGAGTTGGAACATTATCTTGAGTATAATGAATGAATGAAAAAAAAAGTCTTTTGTTCAACTCTGGTCATCAACATTGTCAACTGGAATTGATTCTGAAAATTGGGATTTAAAGTGAATGATTACAATCATGATCATGGTAATGATTGTGATTGTAATTATAAAGAAATGAATGAGAGGATTAGGGAGTAATAATAACCTCATGGGGAATGGAAACCCATCAACTTGCATGTCTCTCAATTTTGCTTGTAAAATGAACAGGATTCAGTCTCTACTCATCATCATCGTTCTCAAAGTGCTCAGTCAACATGAACGATCATTAAAAGCACTTGGAAAATAAATGGGACTGAAGCTTTTTTTCCGATTCAGCTCATAATAATCTCTCTCTCTCTCTCTCTCTCTCCCTTTGGTTTTTCTTTTATTCTCTCTGAATCTGTTCATCCAAGCAAAGATGAAGAAAAACAACCATCCAGAGCAAAAGAGAGAAGATAAAAAGTAAAAGATGATGATTATGCAGGAAAAATCGGAAACGAATATGAAGAGAAAAATATAAATGAATTGTGATTGATTTAATTGAAAGAAGAGATAAAGTTATAAACACAACTTACTTGACGATTCTCAGCAAAGGTTATTATGAAAAGTGGACGAAGACAAAGTGACCATCTCTTGGCTTTATTACTTGGAAGAGATAAATAGATGATGATGTCAATTAAAGTGATGACCACTGTTCCAATTAGAATGATAGTCTTTGGATCATGCCAAAAGGTGTAACTTTGAGTTACATAACCACGGAGTATAAGACGAACCACAAAATAGGTAAGGCACAAAATTTCAATTGTTATGGTCAAATTGTCGAAATAAGCACGATTTCGGGTTTGACCAACAGGCTCCCAGAAGGCTAAAGATGAAGAATGGTGAGAAAGACAAATAGAAGATAATAAAGTGACCAATGACGGTAAACATAATATAAACGTAGAGATCGTGAATCGGTTTTAAATTCAAAGGGGTAACCTTCAAATGCACTGTTAACAAGAGCACCACTTAATAGAGCGTCGTATGTCCGACTAGCTGATGATTGTTCCGTATCAACGTTACCAGATGAATCTGTCAACTCTTTGTCAATTGTTGAATTGATTGTTTGGTTATTAGAACGATTAACTCCGTTCATTTCAACCTCCATCAAGGTCAATGAGAGATTTTTGGACTTTCTTATATAAACGAACCAAGAAGAAAGAGGAAGAGAGATAGAAAGTTAACAATAGTATGGATCTGATTTAGTCCAGATTAGTTAATTCGATACCGACTACAGTTCTCTCAAATCAATGAGAGAAAAGAAGAACATGGTTGACACTTTGATGTACATGTATTGAGATGGATGAGGCTGTTGATAGAAAAGAGTTAAGGTCAATTAGAAGAAAATTATTTAGATTGTGTTGATGGCGGGGGAGAAATAAAAAAACACAAGAGAATAGAAAATTAGCAAAATGTTGATTGGTTAATGAGATGATAGAAAGTGAGAGAGGGAAAGAAATAGTTGTGTAATTGTTGAATTCAAGTTAATTACTTTAGATAACATTTTAAAAAAAGAGAGAATATTGAATAGAGAAAAAGAAAACACCGAAAATCAGTGAAAATGGAGCCTTAGGAATTGGCTAATTTTTGATTGAAGGAAGAAAAGTAAAGGAGATGGAGAAACTGATGGATAATTAAAGGAGAAAGATGAAGAAAACAATGATGATAGTTGAGATTTAGGAGTAGAAAAGATTGAAATTTACTAATACCTTTCACAATTTTATATTCTTCTTTTCTCTACTTGGCCTTGTCAGCAATTGAGATGATGACGATAATGTTGTTGTTGGTTAACTAATAGAAAAAGAGAAAAAAAATAACACAAACAACAGGAGATGATGAGCAATCCTGAGGTTAATCCTGATGCCAAAAGAAAGAGATACAGACAGTAGATAATCAGAAAATGTCAATTAATCGTTAATCAAATGAAACAAGGAGAATAGAAAAAGAATTAACAGTTAATAGATAATCTAAATTGTAAACAATTAATTAGATTTAGAAAAAAGTAAAGAGATTAACAAACAACTACAGATGCAAGTTTTCAAATCAAAAGAGAATAGAAAATGAAACTGAAACCAAACTCACCAAAAGAGAGAAAAGAAAAAAAGAGAAAAGTAGACAGAGAAATAGACAGAAAAACCTGTTTTCTTTTCTCTTTTTCTATGTAACTTTGATTTCCTTTAAGAGTTTTCTCTTCTTCTTTTAATCAGTTTTTAATTTCTAATTAATTTACTAATCTATTTTTTTTTAATTTCTCAGTTAAAATTATCAATCCATCTAATCGGTTCATCTTTAATCTCTCCATGTTATTGTCTCTTTTTTGATCCAAATCTGTTTCTAAATCTGTGAGAATCTCCAACATACTGAAAGTGTTTAATGTAATTGTGATTAATTAATAGAAGTGATAATTGTTAATCAATCTCTCAGGATGTTGATTAACAATTTTGGTCTTTCTTTTCAACTACCTGTTGATATATTTTGAAGATTAAATAACAACAACAACAACAAAAAACATTACAAAAGGTAATTGATTGAAAAGAGTGACATTTTTAATACATAACAACAACAGAAAAAAATGTCCTCGTTTACTTAACATATAGAAAATGATTCTGATCAAATAGTCAACATTGAATATTATTGTTTGATTGATGCAGGTAAACACAAATTCTGATGTGTTGGTTAACAACAAACGTTAATTACTGTAAATTGTAATTGTGAATCTGATGGAGAGACAATTAAATTAGGGAAAGAAAGACAGTTGATTAGAAAGAGAATTGGGAAAAAAAGACAGACTTTAGACTCTTTCTTTTTTTTTGTCTCTTTAGTTTTTTCTCTTCTCTTTTTTTTTATTCTTCTTCTCCAATCTCTTTCTATCTACACGAGTTTTACTGTTCTTTTCCACCATGTTAACCAGCTCAGGTGAAGTGAAAATGTTCATGTTGATCAACTTTCGGCATATGTTATGCCACCTTCACCGATTATAATTACTGAACGTCATCACCATCTCATTTTATCCTTTTACTGTTAATCAACTAAGTCATTTTTTTACTTTACTTTACATTTGTGATTTTCTTCAAACAATTTCTCATCATCTTGACCAATGGCCTCTTCTAGTCAATCAGATTCTCACCAAGATCAGGTTAGTTTCAAATCTTTTGATAGTTAACAATAATCAGTAAATCATTTTGATTATTCCTTGATTCTGGTTTCCAGTTTCTTTATGAATTTTACCCAATCAATTTCTTTGTAATTAGTAGATTACATTTCTAATATTATAGACTTTCGATTGTGCTTTTTGCTTTTAGTTCGGTGTTTTTTCCCCAGAATTAATTAGATCTCATGTGCTTTTTGTTTGCTTGTTCCAAATTGACTTTAATATTTAATTGTTACGATCAAATCAATCAAAATCTAAACTGTTTGTGAGTAGATTGACTTTACGGACTTTTCTGTGCTTCCATTGTAATTTGATAGATTAAGTGGCCATTTCCAAAGTGGACAATCAACATAATCTCCTAAACAATTAAAAAGTTTGGATGATCAGTTGATTCTTTAAACTATAATCACTCTAATTATCGTTTATTAATTAATTTCTTTATTCATCTTATACCAATAGTTTTCCAACAACAATAAGTGTGAAGTTAATGCTGATAAGTCAATCGATTCTGGGGATGGGTTGATTGATAATAACACTGATCGGACGATAATTGGATCAGCTTCAGATAATATTTGGAATCTTGGTGTTGGTGCCGTTAAGGGAATCGGATGGACACTCAGTTCAACTTATAATTTCAGTGTTGGTCTTTTGAATCGGACATATTCATTGAAGATGAAGGATAAAAATGAGTAAATTGCATATTCACCGATAATCTGAAAGAACAACAAAAAAAAATATTCATCGGTGGCACTGGAATGCTAATATTTAACAGCGATTAAAATTACGAAAGCCTTTGATTAGCTGATCATCAACTTCCTGTTTTTTACACAATTCAATGGATTAAATAATAATGTTGAATCATGTTGATACATCGCCATTGATTCAATCATTTACTATTATTTTACCTCATCATTACTATTATTACTTTTAATTGTGGTGATAAACATTTATATAATTTCAACAATTATCATCTGCAAAAATCATCTGATTGATAACCTTGATACTTTAATGATCTTAAAGTTAATCAATTTTAGATAATCAATTAATCCGTGAAAAAAAAACAACAAACCAACATGATTACCACAAATTACCTCAAAAGTAATCAAGAGTAATTTTTGTAACATTTCTATCAATACACAAAAATTAACAATGTGAAAAGTTAATTGTTGTAAAGAAAATTAAATAAATAAGTAAATTGTACACACAATTTATATTAATAATTGTAATGGAAATTAACTGACCTGACTTTTTCTCAATCAAGAGAAAAGTTAACCAGTTAGAGAAACAATTACATAGCAAGTAACTGAATCACCGTTTAATTGATAAAATGGAGGTGAGAACAATTAATAATCATGTTGAACAATTAAATTGTTAACCATAATAATTAAAAAGGGCGGAAACAATTTACTGATTAGTGAGCATTCCAACAACCAGTTGGAGCGACTTGTTTAATATAAACTGTTGATTTCTCAGTTTAATTTAACGAAGAGAAAGAAAAAAGTAAACAGTGAATTAAAATTGTTGACGATGGTTTAATTGTGAGAATTGCGATTTTATTGTTAAATTGTGTAATTTTAATCCAGATTAACATGATGATGATATGATATCCAAGAAGAAAGGAAACCGGAAAATCAGTGATTCGGTGGTAGGTAAATACGTTAAGCGAGATAATCCAGTTGAGATTCCTAGTAAGTATTCAAATCTATGTTGATCTTTAATCTTTGATTGCTGTCAGTTAATTTGCTAATTTCCATTTAATTTGATGCTTTTCTGTTCTGTGTTCTATTGATTGTTTTGATTTTTTTTTGTTGTTTCTTTCCTTTGATTGATGATCGATTCTAATGATTAGTCACCAATGTTTGGACCAATTTAAATCGTCACAATGTTAAAAGAAAAGAGAAATCATCGGATGGAGATTTTGATTCAATCGATTCACAGCCAAAGACGTTAACGGAAAAATGCGCTCGAGCTCAGCAATCGAAAGATTTTAATAGATTCAGGCCTAATTATGGTCCGTCAAGTTCAACAGTTAGTGGAATCATGTGTACCACCAGTGCAAACAATTTAACTAATCTTGGTAAGTTTGTTGTTTCACCGATTCTCATTATGAGAGAAACATTTTTAATTGTATTCTAATTAACATCGATATTGATTGTTATTTATGAATTATCATAATTGCCTATTAAATTTAACTCACGTTTAGACAATTTAATGAGCCGAGATGATGATCATCTTGAACGGTTGAAAGTGGTTATTGTTAATTAAGCTAATTATTGATTTAGGTGAGCCTTTTTAATGATCTGTGTTGTCATTTACTAATTTAGTTATTGATTTTCCAGTAATTTTAGACAATCAATTGATTTGATATTTAATCATTGTTTTGATTTTCTCTTTATTTTCTATTGATTGCTTATTGTTTTCAGGATCTTATCGTAATCTTCAACAACACCAACCTCAACATGGGATCAATTTTTACGGAACTCGAGTTATGTCCCATGGAAGTCTTGAAACTCGGACCGTTCCTACGACCAGTAACATGGGTGTTTTTGGTACAACATTTCCCGGTTATCAGCCGACAATCGTGTTCCCTGGTTTGGCTTCAATTTTGTCCCAAAGTCGAGTCGATCCAACCTGTAAAACTAACCTAGATAGCAATTCTCATAGTCGAGTCTCATTAACCTCTCAAAATAGTTCCTTTCGACAATCATGTGAAGATTTACCGCCCGGATGGTCAACCGATTACACGATGAGAGGTCGTAAATATTATATTGACCATAACACTAAAACAACCCACTGGTCTCACCCGTTAGAGAAAGAGGGTCTACCCACCGGTTGGGAAAGAGTTGAATCTTCAATACATGGAACTTATTATGTTAATCATATCACTGGTCGAGCTCAATATGAGCATCCATGTGCCAATCAATATGGTGCTTTACAAATTGTCAATAGAGAAGCGATTTGTGATCCGAAACGGACTTTGTTACCGTTACCAAAACCTTCAATTCACCAGCACAACGTTTGGGTTCCAGCGAATCCATACCTCACCGAAGAGATACCAAAGTGGCTTTTTGTTTATTCTCGAGCTCCTTTTGAATTAGATCATCTCTTAAAGGTAATCCAATTGATTTCAATTCTCACCAAAAAAAAAATCATTTCTTTTAATATCAAATGTTTGATTCTTTTTTTTTTCATTTCATCGGAAATTGAATCTATTTCCTTGTTCGCTTGTTTTCACTCCAGTTTGAACTTTTCAATCTACAAGAACTACAAGGATACGAAGCGATGATAAATTTACTTTATCGACAAGAATTGGAAGAAATTGTTATGGCCTTCGAAGCTTATAGAAGAAAATTACAACGGGAAATTGAGAGTCGTGAACGGAAAGAGGTTAAAGATAGGCTTCAGGAGAGACGATTATTGGAACATCATTCATCTTCATTGGAAAGTCATTCTTCATCAGTCGATTCTGTTGAAGTTAATTTGTGAACCAATTGACAGTCTAATTGATTATTGTTTCTCTGTTGATTGTGTTAAATGGTGAAAGGAAGAGCAATAATCAAATCTATTACAATTAAGCTGTATAAATTATTGTACAAAAGCTTTTCCTTTCACTCTAAGTGCTTGGGTTTCCCATTCAAAATGCTGTATCATCGGCATCAAGATTGTTCATCGTTTTTACATATTAAATCATATTATTTGTTGAATGATTTAAGTCAATCTCATTTTTTTTTCTCGTTCATATATGCATATTACATTTCGTGGTTAATTGTTTTTATACCTTTTTAATCAGCACAATAAGTGCATCATTTTGTTTTTGTTTTGTAACAAGGCAAAATGATAGGGAGGAGAAAAGGTGACAAAGTAATGATGATTATGAGGATGAGGATGAGGGTGAAGAGGATGGCAGGTAAATTAGAAAAAAAAATTGATAAATATTTTGGAGGAAAAAAAACTGGACTCTAAATTGGTATCAAATCGATTGATTACAGATGAAGAGATTAGTTGTTTTCGTTGATGATCTAAATTGTCCAACTGTGGGGGTTGATTTTGTTCACTTTGTTTTAAAACTGAAGATGATTTCGTTTAGGAATCTAAATATAAGATGATTTTATATTCTTTCTTATCCGAATTGAGATTGATTATTGACAATCCATCGGAGTTATATATCTTTTTTAGTTGTTTGTTTGTTGGTTTTTTCGTAAATATTAATAAGTATTTAGAAGATGCGTCTCTCTCTCCAGGATTTAGAATAAATCATACACTTGATGCGATCTTGCTCCATCATGGTTGGTGAATTCCGAAAAAGATTATGAGAAAAAAGTAACGATTCTCACGAGCAAAAAAAAGAGAAAAGATTTTAAAAGATGTTGGCATAGTGAAGATGAAAGAATCGATGGTGGAAAAAGTTTTGATGGAGAAATGTTGATGTGAGAAGTTGGATGAGAATCATGATGATGAGATGGTTGATAGTAAAGAGATGATGAAGATAACGTTATCAATTGAATTTAATAGATGAGGATAAACGTTTAGATTGATTATTTTCTTAACCTTGGCTTTTTAGAGGTTTTCATTACTTTAATCATAACAACATCATCAGTTTCAACCTTTTTCCTAGGTAAGTCATCTTTGGCTCTGATCACCATTACTTCATCGTCCATGCTGCGTTTAGATTGACGTAAGGGTTGATTCACTTTTCTGAGATTAATTGTTGTCTTTTCCAATGAGATTATCTTCTCTTCATTTCGTCTAGTTGATCTGAATGGTGGTTTACATTTAATATCTGTATCATTTGATGGAGAAACATGTCTAACCACAACATTCTCAGTTTTCAATATTTGCTTTGAGAAACTTGGTTTGGTATTATTATCATCAGTTACATTGGAAAGGGTTATATCACAGACCGATGGAGTTTTATTGAAATTAGTTCTTTGTGATTCTATTCTTTTAGAAGATCGAGATGTACCATTGGACACAGAACTATTATCACTTTTATTTGAACTTTGCTCTCTCCTTAAAGATCTTCTCAATGGGATCACTTCCTTTTTAGATTGTTCATTTGTTGACTTTTCGATAATTTTAACCTCTGTCTTGATATCATCAGTGTTATTGATAGTTGATGTTATTATACGTTTTTCAACATCAAGAGTTACTTGTGTATCACCAGGTAACGTTGACGATTCTTGAAGAACGGATACTTGTGAGGATGATACAGTTGATTGTGCAAGTGTATTAATTGGTTCTAAAATGATTTCGTATCCCAAAGATGGAGGTAGGTCAGAAAAATTTTTACTCGGCACGGATTTTTTACTCTCATCGGGAACAAAGGAAATTACATAGGGTGGATTCTGTAATTCATACTGGGATTGTAACATGGCTTCTCGTTGAGCTTGAGCGATCTCATCAAAATCGATCATTGGAAACGATAAAATAACTGGAGTCGGTGACCAGTTAACCAAGTTTGGATTTAATCTAATCTCACTGTCATTAGAATTATCAGATCCAGAAGAAATTTCAATCTCTTCATATTTTCGCTTTTCGGTGTAACGCTTTTGACTGGAACTGTACTTATCTTCAATCTGTGACCATCTATTATGACGCTGTTTACGGCTGAATGTATAATGGTGAACATAACATGAGCTAGATGAAGATGATGATGTTGATGATGATGATGAAGATATTTTCTCATCTGCTAGAGATGTATTGGATCTCAAGGTTCGAGATGGTTTAAATTGAGGATGTAAATGGTTATGATGATAAGGTTGATATTCTGAATATTGAGACCTTAAACTGGTGGTACAGAATTTCTCGTATCCTTGAGAAAGGGTTACAGGGACTTTGGGAAGAATTGATGATAGTCTTTCACGTAATTTACAGGTGAGTGGTGATGAAATGGATAAATCAACGGTACAATTGAAAATTAATTTTCTCAATTTTTCACGTCGCATTCTCTCATCTTGCTCTAAGCTCTTTGTTTGATTACCTTTAAATACTCTAACTGGTGGATAGAAAACAGCAGAATATCGTTGACCATTATTGATTATTCTGCCAACAGGACCTCCATCAGAATTATTATAAAAAACGGGAATCGGATAATAACATGGGCTACTTGGTAAATGAGTCCTTGAATTGAGAGTTTGAATGTTATTGATACGAGTTCCATCAGGACGTATTAAGGCTCCATGAATACCAGTTACAACTCGACCTTTGTTACCAAGGGTATCAATTTTTTTAAAAGAATTTGAATAGTTACATTCGTTGAGAATTCCCCTACTTCTATACACTTTTATATTGTTATTAACATTATTAGAATTATTACTATTATTATTATTTACCAGGCTTAATGTTAAATTTGGAACGTTGGTTGATGTTGATGGAATGGGAAGTCCTGTAGCATTTGTTAGAAAGTTAACACTATTTCCTCCATTTGAAGTACTATTATTATTACTACTACTACTAGCACCCGATCCACCAGCACCTCCATTAACAGAAATAGTAGATGAATCATTTCTCAAATATGGAGGCGAGATAAACTTATGCTGAGAATCATTCCAAGGTACAGCATAGGGATGTAATCTGGGTTTCTTTGATATTTGCCTTAATGGCCATGCAGTGAGTATGGCATCAACACCATACTCTTGGAGTAAAGCTATTGGAACCAGATCAAGATATTTACTGTATCGGGCCATTTTAGTTTTCTCCTCTGAATCCAACCATGTTCCTCCCATCATCTATGATGATGATGAATGATGAAACACGTCCAAAGATACAAAATAAACACAATATATATATGATGATGATGATGATGATAGAAGTATAATAATAAATATATATCAAAATATCAGATAATAAATGAGACTCTTTTTGTCCATAATAAAGAGAGAGAGAATCAGTTAGAATCACAATTTGGTTAAAAGAAAAGCCACAAAATTAGAGAGAAAGAAAAACAATTTTTTCTAATTTTCTTTAAAGAGGGAGGAAAAAGAAAAGAGAAAGAGAAAGACAGGAAAAAAGGTATAGTTTAGAATTGAGAATGTTGAATATATACAATATTCACACTAGAAGATCTGAAGAAGATACAGACAAAGAAAAAGAAAGAGAAGATAAATGAATAGACAGAAGAAAAAAAGGTGAATGGATGAAAAGAAAGAGAAGAGAATGAAACAGAGAAAGAGATAAATCTGGTTCTCTTTCATTTCTTTTCAATGCTCGTTAGTTATTCGATATCAACTATAGATGGCGCTGGTTAGATTCTTTTTCCATGAAAATTTTGGAATAAATTATTTTAGAATTTTGGATTTAAAAATTAATCATTTTCTTTTTTATTATTATTAGGGTTGGAAATTGTTCTTTTTTTTTTTTTGTTTTTGTTGTATTTTGTTTAGTTTAGGGTTTTATAAATCTTTTTTGGAAACCAATGAGTTGTGTAATTGAATTACATCGGCTTTAAATGAATCGAATAAGAGATGACCATCTTCATCGAACCAAGAAGCAACTGAACGGGAAAGAGTCTTTTCCTTTGTTTTAGCTCCTTTTTTACCGGTATTATATTCAAAGCAAATTTGATAAATATCATCGAAACGTTTTAAACATGATGATACAGTTATACGTCCAGTTGGATCGATACCGGTTGGGTCTACCTTTTTAGCTACCAGAAAGATACCTTTTTCAACTAGATTGGTGTACAGGGTTAATACTCCCATGAGAAGGAAATATGTTGATGAACATGAGATTAGAACCATCTTGGAAGCAGGGAAAGCGTAAAGATAATCGTAAACCAGTGCAAAAGCAGCACAAGCAACAGCAGCTGTACAAATGGTTAACCTAATGTCCATTAATTTGTGACATTCAGTGTAACCATATTTTTCAATTAAAACTCCACGACAACAGTCATCCAAAGTGTTTTTCAATGCACTTCCATCCCATTTGTCAATTTTAATCGGTTCCATTCTAAAATAATTTCAAGTGAACACAACAACAAGAAATCAAAGTGTAATCAAAGATTGTTAAATATTCTAATACAAGAGAAAAGAAAACACGAAACAATTAACAACAATTAAGAAAACTAGACAATTCAAGACAATCACAATTAAAGAGCTCAAAGTTTATACTGTTGGCAGCTGAGAGAACAACTAACTCCCCCTGTTGGGTAAAAGTCTTTGTGTCGAATTGCTATTGGTTGAAATGAATTTTAATTCGTCGATGAAGAAAAAAATGCGCGCAGTTCAAAATCAATTTTTTCTTTTCTTTTTCAAGAGAATCGATTTTCTTGTTCAATGAAAAAATCGCTCGGAAGATCGATGGTCATCCATAAAGTGTCTCCATCTATTGGGTTGAAATTTTTTCTCTTTCCAGTCAATGGGACAATAATCGAGACGATAATCTTTCTGGTCCATATGAATGAATGAAAATACTTCGCGGTGATAAAATATCAATAAATGAGCGAGAAAAAAAAAGGTTCACACGAATTGATTAGAATATCTCCTGATTTCAGTGGAATCAATTTGTCAGATGGAAACAAACTTTCCACTGTTTGGGTGGTTACCAGAAAATCGTAATTGTAGTCAAGACAAAAAATCGTAATCAGGTAACATGAACAAGGTTATCATGAATTCTGGTTCAATTAATGGAGTGGGAGGTTATTATTATCCTAGACTATTGGAAAAGTAAATGATTCTAACGATAACCAGGGGAAAAATTGCCAAGGATGAAGGTGGGAGAGTAAATATTAATATGAACAATTTGAATAACAATAAAAAGAATGAGAAAAACAAAATGGAAACTAAAGTTAACTTTTATTATTCAATTCTAACGAAAATAATTACAGTTAATTGAGGAATAAATTGTAATGAGAATATTTTTTTCGCTTCTCTATTAGTTGATTGAACTATTTTTAAATTTTCTATTCAATTGTAATTCGGTTTGGTTGTGTTCGATAAAAATCTACTGATTAACAATAGAAAAATCGCTGCAACGATATTATTTCATATTCTTAAGTTGCTTAATATTTCTCATCATCTTCTCTCCCTGAAAAGAACAAGATGACGTTAATCATCATCTTCCATCTTCCATCATCATGTTGATCTTCATCTTACCAGACAAGCTCATTTTCTAACATTACCCTCGGTAAACGTGGCGAAAATCCGCCATTTCTATTGAACCATATTTGGTTTTTCTCTTTCTCTCTAATTTTGTCTTTTCTTATTTTCTTTTTCTCTTATCATCCTCCTCATCTTCTTTATCCTCATCCGCCTCCGACATAGTTCGTTCCCTCTTCTCTTAGTTCATCCATTCATTTTCTTTGATGCTATTGTTGGATAAGAAGAGAGAGAACAAGAAGAAATTCTTTAAACAAATTGTTCAGACTCATGATCATCATTTCATCTTCTCAGATGAATACAAATCTCCGCCAGAAAGAATGACCTGTTTGACGGGTTTATCAAGATCGTCAACACAGTAGAACAAAATCTTTTCTATTCTTCTTCATGTTTCCACTTTTTGGTGTGAAAATTGAGTTGATATGGAAAAAGAAGAAAAATAAACTCATTAACTTTTCCGCATCCTCATCATCTCATCTTTCTCACTCTTTGCTAAGTAAACGTGGCCAGATTATCTCGAACCTCTTGAGACTTTGTTTTAGTTTACAAAACATTAATGTGTTTGCAGTTTATAACTTACTTGTGAGTTTGAGACACTCAATTTTATTTAGAAGGTGAAATTAGAATTGAATTTCAACCGATTACAATAAGGCAAAGGGAATCAAGGGGACGGATGAGAGTGTCTGGTCTTTGATTTAGGGAAAGGTCTTAATAACATCTAGAATTTTGAGGAGAAAATATTAGTGGAGTAGCCGAAGGAAGAAAAGGTGGGTTGAGAATAATAATGAGAGGAAGAGAGGAAAAGGGAGAGAGAGAGAGAGAGAGAAAAAATGAGAAAATAGAAAGAACAAAAAAAGTACAAGGGGCGATTTCTTCTTATCAATATAATAATGACGTTGAATTAAATTTTTTTCATGATTTAGAATAAATTGACTTCATTCATTTGTCTTTTTTTTCTTTTTTTACTTCTTTAAATCAAGAGTTTCTCTTTAAGCTTGTTCAGCTTGTTCTTCTTCTTCAAATTCTCCTTCGTCTTCGGCTGTTGCCTCTTGGTATTGCTGATATTCAGACACCAAATCGTTCATGTTTGATTCAGCTTCAGTGAATTCCATTTCGTCCATTCCCTCTCCAGTATACCAATGCAAGAAAGCTTTTCTTCTGAACATAGCAGTAAATTGTTCAGAGATTCTCTTGAAAAGCTCTTGAATAGCAGTTGAATTACCAACAAAGGTTGCAGACATTTTAAGACCTCGAGGAGGAATGTCACAAACGGCAGTCTTAACGTTATTGGGGATCCATTCAACGAAATAAGATGAGTTCTTATTCTGAACATTAAGCATTTGTTCATCAACTTCTTTCATTGACATTCTTCCTCGGAAAACAGCAGCAACAGTTAAGTATCGACCATGTCGTGGGTCACAAGCAGCCATCATATTCTTAGAGTCAAACATTTGTTGGGTCAATTCGGAAACGGAAAGAGCTCGATATTGTTGAGATCCTCGACTAGTAAGAGGAGCGAAACCTGGCATAAAGAAGTGAAGTCGAGGGAAAGGAACCATGTTGACAGCTAATTTACGTAAATCAGCATTCAATTGTCCAGGGAATCGTAAACAGGTTGTGACACCAGACATTGTTGCAGATACAAGATGATTCAAATCTCCATAAGTTGGGGTGGTTAATTTAAGAGTACGGAAACAAATATCGTAAAGAGCTTCATTGTCAATACAGAAAGTTTCATCGGTGTTCTCAACCAATTGATGAACCGATAAAGTAGCATTGTAAGGCTCGACAACAGTGTCACTCACTTTGGGTGAGGGCACAACCGAAAAAGTGTTCATAATACGATCGGGATATTCTTCACGAATTTTTGAGATCAACAAAGTTCCCATACCAGAACCAGTTCCACCTCCTAATGAATGTGTCAATTGAAACCTTGTAAACAATCACAGCCTTCGGCTTCTTTCCGAACAACATCGAGAACGGCATCGACGAGTTCAGCACCTATGGAGATTTGTTGAGAAAAAATAAATGAAAAGGAAATGAACAAAACAAATATTATAAACTAAGATTAACAAAGAAATAAACATCCAGACAAAAGTTCATCTGTTGCCCCACCCAAATGCTAAGAGACAGTCAGAAATAGACCAGATCTTCAAACTCCGTTACTTCTTAGAAAATCAGCTTATTATATAATTTTCTTTTGAAATGGTTTAAAATTAAATTACACTCCTTCCTCTCTTTTACCATTCATCTTCACATCAGTCTTTCTTTCTTTCTTCTCTTCTCTTCTCTATGCACTCTACCTATTAATTTCCTTAACTACAAGAGTCTGGTAACCAAACAGCATCTAAGAACCAATTGACCAACAACAAGCATTAGAATAGGTTCAATAGCTTGGCAACATGACAAATCGATTTATGTAATCCCATGAAACATTCATTGATACAATTTTTCGTTGCAACTTATTCTTACGCATTAAAATAAAGAAAATGCCTTCTTAGCCACACCCAAAAAGACGTTAAAGAACATTTCAAATTTTTAAACTAAGCCGGTGATCATCACCTCAGCTCTACTCCATTTACCTTATCCCTTCTATCAACACTTTCTTGCTCTTCAACTCACCTTCAGTATAATGTCCTTTAGCCCAATTGTTACCGGCACCTGATTGTCCGAAAACAAAGTTATCTGGTCTAAAGAGTTGACCAAATGGACCACTTCGGACACTGTCCATAGTACCAGGTTCCAAATCAACTAAAATGGCTCTTGGAACATATTTACCCCCTGAGGCTTCATTGTAGTAAACCGAGATTCTTTCCAATTGTAATTCAGAGTCACCATGATAACTACCAGTTGGGTCAATACCATGTTCATCAGAAATAACCTCCCAGAATTTGGCACCAATTTGGTTACCACATTGACCAGCTTGAAGATGAACAATTTCACGCATTTTAAAATAAAAGAAGAAGATTCAACTTGTTTTTCCAAATAGAATAAACGAGAAAACTAGTGATGAAAATAGAAAGAGAGACCAAGAGGGACCAAGAGAAGAAGAGAAGAAAAATCAAAAAATGACAATCGATTAAATTTAAGAATTAGAAGAAGAGAAAAAGAGAATTGATACTCAACAAGAGACAATAAATGAATAAAATGAAATGATTGAAGAATAATTAAAATAAGAATAAGAAACGAGTAAAAAACGATCACTTGAAAGAATTGACAATGTGATGAACTGAATAAGAAGCAAAGATAAAAGAGCTTAGTGATTCTTTTTCATTCCACACCCAAAGGGTAACGTCATTTTCTTTCCCTTTTTCTTCTTTCGCCATCTATCGATTTACATTTAAAATTTCGATTTAATGATTGTCATGAATTCTCATGACAATGAATTGAATTGTCTCTGAGGCCAAACTCCGTCGCTATCAATTGTAAGAGCTTCATGTTATTAATGAATCAAATCTGACGTTTTTTGATTTTTCCATTCGATTTTGATAAAAAGTATCTAAAATCGATGGTAATTAATTAAATGAACAACTAAATCAAAAGATAATATGAATCAATGAAACTGTTCGGAAATTTTGGTTTACCAACATGTTGATCAATGAATTACGTAATTAGTTAATTAACAGCGTTCTAAGACAAAAGGATAAGATGGAAAATCTTTAACTGGTCTGATAAAATCTCTGTGATTAATTAAATTGAAATGTAGGAAAAAGTTCATAACAACCAATATAAACGCCATGGATTAGATAATCTAAAGTTGAGAATTTCAATAAATGTGAGCTTTAATTAAAGGTCAAAAACCGAAATCTCATTCGAAATCAATTTCCCTTCTGAGGTACAAAGAAAAAGTTCAATATCGATCTGAATATTAATCCACTAATATCATTTCTTTTCCCAATCTCAGAACTAAAGATCGATTCATTAGCTAATTGAACTTTTCTACATGAATAGTAAATTAATAAATGAAGATTTTAATAATAAATGTATCTCTTAATTTTCGTATCTCCAGGGAATTAGTGATTGTTATTCTTCAACTAAATACGATAACTGATCAATTCCAATCTCTTCAAGTCCAAAGTAGAATAATTAATTCGAAAAATCAATGGACGAAGTTCGAGTTGATGATAATCGACAATGTAGATGGAAAAAAATCTCAAAACTAAACGAAAACATTGAAAAAATACTAATCACAACTTGATGGAAAATATTAGTAAACTAATTGTATTCACACTGATTAACGAAAGAGTTAATTGAAGAAGATTCTTGTTGATTCATATTTGCATCTTAATCAAATCGAATCAATTGATTTGGATCCTCTTATCATCTCTACATGAACTTTACCAGACTAATTTTATCAATTACATGAAGATCATTTTAAGAAGACAATTAACTCATTTGAATGAATCTTATCAAGAATATCAAATGTCTCAACATGAAGATTGTTCAGATTATTCATTTTCTTGAAGAATCGACATTTATTCATCTACAGCAATTAAGTTTCATGATAAGTTATCGGAAATTAGTCAACTAGATGAATGATTTTCTCTTATTATTATTATAGTCATGAAAAGGATCATCGATTTCAAACTTGTTCTAGAAAATGGTTAACGTGATTGTCGCGAATTGTTGATTACATTGTAATTTGATTTTCTTTTTGCAGACAATTGATAAATTTGGATAGTAGTTAAAGTAGACGAGAAAAGTTGTCAATTTTATGTGTTAAATTGTTGATAGGATTTCAATTAATCGTTTTATTACTGTTACTGAAAGTTTTGTTTTTTTCTACATCTGATTATAATCATCACATTTTTACTTCATCATTGTGCATTTGAGTGATTTACTCGTTAATGATAAAGGGAAAGTCTTGATAACAACTAATTTTTTGAGGTGAAAATATGATGGAGATGAGATGGGTAGAGGTGGGTTGAGAATAATGAGAGGAAAAGGGAGAGATAGATAGAGAGAGAGAGACAAGGGAGAAAAAAAATGAGAAAATAGAAAGAACAAAAAAAGTACAAGGGGCGATTTCTTCTTATCAATATAATAATGACGTTGAATTAAATTTTTTTTTTCATGATTTAGAATAAATTGACTTCATTCATTTGTCTTTTTTTCTTTTTTACTTCTTTAAATCAAGAGTTTCTCTTTAAGCTTGTTCAGCTTGTTCTTCTTCTTCAAATTCTCCTTCGTCTTCGGCTGTTGCCTCTTGGTATTGCTGATATTCAGACACCAAATCGTTCATGTTTGATTCAGCTTCAGTGAATTCCATTTCGTCCATTCCCTCTCCAGTATACCAATGCAAGAAAGCTTTTCTTCTGAACATAGCAGTAAATTGTTCAGAGATTCTCTTGAAAAGCTCTTGAATAGCAGTTGAATTACCAACGAAGGTTGCAGACATTTTAAGACCTCGAGGAGGAATGTCACAAACGGCAGTCTTAACGTTATTGGGGATCCATTCAACGAAATAAGATGAGTTCTTATTCTGAACATTAAGCATTTGTTCATCAACTTCTTTCATTGACATTCTTCCTCGGAAAACAGCAGCAACAGTTAAGTATCGACCATGTCGTGGGTCACAAGCAGCCATCATATTCTTAGAGTCAAACATTTGTTGGGTCAATTCGGAAACGGAAAGAGCTCGATATTGTTGAGATCCTCGACTAGTAAGAGGAGCGAAACCTGGCATAAAGAAGTGAAGTCGAGGGAAAGGAACCATGTTGACAGCTAATTTACGTAAATCAGCATTCAATTGTCCAGGGAATCGTAAACAGGTTGTGACACCAGACATTGTAGCAGATACAAGATGATTCAAATCTCCATAAGTTGGGGTGGTTAATTTAAGAGTACGGAAACAAATATCGTAAAGAGCTTCATTGTCAATACAGAAAGTTTCATCGGTGTTCTCAACCAATTGATGAACCGATAGAGTAGCATTGTAAGGCTCGACAACAGTGTCACTCACTTTGGGTGAGGGAACAACTGAGAAGGTCATCATTATACGATCAGGATACTCTTCACGAATTTTTGAGATCAATAAAGTTCCCATACCAGAACCAGTTCCACCTCCTAATGAATGTGTCAATTGGAAACCTTGTAAACAATCACAGGATTCAGCTTCTTTGCGAACAACATCGAGAACGGCATCGACGAGTTCAGCACCTGTGAAATTAACATTGGATGTGCGAAAAGAAAACATACATCAGAACACCAGAAAAAGTGGAAACAAAGGAAATTTCATCATCTAATGCCCCGCCCTTACCAATTAGTCAGAAATAGACCAGATCGCAGTTACTTAATTTTATTTTAAGGCAGATTAAAAGTGCCTCACACTCCTTCTTCCTCCCTTCTTCACATCTTTTTCTGTTTGCTTCTCTATGCACTCTACCTCTCAATCTCCTTAACTACCAGACAGTATTTAGAATCAATTGACCAATAGCAAGCATTAGAATAAGGTTCAATAGCTTGGCAACATGACAAATCGATTTATGTAATCCCATGAAACATTCATTGATACAATTCTTTCGTTGCAACTTATTCTTACGCATTAAAATAAAGAAAATGCTCTCTTAGCCACACCCAAAAAGACGTTAAAGAACATTTCAAATTTTTAAACTAAGCCGGTGATCATCACCTCAGCTCTACTCCATTTACCTTATCCCTTCTATCAACACTTTCTTGCTCTTCAACTCACCTTCAGTATAATGTCCTTTAGCCCAATTGTTACCGGCACCTGATTGTCCGAAAACAAAGTTATCTGGTCTAAAGAGTTGACCAAATGGACCACTTCGGACACTGTCCATAGTACCAGGTTCCAAATCAACTAAAATGGCTCTTGGAACATATTTACCCCCTGAGGCTTCATTGTAGTAAACCGAGATTCTTTCCAATTGTAATTCAGAGTCACCATGATAACTACCGGTTGGGTCAATACCATGTTCATCAGAAATAACCTCCCAGAATTTGGCACCAATTTGGTTACCACATTGACCAGCTTGAAGATGAACAATTTCACGCATTTTAAAATAAAAGAAAAAGATTCAACTTGTTTTTCCAAATAGAATAAACGAGAAAACTAGTGATGAAAATAGAAAGAGAGACCAAGAGGGACCAAGAGACGAAGAGAAGAAAAATCAAAAAATGACAATCGATTAAATTTAAGAATTAGAAGAAGAAGAGAAAAAGAGAATTGATACTCAACAAGAGACAATAAATGAATAAAATGAAATGATTGAAGAATAATTAAAATAAGAATAAGAAACGAGTAAAAAACGATCACTTGAAAGAATTGACAATGTGATGAACTGAATAAGAAGCAAAGATAAAAGAGCTTAGTGATTCTTTTTCATTCCACACCCAAAGGGTAACGTCATTTTCTTTCCCTTTTTCTTCTTTTCTTTTCTCTTCGTCGCCATCTATCGATTTACATTCACACTATTCTCCCAAAACATTCGATTCTTTTTTCGGTTTAATTTCAACCATTGAAAATCTTTTCGTTCTTAAATATTCAGTTAACTTCGGTAATTTATTGTTCTCTGTCGAGTTTTTTGTCTCTTTCTTTTTGTGTCTTAATTGTTGTTAACTTGATGATCTCCATCACTTTTGATTTAATTGAAAATCTCTCTTCCTTCCCTTATATTCCAATCATCATCCCCTTTTCTCTATTCTCCTGGTGTACGTGCTCTTTTCGTGTCTCAATTGAGACAATTGTCATCCACAAATGAGCTTTTTGGAAATAAACATGAGAATTTGACTAAAAAGGTGACTCATAGAGGCAACAAAAACAAAAAAAGAAAAGAATTACTGGATTAAAGGGGTTGGAAAATGTGTTTCCCTTGGTGAACATGGAAATGATTGGTCGATTGGAAGGTGATCTCGGAGGGAGAAGGTTTTTTGTTCCAATGGTAAACTGGCAAGAAGAGAAATTAAAAATGTTCTCCAAACAGAAGGTAAAGAAAAGAACAAACAAAAAAAGGAATAAACGATCGGAATGGAAATCGTTAGATGGCGATAGGTGTTGATCAATTGTTTTCCATTTAATTTGAAGGAAAAGAAACTTATTAAAAAAGCTACACTCGAATTGGAAAGTGAACAGTAAAGTTTTTCTCTTTTTATGCTGTTTTATGTTTTAACTGTTTTGATCGTTTTAAGGAATTTCCATTAATCGTTTATATCTTGTTAATGAAATTGTTTTTTTATTCGCCATCTAATTATAATCATCATTTAATTTGCAATTGGTTTGATATAATTTGCTTTTTTAGTGTTTTGATCAATCTTCGCAATTTTATTCTCTTTCTCTTTTTTTCTCTCTACTCATCTAATAGTTTTAATTTTTCTCTTTTCTATTTTCATTTAAAATATTCTTCTTGTCTCTATTTTCTTTTTAAATTCCCTTTAACAGTTAACTATCATTCCCATTATGTTCAAAACGAGTGAAACTCAACGATCTTCACGAGATTACCACACTGTCGATGGATCTGGAATGAAGGATGTCCATTCCTGGTTGAAAAGTCTTCGTTTACATAAATATTCTGACCTTTTCTCACGAATGACATACGAGCAAATGATGTCTCTAACCGAGGAACTATTGGAATCTCAAGGAGTAACCAAAGGTGCTCGACATAAGATCATCTTAAATATAAATAAATTAAAGAATCGAGTCAATAATACCAAAGCTTTGATTCAAAGTTTGGATGAAGAAGGATGCAACTTTATTCGTCAAGCTTTAAATGAACTTAAAACTATTCTCAATACACCAATTAAACCATATTTTATCAACTTTAATTCATCAAAACCTAATTCATCAAGTTCTCCCGATGCTTCACCACCAAATACTCAAAATGTTCAACCTGCTCGAAGACGAAGGCGACTTGGATCTTCTGTTGATTGTCATGCACCAAGATGTGATTGTGAAGATAACATTGAAAATCAATACAGTTCATTTTATCAATGTAATTGTCATGGATCCAATCCTGATGAAGATGAATTACTGCCCAATTTTATAACAAAAGTTATCGAAAAGAGTAAGTTTACCGTTATTCTATTCTATTACTCGAATCTTAGTGTTTCATTAGGTCAATTAGGATTGTTTTCGCCCTTTCAATTATCTCAAATGAAAGATAATCATGATTGAAACAATTTACACTCACCTGGATCCTTGACCGTCAATTAATTTCATCCTATCAGCTTAACTTCACTTTCATTCATTTTCTGATTTGTTTTCTCTCTTTCTCTTTCTCTCTCGTTCTTGTGTTTGTAAATTTTAACGGCAGTTTTTGCACGATTTTAAGAAATTTTCAAGTTCTCTTTTGTTTTGTTAACATTTTCTAAGCTACATCAAATTTGTGAAACATTCTATTATTCTCTTTTTCATCAACTCATTCATTTACGGATTCACATTCATTTCAACTTGAATCTACAAGGTTAATTAAGGTTATCATAAACAGGAAACGTGAACTTGTTATTGATAGTCAAGATGGAGAAGAAGAAGAAGAAGAGAGAGAGAGAGAACTCTCACCTTCAAGTCAGACAAGAGTTTTTTTTATAAGAGAAATGAATTAAGTAGAGTAAGCCATTGAAAGCGAAAGTGTTTTGGTGATTCTTTTTATCATGTTAATGATTGTGGTTACCTTAAGGTTACAGGTACTTATAAATCTGGTTTTATCGCGTTGACCTTTGATTAATTCAGTGGACATGCTGCTGATTTTGTATTGTGTCAATACATTTCCATTTGTATGAGAATTAACCTTTCTTTCATTAGCTTTAACTTTGAAGAATCAATAATGGAAAACAATTAATCTGTTTTGTTTATCTTTCTTACAGTTGGATCCCTTTTCATTTATGCTCAATATGCTGATGATGAATGTTTCAAAATGTTCAATGTTTGCACCGACAAGTGTCTCGCACATGAGGTAAAATGAACTCTCCAAATACGTTCTGCATTTATTGACTCTCTCTCTCTCTCTCTCTCTCTTTGAACTTGTTGTCTACTCTAATCTAAATATTGACTTAGGCTTTTTCTGGAGCTCATAAGCAACGTCTCTGTTTTTGGAAGCAACAGGTTGACTCATTAAGATATTCATTACCAGGTCGTCGCTCCATGGGCACGAGACAATTAAAAGGACAACGTAAACAATGTACCATTACAGCATTGAATGCAGGCAATAACAACATGACCAACAATCATAATAATAATAACACTTATGTTCACAATAATAATATGGACTTTAGACGAACTCAACCCGTGGGTCAAATGAATATGACACAACCTAATTCTAGGTTTTATCACAACTTTAACCATTCACTTGGATTTCCAGGAATGGAACGAAACATGAACTCATCCGTATCTCCAACCACTCGATCTCCTCAAATTAACAACGAATCTGATTCGATTAATACTTACATCGAGAAATTATGCTTGAGAATGACAGAACAAGCTTTGGGTGGTGCAATGGGTTAGTAAAATTTAATCTACTCTAAATGTCTTTATTATTATTAATGGTTTCATTTTTTTTTTCATTTCTTTTCTCTTCCCATCGTAAAACCATAAAGATGAGGACATGGACTTTTAAATTGATCATGTAATTATTGGATATTTTTAAATGAACCTCAAACCGCGACAATATAATAACAATAAGATGAACACCAAACTGTTACTGATACTGTTGATAAAAAAGCGATTGCTTTAAATGAAAACTAAGAAGATGCTTCTAAATGTGAAATGTAACTCTCTCAACTCTCTTAATTCATTTTTCTCCCTCACCCATTAATGTTTTATTTCTTGTTTTTGTTTTTATTTTCACCTTTACTCATTCTCACTCACTCTTTCTCTCTCTCTATTTTACCCTTTTCTCTCTTCTATTCTTTTTCTCTTAAAATTACAATTGCAACATCTTGACAAAATTCAAGACAAAAAATTAACCTTTTCTCCTTCTCTCTCTCTCTCTCCCTCCCAATGTTTTCTACCTGAATGTATGTCTTATCTTTTATTACTTTTCTTATTCTGTCTTATATTGCACTTATTGGTGCGTGAAAATGACCTTTGATAAAGTGAAAGTGAAGGTTGTATAAGTTGAAAAGGTGAATAAGTATTAGACGAAGCGTCAAAGCGAAAGACAATCTACTGTATCATGAAATAGAACTCAAAGTCGAAATACTTGTCAGATATTTTTACTTTTCTCTTTATTTACATCATTTGTCTCTCTTTTTTCTATCAATTGAACCGGTAGAATTTATAAAGATAATGAAAAGAAAAGAAAAAAAACTTCTTTAATTGTCACACTTTTTCCTCTTTTTTATCGTTTTCTCAGTTGTCTTTTTTTTCTTCAACAGAGTTGCCATTTTCAGAGATGAAGGTGATCCTTGATTTTGAGACAAAGATGAAGATGAAGATGCTAATTGAAGATCTGAAGTTCCTTGAAATGTCATCGCAAGTAAATGATGCTGATGATGAATTTGTGGTAACTGTTGTTGTTGCTGTTGCTGTGGTGGTGGTGGTGCAGGTATCGGTTGAATTGGTGGATAAAATTGATGAGTTGGTCGATTAGTAAATCTGATTCCAGGATAATGAGGATAATTTTGAGTTGAATGAATTTGACAATGTTGAAAACAATGAGGATTAGCATTTGCCCACCGGTGGTAAGGTGAATACATTTCGTTATTGGTTGGATCTTGTCGAGATTGAATTGGATTAAATTGTTGACTGCAAGAGTTTTCAATGGATGTTGATGATAATAAAGGATAAGGATCAGTTGGTGATGTCGATAATTGATTCTCTGGTGGTGCCGATGTTTGATTGGAAGATGATTGGGAAGCTGAAGGGAGAGAGGAAGATGACGGATAATAAAGTTGATTGGGTCGATTACAAATTAAATAGGGATTATAATAAGGATAATTTCGTGATCCATGAACTTGACAGTATTGTGAACAGAAAGGCCAAACTCCGCTCGAGGCTAAATGAGTCGGACTGTTATGAGCCCATCGGTGGTAAGGTGATGTATGATTGTGCTGTTTACTTGTTGAATCTTGTCGGCATTTGGATGAATCAAATTGTTGGTGTTGAATTAGATTATCACCAAAATCAACATTTAATTGTTGTTGATCTTGACCGATTGGATTAAAATAATGATGATGATGATGATGATGATTAGGGTTTTCCATTGGAGTGGCAACTTGATTGTGTTCAGTTGTCGGTGATGGTGACGATGACAATAATTGTTCAACTGTCGCCGGAGGGGATGAAGATAATTGCTGTCCATCTAGAATTGTATCTGATTGTGAAAAGTTTAGGTCAGTTGATTGGTCAAGTAATGAAACAGGTAAATGAATTTGATCATTTTGATTGTTCTGGACATTAGTTGATTCATCGTTAAGATAATCTTGAACTCCGTTGATTTGTAAATACGGTGAATAATAAGACCAATTATCATTTGAATTGTTTGAAATATTATTTGACCAAATATCGGGTGAAGTTTTAATTTCATGTTGATTAATTAATTCATGATGATTATCGTATGAACCATGAATTAATTGCTGTTGTTGTTGTTGTTGATTTTGTGAAGCAATTGAAGTTGTAAATGAAAACGATGATTCTGTTAACAATGATGACGATGATGGTGATGACAATTGTTGGATATTAATTGGTGAAAATGATAAAGGTAATTGATGACCTTCCATGATTGAATTTTAATCACAATTAACTGAGAAAAAATTTGTTTTAATTAATCAAACAATCGTAAGGTAATCAAATTGTCAATCTAACTGTAAACTCGAGATACTTATAACCCTTATAATCAGTTTATTAAATTAGCCAAACATAATTTACTTTACAATCCTTAATTACCATCCTTAATTGTGATCCTTTTTAATTGTAATCCCTTGTCGCCATTTAATTACTACGTCAATCAATTGGAAATTAGATTTAATTCAATTTTGTTTGTTTCTCTTTTAGGACAATTAAAATCTCGGTGTTAACAATAGTCATCAGATTGAATAGTTAATTCAATTGAAATAGTAAAAGAAATTAATTCCTCTTTTGATTAACACTCTCTCTCTCTCTGTCTTTAAACAATTAAATTAATTGTTGATTGTTGTTTTTATATGAAAAGTGATGAGGATGGTGAGTAAAAAATAATTTAAATTCAAATGTTAATCAAGTTTAATTATCTATTGAAAAAAAAATCGTCAATTATATGAATGAACATTGAAAAAGATGAATTAATCTGTCAAAGTAAATTAGTTAAATCAACATGATATTAATATTCAAATCATGTAGTTAATGAATTTGAAATGCTCAAGTTTATGATGATTGTTGATGATGATGGTGAACAATTAACAAAGTGACCATTGTTTTAATCATATAACTGATGATTTAATTATTCTGATTGTCATGTTGATTTTTCAGCTTTTTGTTATTGAGTTGAAATCTTTTCATGTTCAGATATGGAAAGACAATGGCTACTGTTATGTGGATACTTAAGGAGTGACAATAACCTCAGGGATTACGTAGACTCACCTGAAGCATGATGATGATGATCATCATCATCATGATCATCATCTTAATTACGGGATAGAGATGAGAGAGATTAATATACTTCCACGGGTTTATGATCAAAGTAAAGTTTGTTTTCCTGAGAGAGAGAGAGGAACAGGTTAGTTTGAGTGAAGAAGATGCTAAAGATGAGAGAGAGAATGATGAAGATGAAGATGAAGATGAAGATGGAAGATAAGATGATGAAGGGTTAGATTATCTCTGAGTGAGAATTAAAAGTGAGAGTGAAATTATTAAAATGTTTCATGGAAGAGGAAGATTCAGTTGGGTGGGTGGAGGGAAATGGAAGTTTACATGATAAAAGAACTTTTTTTTTCTCTTCTTCCCTTTTGAAGGAGGAGTTTTTTTTTTAATCTTCTTTTTTAATGTGAGAACAACAATTAAACTCTGATTGTTACCTTTTGGATGGACGATGAAGATGATGATCTGTGGACCAGTTGATTAACAGAAATACTTTGGTTAACATTAGAAAAAGAGATTGACCTTACCAAGTAATTTCTATTCTCTTTTCCTCTAATCCGTTGCAATTTAATCTCTTCTCTTACTTTTCCCAATTTCTATTCTCAACTTGATTGCTCATCTTTCTCTTTCTCTCTTTCTCTCTCTGGTGATGATTATGTTTCCATCGACAATTAACTTTGTCTCCAATCAATTTAATCGAATTTAATTTGATTACTAATTCTCTCTAATTGATAAACTTGATTTGTGTTAATCTTTTAATCTTCAATTTTGTTTCCATCAAAAAGATAAACAATGTTTTTCACCTTCGCTGTTTATTCAATCATATTTGCCATTGGAACAGAAGTTGATTCCTTTTCTCCATCTTCATCTTTATCTCCTTCAACTATAACCTCAACATCACCTTTGACATCTAATTATGTGACACTTTCATCATCACCAACAACTGAATCAACAGTTAAATCGTCGCCAATTAAGACAACCTTTAATTATCCAAGTTCATCTTCGGGTATTTCCAGTGGATCTCCATCGACAGCCTATTCTAAGCCCAATACCTTGACCATTGACCTGAGGTCAACAAGTGATTTATTTAGTAGACCAGATGATTCAAATTATCGATCACCTTCAATCCGACCAGATCTTGACCGAGGGTCAAGTCAGGTAAGTGGTCAAGCTTTTCATCCTCCCTAAGAATCTTCAATCTTGGACTCGTGAAATTTTCATGTTTACATTGGTGATTTTCCATGAGAAACAATTAAATTTGATTAGTTTAATTTGGTTTACAGGAAGAGTTTATTGCTCGAATCATGAATAGCCTCAGGGTCCGAGAAAAAAGTGTAAACAATCAAGAAAATGTTAGCAATTAAAACAAACGACAATCAAGACCATTTTTCACAGGAAGTGAATTCTAATCATTAATTATAAGCGAAAACAATATCAACAATTAGAGTTGACAATTAATTTGCTTTAAGATGAGTTTTTTTTTACTGTTAATAAATTAATTCAGTTTCAAGTAACTTAATTTAGTTCACAATTCAGAACCAATTAATTGAGTAAAAATTAATTTCTCATGATTAAGTTTCCAATGAAAATTATTATTTTCAACAATATTATTATTGAATTAAACCTGATTGACAATAGATTAATTTGATTGCAATCAAATTGTTTGAAGGTTAAATTGTTAACCATAACTACTAAATCAATGTATTAATATTAATAATAATATAAACACATCAAGGTTAACTAATTGTTTACAATATGAGGATCAGATTAGTTAGTTGATTTAAATTTATCCAAATGATTTTTTTTTGCATAATGAAAACTTTTGTTGATTGTTTCAATTTTTCACCAACTAATCCATTGAAATCATCTTTTGTTTCAACAATTAACAAATCAAATCAACAATTGAATAGGATGGTGGCCTTACCGATGAATTTGGTACAACCGAATCAAGTAGATCAACAATTAACAATTACACCTCATCAATGGCCGCCGTTTATCAAGAGGAACCCGAAAATTTGTTCACCTCATCAAGTCCTTCAGGTAAAACTTTTTGTCTTCTCGTTAATTGTCCAGTTAATTAACTGGTCAAGACCTTGAGGTTTTCCTTTCAATTGTTTTTTTTAAATGGACACAAAGGGATAATCAAAACAATAAACACTCAGTTAATCAATCAGTTAATTTAGGTAGAAATTGATGTAAATTGTTGTTGATTGTTGATTGTTGTAAATTGTCATCACAAATGAGGAAAAAGTAAACAAATGAATGAGAAAATTGTAATTAATTGTTAATATAATTAATATGTGTTTCTCTCTTATGGTGTTTGATTGTTTAATTGAATGAAGGAAGTTGATTGTAACAATCAACACAATTATAAAATAATATAAAAGGTAAACATTGTTGATTAATTAGAAAATTTTGTCCAACATTTTTCTCAGTTAATTAAATGAGTAAAAATTTAATTAACTCTCAATGATGGTGGTCAGTTGTTGTCTCTTCCTTGATCCGTTATAATTACAATTGTGATTAAATGGGATTAACTTGATTGTTATAATTGTTTTTTATTTCTTCTCCATCATCTCTAATTAAGGAATTATTGTAATAGTATGTGAATTGTTTAATCACAATCAATTAATTGTGAGTAAACTTTTTTCCTTTCTATTACAATTGAAATGGTTAAAGGAAAAAACAAATTGTCCATCAACTGGTTTCGTAGTAATTAAGATGATTGATGTTTAATTAAGATTTTACTCTTTACTATTTAGCTGATTAAATCATTGGAAAGGTTAATTGTACAGACACAATCAAGGATAAACATCTAACTTGACATTATAAACAAATGATTATCTTGATTGAGAGAGAGACCAGATTATCGTTCATTGTTCATTCAACAATTAGTTAATCAAATTGTTTTTTGTTTCCTTTCACAGGTTCATTGACAATCACTTCATCTGGATTACAATCAGCTAATCATGAGATCTGTGATTTCTGTATTTACGAGGGTGAAGGTAACTTTACGAGTTATGGTTATCCGTTACCATATCGATCAAATCTTAATTGTTCATACCGAATCCAACGAGTGGCCGATGAAGATAATGCCGATTATTGTGAACTTGATCTGATATTTCACGATTTTGATGTTCCAATATCGTCAATAGCGGGTGTCACTTCAGGTCCAGATTCGATTGCATCTGATTGTAATGAAGATTATTTAATTGTAACTGGACGGAGATTTTGTGGTAACCAATGGAAAGGTCGATCTGAGGTTATTCCTTTTGCCGCAGGTCAAAAAGAGGTTACCTTTAATTTTATTTCAAATGAACGGGTTTCAGGTCGTGGATTTTGGGTTGAGGTTAAAAAGCGACCTGGTTCTTGTTACGAGAAAAAGGCAATGAGATCATGTGAAGAGCGATATTCAGATTCTGAGTTTTATATCACCAGTCCTCAGTTCCCATCGGGATATCCGAATGATGCTGATTGTACTTATCATATACGAAGATCTGACCAATCAGTTTGTGGATTAGAATTTAAATTTCTTCATTTTGATCTAGAACAAAGTGAAAGTTGTTCTTATGATTATCTTTCGATTGATGGTCAACGTTTTTGTGGTACTTTATCACCTCACACAGTTAAACAGGTCAAATTTGACGAAGATCAGAAAGTTTTAATCTTCCACAGTGATAAGCAAATTCCCCGATCAGGATTCCATCTATTGGTTCGGCAACTTCGAAAATGTGGCCCTTCCCAATCTCTTCCACCGCCGCCCAATTGTAACATTTGTACCGATGAAAAATCTGGAATATTGGTCAGTTACGGTTATCCAAATCCCTATCGAAACAATTTACTCTGTTCTTACACAATAGAAAAGTCCAATTCCGAAATGTGTGCCGTCGAATTTAAATTCGATGATTTTGACCTAGTTCCATCTAAAGATTGTTCTGAAGATTATCTAACACTCGGTGGATCGAAACAATGTGGATCAACTCTTTATGCTACCAAACGTATACTCGAATTTGGTCCAAACAATACCGTTGAAATGACCTTTAGAACCGATGGTAGTTCTCATTCAAGAGGATTCTCAGCATCGTATCGTCAATTACCCTGTTCCTCTTCCGGTTCATCTCCAACCGCCTCATCGTCAACAACACCAGCTCGAGACATAACACCTCTTCCCGCTAAAGATAAACCGACGACAACTCGATCAATTTATTGTGATCGATACTTTTCAGAGAAAAATTTTCTCCTCCAAAGTTACAATTACTCTTCCAACTATTTGAACAATTTAGATTGTACCTTAACGGTTCATCGAAACACATCAAAAGTTTGTTACCTTGAATTGACCTTCCTAATGTTTGACGTTGAAGCTTCACCTCAGTGTCAATTTGATTATCTAGAGATAAATAATGTACGACTTTGTGGTACATTACAACGAGAAACAACTAGAACTTACATATTCGAGGGAATTGAGAAAATAATAAAATTCCATTCAGATAATTCATCAAATCGAGGTGGTTACCTAATCAAGGCTGAACAATTAGAGTGCCATGGTGATGCTATCATACGAAACATGTCCGATAATCAAGTCAACTCGAATGCTCTGATTCCCGATCATCCATTACCCTGTGATGCTGTTATTACCGATTCGACCTTTGAAATAATCAGTCCACTTTATCCGTCACCTTATCCTGGATCATCTAATTGTGTTTACAGTGTTCATAAAGTTGATCCTCGAATTTGTCGACTGGAAGTCACTTATTACGATTTTGAACTACAAGGAGTAAATTCTCATGGTTATTGTTCAGCAGATTATCTTGATTTCAATGGTATCCGAATGTGTGGAACTGTTACTAAAGCTTCAGTTCGTAATTATTATTTTCCAGAATCAACGTTTTCCATTCGCTTTCATGCCGATCCATCGTTATCAGGGCGAGGTTTCCGGCTCGGAGTGAAACAATCAGAGTGTATTGAACCCGCTAATGAACAGAAACCACCTCAACCCTCAACAACCCTGATCACAACACCATCTCCAGCCCCATCAACACCCTTGGCTTCAACCACCCAACGAGTTCAAACCCACCAATGTGATCAAGTAATTAAATCAGGATTTGTTGAGATTCTTAGTCCTGGTTGGCCGGCTAATTATCCTCCATCAACTCGATGTCAATACACTATAATTAAACGAAACGATATTGGGCCAATTTGTCAATTAGAGGTTAATGTAATCAACTTTGAACTTGATCAAACAATCAACTGTCAAGGTGATTATCTTGACTTTGAACGTGAAATAATTTGTGGGTCAATACCAAGTAAAACAATTAAATATTTCCCATTTGAGAGGCCAGAGTTTATAATCAAATTTCAAAGCGATGCCTTGGACACTGTATCTTCCCGTCGTGGTTTCTTACTTCAAATCCGTCAACGTGAGTGTGTCGATGGATTCAGCGTTAGTCCAACAAGATTACCGACAACACCATCGATTTTACCAGAAACAACATCTCACCAACAACAACAACCACAAGTAGCTGATAAAAAGCGACTCGAATATTGTGGATCAATTGTTCGAGGTCATAAATTTGAACTTAAAAGTCCATTATTTCCAGCACCGTACGAGGCAGGATTAGATTGTCCTTATACCGTTAGACGATCTCACCCCAATATTTGTTACCTTGACCTATTTTTCCTTGACTTTGAACTACAAGATGCTAAAGATTGTAAATATGATTATCTTTCAATTGCTGGTAAAAAGTATTGTGGTTTAGTTAAACCAGGAGCAATTCAAAGTTATCCATTTGAAAATCAGAATGAAATATCAATTATATTTCATTCTGATCGAACCAGTTCAGGTCGAGGTTTTTACATTCGTGGTTCTCAACGTGAATGTGATCCAATTACTTCGACCGTGAACACTTCGAACTACGAACCATCGTCAGTAACCTCAACAACCTCGACACCCTCAACTTCACCGGCCAGTAGTCGATCCAATGGAACGATAATTAATCAGATTAATCATTTACCTCATTTATCGGCAACTCCATCAATTTGTGAATTTTGTTTCGCAAGTAAAGATGGTGAAGTAAAAAGCTACGATCATCCTGATCTTTATCCTGCTAATTTAGATTGTAATTATCGAATCACTGGATTACCTGGACATTGTGCTGTTTATCTTAAATTTGACATTTTCGACATTGAAGAGCCACGAAACGGTCAATGTATCGATGATTATCTGGAAATTGATGGTAACCGATATTGTGGTAATCAACTTGATCGAGCTCAGAGTAAGTTGAAACAATTAACAATCTCGAGAATGCTGAAGAAAGGGAGAGAGTGATAATTTAGAACAAATTTTGATGATTTTTTATTTTCTCTTTTTCCAGAATTACTTGATTTCCATGGTAAACCTCGTGAAATAGTCTTGAAATTTCACAGTAACGAATTTATTTCCGGCCAAGGATTCAGAATCTCTTATGCACAAATTGCTTGTAATAATATCGGTGTTAATCAAACGCCATTAAATATACCAGATAAACCAATTCCTCAACTTATCACTGATTCATCACCGATTTCTGTTATTGAATCTAATGATAAAATTTCATCATCGGTGGCAATTGGAGTTGAGAGTCCATCAAATCGACGAGTTCCTTGTGACCTGGTAGTTTTTGACACTCGATTCGAAGTGTCAACACCAGGATATCCTTACGTTTATCCAAACAATGCTGATTGTCTTTTCTCAATTCGTCGAGCGAATTATAATATCTGCAAATTGCGACTTGAATTCGTTGATTTTGATGTTTCACCGTCGCCCAATTGTGGTACTGATCATCTTGACATTGAAGGAGAACGTCTTTGTGGAATTGTACCAAATAACACCATAAGTAAGTCAATTGATTCTCTCGATTATTTTAATCCATTTAAATGCTTAAAAATTGCTTTAATTCATTTTTTTAGGAGAATTCGATTTCCACAATTATAAGATTGCTCTTAGATTCCGTTCGGGTGACCAGGGATCTCGTCGTGGTTTCTTCATTCGAGGCCAACAGATCGAATGTTATGATCACAATAAGTCGCCTCCTTATCCATCAAATTCTGCTGATTTTCCATCCTATTCACAATTTGATATTCGAAATCCAACAAAACATCACAATAATAATCAACCATCATCTTCGATTAATTATCAATCCAATAATCCATTTACTTCATCATCATCTCCTCTCTCACCGAGTCACAATTATCCATCCTCATTAAATTATCCACCATCATCGGGATCTCATGGTTTGTATCCTCCGCCTCCATCACACCAAGCAAGACAAACTTCATCAGTTACAGGGACAATTAAGGTTATCGATCCAAGTGATACAAATTCAAGTTTAACTCAATCATCAATTAATCACCAACAAGAAGAAATTGATTCTCAACAAATACCAGTCCAACAATTTAGCTCTTTCACTTCCTATTCATCGCCAAGCGTTTGCGACAAGACAATAACTGAAAGTTTCTTTGAAATTCAATCAACTAATTACCCACAAAGGTTTGTAGCCAATTGATTATTGAGAAAAATTCTGATTAACTTTCCACTCTAATTGAATGAACAGATATCTCCCTGGAAGCAAATGTTCAATGATAATTAAAAAAGCGAATCCATCAGTTTGTCATTTAGACTTAATGTTTATCCACTTCGACATTGGTTCGGGTTCTTGTTCAAATGATTATCTCTCGATTGATGGTGAACGACTTTGTGGTTCAATTCCTGGTGGAACAGTTAAAACATTTACTTTCGATCTTCCCGAAAAGTTCATCTTTTTCCGTGGAGACATTGGTCAAGGTGTTGGTTTCAATGTTCGAGGTCGTCAAGTTGAATGTGGCCCAAATATCGGTCAAACTACGACGACATCTCTCAATCGAGCACCAGTTTTGAGTTTTAAACCATCAACTCGATCATCAAGTGACCAAAGTTCCCCACTATTATTATCATTATCATCTTCAAAATTATCACCTTACGATAGAGATGAGTATTCATCAAATTTACCCTTTTGCGATCGCATTTTTACAACGGAAAGTTTCACACTGACCAGTCCAAATCATCCAGCCAATTATCCCAATAATCTTTACTGTCAATACACAATTCGTCGGCCAAGTTCAAGTGTTTGCGCGATCGATGTAACTTTCGTCAATTTTGACCTGGAAGAATCGCCAATCTGCTCAAATGATTACCTGGAAATCGATGGATCAAAGATTTGCGGTCTTTTACCTCCGCATCATAAAAGTAGGAATTATTTTCATCCCTCACTGATTATCTTCATTAACGAATTTAATTATACACTTTTGATAATATTCTCCACCTTTACTTTTTCTCCGTTGATTCAGGACGATATAATTACTTCAATGGCCACGACAAGGAGAAGACAATCATCTTTAGGACAGATTCACAGATCGCTAAAAGCGGATTCTCATTAAAAGTTGTCCAAGTGACCGGATGTTCACAAGCAGGTTTGTTCTCTTTTTTTCTTCCTCTTCCTCTTCTTCTTTTACCTAAATAATATAAATAATCATCAAGAATAACAATTAACGATTCTTTGTTTAAATGTTTATTTCAATTCTTTCCAATAATAATAACAGACTCATCTCAGCTTGACCATCGTCCAAAAAGTAAATCCCAATGTAATGAATGTATGAAAGATTTGCTTGGACAGATAACAAGTGATAATTATCCAAATAATTATGGAAATGATGTCGATTGTAATTACCGAATCGCCTCCGCTGGGTCACAATACTGTAAGGTATTAGTTTACATTCGGGATATGGACATTGAGGAGACCGAAGCTTGTGACAAAGATTATCTGTTTTTAGATGGACAAAGAGTTTGTAATACAAATTATAAGCCGAAACCAAGTTAGTATATGAAAGAAGTAAAATTTTTACTGGTTGACCTTTCAACTCTTGCAAGGGAAAAACTGGACCAAAGAAAGAGGGAAAAAAAGATCACTAATCTCTCTCTTTCTCTCTCTCTCTTTTGTTAAACTCTTTTCTTTGTTACAGTGACCATCTATTTCCCAGAATATGGACCAAGAGAGATAACTTTTAGTTTCCACAGCGACTCTAAAGGAACCGGAAGAGGTTTTTTCATCGACTATATGCAACAATCTTGTTCGACCTCTTCACCTTCACTATCGCCATCAACTATGTCTAAATCTCACTTTTATCCTACTAATCATATAGCGAAAGCTGTAATTGAGGAAATTGTTGAGACCAAAGTTGCTGTTCTTGACCATAGACCCGATCCGATAAATCATCAATCAGTTTCTGCCAAAGATACAATTTATGTTGGTGAATCGTCACCATCATCCTCATCCTCATCATCTCCATCTTTAACAAAGAAATCATCTTAAATACTCAATATCTATCCTTAGAGAGAGATTTAATCATTTAAATTAATATTTGTAATACTTAATTGAAAACCTTTTAACACAATCAATTTTAATTGTAAGGTCAAACTTTCTGATTCTTTTAGCAATTTAGTTCTCACTTTGGAAATACTAAAAATACTGTAAATAGTTTTGTTCGTGATCATAAAAATAAAGGAATCACAGTTAAAATAATCAAGAGAATTTTCTTAACAATCAATTGATTGGGAAACAATTTAGAAAATTTAACAGCCTTTGGGAGATTAAATTGTTCAAATTGTTACAACAATCAGTTGACCAACAGAAAAACTTACCCTTTGATGGTCAGTATATTTTTCCACCAGAGACAAAGACGATTCCATGGTCAAGATCATTCTCTTGGTTCGATAACTTCTCCTGAATAACTTGAGAGAAACTCGAACTAACCTGAAGAAATAAATTCCGTTAGAATACTGGAAATAAACATTGGAATTACCTGAGAATATCAATTTGAAAGTTGAACAATCGGATTGAGGATGAAGCTGAAAACGAATCACTAATATTTTAATCTCGTTTCCGTTTCCCTTTATTTTTTTTTGGCAAATCGGCTCTTAGAACATTTGAAATGAAAACATGATGAACTGATTCACATGAAAATCGATAACTTTGAATTGAATGATTGAATTGAGTTGTTGAAACAGGCCGGGACGAGTGCAATATCATGGATCGAAGGGATAATATTGACACAAGTCTAGACCTGCTTCAGAGTGACGATGGTGACCAAGTGAACACACCCGACGGATCTTTGGAACTGAGGGAGAAACAAAAAGTCACTTTTCCTTTATTCGGACTCTCTAAAAGTGAGAGAGTCTGAGGGAGAGAAACAAACCAATGAGAGCATCTGCTTGAATTCGAAGACAACAAAACATCTCATCTTCTTACATCCTTCGGTTTCGGACACTGTCGGACAATTTAGAATAACAGAGAGAGAGAGAGAGAGAGAGAGAGAGAAAAGGAGGGAGAGGGAGAGAACATTTGAGAGAGAGAATGAGAGAGTGAGAGAACTTACCTACCTAGAGAAAAGGTGAAAGGTAACAAGATGAGGAAGAAAAAGGAGACCATCTGCTTCTTTTATTCTCTTATATATTTTTCTTTTCTTTTCTCTTGGACAAAGTATCATCAAGGTAGAAAAAGAGTAAGAAAAATGCCCAAAGCATCTGTCCGAATGAAAAGAATAAAAATGAGAGAGAAAAAAACGAAAGAGAACAAAATTGAAATGGTTAAAAGTTCTTTTCTCTTTACCTTTATTTTATTTTTCTTCTTCTTCTTTATTCGTATTGGGCAGATGGTAAGAGTGGACCTTAAACTGGACAATGTGGATTATCTGCTTTTCTTGCAAAATCCATGGGCTTGGTATCGACCATGGATCAAGTAGATCAACAATTACACCTCATCAATGGCCGATGTTTATCAAGGGAACCTGAAAATTTGTTCACCTCATCAAGTCCTTCAGGTAAAACTTTTTGTCTTCTCATTAATTGTCCAGTTAATTAACTGGTCAAGACCTTGAGGTTTTCCTTTCAATTGTTACTTTTTTAAATGGACACAAAGAGATAATCGATCAGAAAATCTTATATATAAATTATCATCTCAACTTAGGAAAAGACAAACCAGAATAAAATTTGCATATGATTAGTTGATTTGATTCAATTGATTGTTGGAAATTAAATTTTAATTAATAATCTGATTGATTGGTTATAGTCTAGATTGTTAAAGTTGATTGGAAATTGGGAAGATTGATTTTCAATTCATTGATTAGCAGGGATTCTGATATAATCAAATCAACGATTATATCAGAATTATTTGTTGGAAATGAATTCCAATTAAGTAATAAATCATTCAGATTATCGGAATCACTTTTTTTTAATAGAAATAATCATCTCATGATGTAATTATCGTTTCATTGATGGTCATCAGTTTTCAACTGGTCAACTCTTTGTTGTTGTCCCATCGAAATGTATTCTTGGTAACAATTGGAAGATTGAATTTCAATACACAAATTTAGTTATTCTAATGAATAACTTTTGGACCGATAAACATTTCAAAGTAATAATAAAATTTTCCACCGAATAACCAAAATAATTAACAATCATTTTGTCTCTAATCATCCGAAACATTTTGATAACTGTAATTACCTCAAGAGACAATTAAGATAAAGTCAACCAATTGTATCCATCACCTTGAAAATTAAACTTGTATCATAATAGTAATTAAAGTTCATCTCTTAAAAGTAACAACATCTATTCAAGAACTTTAATCAACTAATTACAAGATTCGATTCTATCATCATTTGCTTAATTGAAACAATTTATTAAATGAAAAGTAAATTAAATGGACTAAAACAAAAACTCGCGCTCGAAAAGTGTAACCATGGAAACGAATGTGATGTTTACATTTGATTTTCATTTCGTTTGTTTATCTTTTTGTAAGTCAAATTCAATCATCTTCTCATCAATCTCTTCATATTTAGTAAAGATAATTAAGTTAAATAATTAGCAATTGTAATGGTTGCTTCTGATTCCATAAGAGATGACCATCTAGACGAGTTACCTGATAAACATGTCGCCAGAGATTTTTACGCAAAATATGAGCCCAAAGAGGTTCTGGGAAGGTAAAAATTCATTTGTGATTATTTTTTTTTCTCTTTCTGTTTTGTTGAGAGATTTTTCTTTTTAATTCTTTTTAAATCTAATCTTTTTTTTCTCTCTCTCTCTCTTTTCTCTTATTCATGTTCTTCGGTATTCAGAGGAGTAAGTAGTACGGTAAGACGATGTGTAGAAAAAGAAACCGGAAGGGAATATGCTGCCAAGATTATCGACGTTAGTGCAGACTTAGAAGATCCCCAAGGATTAACCCTTCGACAAGCTACTTTGAGAGAGATATCAATCCTTAAATTAGTTGCTGGTCATCCATTTATAAGTAAGTATAATCTAATTACTACTTTTTTTTGTCTACTTGTAGCTCATTGAAATTCATTACTACCGAAATTTTCTTTCCTTCAGTTGAGCTTCATGATGTCTTTGAATCTTCAACTTACATTTTCTTAGTTTTCGAATTGTAAGTATCCATCAATATTTCATCATTCGTTGTTCTAAACTTTCAACTGTCTATTGATTAATATTCTCTTTTCTTTCGATGTAATTAGATGCAAAAATGGAGAACTATTTGATTACCTGACGAATGTTGTAGCCTTATCAGAGAAAAAAACCAAGTTAGTTCGAGAAATTCGTTACACCATATCATTTGGCTTTTCCATTTTAATTCAATTCTAAAAAATTTCTAATTTTTTCTTTGTTTTTGTTCATTAATCAAGAGCCATAATGAGGCAGCTTTTGGAAGCTGTTGAACATATACATAACAAGAACGTTGTTCATCGTGATTTGAAGGTTATTATTATTGCCCAATTTTTCACTTAATTTACTTCGATCTATTAATTGATATTCATTTTCTTTTCGTTTTCTTTATAGCCTGAAAATATCCTCCTTGATGATAGTTTGAACATTAAAATAACAGATTTTGGATTCGCTAAAGTGGTTGCTCCACATGAAAAACTTTATGGTAATTCAATCACATTTATTTACCTTAGTTACTAATTACTATTTTACTATAATTTTTAACTAATCAATTTTTATTACTCTTCCATTTATATTAGATCTCTGTGGAACCCCTGGTTACCTTGCACCAGAGCTTTTACGTGCTTCCATGTATGAAAATACTGAAGGTTATGGTAAAGAAGTCGATCTATGGGCTTGTGGAGTCATCATGTATACTCTTCTTGTCGGGTTTCCACCTTTTTGGCACCGAAAACAAATGATTATGCTTCGTAACATCATGGAAGGTCGATATGAATTCTGTAGTCCAGAATGGGACGATATCACTGATTTACCTAAACACCTTGTGAGTTGCGAGCTAAATTCAAATTAGTATACCGGTACAATCATTTTCGTAGATTTCGTAAACTCATCTCAAAATTTCTCTCTCCTTTTTCCACTCATCAGATCAGAAATCTTCTACAAATCAATCCTCGATTAAGACTGACCGCATCTCAAGCACTGAAACACGATTTCTTCCAAAACATGGTAACGAAAATTGTACAATTTGATTACCAATCGTTTTCTAACTCTCAATGTTTTCTTTAATTACATAGCAATTGAGAGTTGGACCTTTCGATGCCCGGAAAACCTTCCAATTAGTGATGTTGGTTGTTCGAGCCATGATAAGAATCAAACGATTAAAATACACTCCCGAACCTATGAGCATAGAGGTTGCTCGATATGACCCTTACAGAATCAAAACACTTCGAAAAGTGAGTTTTTCTAAAATTATCGAAATCTTCGATTCCCTGGTTTTAAATATTTTCTCTTTTTCTTTCAGGCTATTGATGGATGTGCCTTCCGTGTCTACAATCATTGGGTTAAACGAGGCGAAGTTCAAAATCGAGCAGCACTTTTCGAAAATAGGCCTAAACAAGATTTGAAAGCTTCTTACCAACAACCTTTTCAGGCCAAAGCCTAGTCTCTTTGCCCGAAAAGTTTTTCTCATCTTTCTCTCTCTCTTTTCCCCATAGTTTTCTCTTCATATTTCTCTTGCTCTTATCTTAACTCTGTAAATATCGATATTTCAAAATACAGGAAGTAAGAGAAAGAAAAGGAAACAATTGCAATTAATTTATCGGTTCTCCTTTTCTCAATCTCTTGGTCTTTTCATATACTCGTTAAATAGTATACACATGATGTGTCCTCTTCTTTGATGTATCATCACATAATTAAAACATCATTCTCATTGTGCAATCATTAAACGATCTCGTACCAAGTTTCGTAATTGAATAGTAAATTGTTTCACTAATTCAGTTAATCTTTCTACTGGTCAATTTTCAATCAAATTCAAATGCAAATGATTAACTTACATGTGCTATTTATGTGATAATTTACCCTCTATACTGATTGAGATGAATACCTGATACAATATCGTACGAGACCTTTGTTATTACTATTAATACAAGTGAGTGCGAGATGAGTATTAATTATAATCTCATTTCCATCTACCAATTAGTCATATTTGTAATAATATTTTTCTCTCCCATTTCAAACAATCGCTTTTTGTAGTAAACAACAATTAGTTAATTCTAATCAAGTGTAAAATTTTCTAATAGAATGTTGATCTTATCCAATGGAAATCGGTGTTACTCTAAACGTGAATATAATGATGTTAATCATGACAAATGCCAACAACAATCAACGAAATTTTCACCATTAAAGGTCAGTGATGGGAAGAGACGATCTTTGAAATGGATAATGTTCAAAATGACCCAAAGAAAATCATCGAATCGTAAAAGTGGAACAAAGAGATTCGAAAGGATTTCGTCAGGAAATTGTGATCCAATCAAAGTTTTGAATTATCCATTAACGAGGAAAACTCTGAATACAAACAACATGATCTCATGGAAATACAATCTTTTACTATCTCCAATGAATTACTAAATGAAATTCATCATCAAGCTGCTCAAGTTGTTGATCAACTTTACGATTCAGTTAAAATTGAGCAAATGAGTCAAGTGATTTGTAAATTTTACCAAAAACTTAATGAAAACTTAACTGTAAATTCATTCAGTAACCTAACCGATAATGTAGTTAATCAATTGATTAGATACATAGAGACACGATTACTTGGTCCAATGTATAATTCAATTCATGATCAGATTGTAAATGAAAATGAGCAACAAGATTTATCACTTGAAACTCATATATCAAGTCTCAATCGGATTAAATTGATTGATCTCCAATTGAAAGTCGATTTAGATAATCCGGAAATCGGAGATTTACTAGAAAAGTCAATCTCTCACCTAATCGAAATGGGATCGAAAAAATCACCGTTACAAAAATTGGATTCAATAGTTAACTGTTCCAAGACGATAATCAGAATGCTACAAATTGATTCAACTAATCATATATCAGCTGATGAACTACTTCCTGCTTTGATTTATGTGATAATCAAAGCTAATCCAGCAACGATTAAATCGGATATAAAGTTTATCGAGCAGTTTTCATACTCGAACCATTTAATGTCCGGAGAGTCGGGATATTATTTCACTAACCTTTGTTGTGCTCTGATTTTCATTGAAAATCTTGATGGTCAATCACTCAATTTACCTGGAAAAAAGTTTCTCCCAAACAATTAACTAATCTCATCTTATTAGATCTCAAAATATCAATATCATTAATCATCATTAAAACTTTTCCATTACAATGATAATACATTTAAATGAGTAATTGATTAATGATGAGTTGAACAATCAAACTGTCCTGATTAAACTAATATCTATTTGAATATTAACTTTCTAATCAATTTTTTTTTATGTTTTTTTATATTCTTATCAATTATGAGTTGTCAGTTTAATCAAATAGTTTCGTAATTGATTGTAATTGATTGTATTGTTGAGAAATATTCATTTTTAGGACGAACCTGAATTCCAATAATAATATATAATATTAAACACGAAACGGAATGGGTCACTTTTAGGTCGAGGATGAATCAAGTCCACAATTGATATTGAAGTACAATGAGTCCAATCTATTGTTTACAGATCCAATTATAGATTTTTTCTTCATCTTCTCATCTTCATCTCCATCTTCATCTTCATCTCCATCTTCATCTTCATCTTCATCTTCATCTTCCAACATGTTAATCTCCCAAAACAATCAACAATCAAGCAAAATTTATCAACACAACTTTTTGATTTCTTGTTGATGTTTACAATTCACTCAACCCTTTTGTACACATTATTATTTAATTATATTAGTAAATTGAGTTATCGTTAAACTAGATGTTAATTATGTGATCAAATGGATATTAAATCATCATTAAACAAATTGTTGATTGTAATAATAAGTAATCATTTATATATCTACAGCAATGGTCAATGAACTTTTCTTGACCATTCAAATAATTATGTCAACAGTAATATTTAAGTAACTGGTTTTTACTTCAATCTTGTAATATATTATTATTATTATTAATCGCAATCAATAAATTGTTCACCAACAATCAAGAAAGTAATACAAATATTAAATTGATTAGATTCATTGGTTTATGGTTGTTAATCAAATGATGATGATTAATATGTATATAAACATATCTGTTAATCAATGAACTAATTTAAGCAATCATCAATATGATTATTGTAAATTAATTGATCAGGTATTAATCATTTTCTGATCAACTAATTAAACAATTTTTTTTTCAATTAATCAATTGGAAATATTTAAATGAAACAAAACCTTTAAATACATTTGTCATGATCGTGATCAAATTGTATTAACATCAATTTGATTAACATTAAAAATAGTCTCTTGTAATTACAATTAAAAGGTAATTTTCGTTATTGAATCAATATTAATTGAAAAAGGTCATCATAATGATGATGATGATTGACCATCTCATACAACTGACCACTAACATTTTCCTACCTCAATCATTTCAAGTAGTAAGTATATTTAATTATCTGATTAATGTTATTTGTTATTTGATTAATAATACAATTGAATTGATGATCAGTCAATTGATGATAAAAATAAACTAATCAATTTTTAAACCAATAACTGTTAATGTGTTAATCAAGCTAATCTTTTAACAATCAATTTCAATTACCAATCAATATAATAAGATAATCAAAATAAAAGTGTTGATTCTGATTAATCAAATGAAAACTAATTCATACAATTGTATTAATATGTTCAATTGACTGGACAACAATATAAAATAAATGATTACTTTGTTGACCTTAATTTGATTTCATCTTTTCACTTGATTATCTTCAACAATTTAATCTTTAATTTAGTAAAAAGTAAGAAATTAAATCCATCTAATCGTATTGTGTATTTATCATCTACTTTCTTAATTACTTTGATAACAATTAACGATAATTAATCAATCACAATCTCATATCGACTTTAGTTATTTTGTATTTACAATCTTTAAACTAATCATTATGATTATATTAATTTTCCAATCAATTAAAATGATGAAAATTGATTCGTATTAAATATTTTTGATTGAATAAATTATTAATTATTACTTAACTTTGATCATCTTTCCCAATAGTAGCATAGGACAATTAACAAATTATAGTAATCAAGAAAAGTAATAGAGTAATAACTTTAAGATTATATTTACCTTTCAAACTAAATTTAATTTCTCAAAATTAGTTGATTAACTTAACCAGAAGCAAAAGTATTGAGATTATCATTATGGCGAAAGGTTAATCAGGTTAAATTGTTTACTTTTTTCATTTCCAATTGCGTAGTGGAAAAAATCAACTATTATAACGGTAAATGTTTTACTTTTCATCAATTGTGAAAGTAAAACATGAAATTAAAGGTATCCCATTGACCGCATCAATCGCGACGGATAATCAAAGTTACGGTCAGTCTTGTATTTCCTTTAGATCATCATAATCGAAATCAAACTCGGTCAATCACTTTCCTTTTTCTTAATCATCATCATCATAATTAAGAAGAAGAAGAAGAAAAAGAAGAAAAAATTAACTAAATTGTAAACCGGATTAACGGTCAGTTTTTGAAAATCTATTTTCACTTGATTGAGATCAGTAAATTATTACAATCATCTTAATAAATATTTCGCGATTTCTAGTTTAATAGTAAATGTTAAAGATAAACTAACAATTTAATATTATCAAAAAAAGTTTCGAAAATAACAAAAAAAGTTAATCACTCATCTCAATTGATTTCAACTTGATAACAATCAACAATTAAGTTTTATCTTTATTTTGCTTTGTATTGATCCAAGTAAATACTTAATCATCGTAATGATTATAATCAGATTTACAATTTATCCCTTTTAGCTATTTTGATTACAATAATCAACGTTAATTAAAGTGCAACTAAATTGTTTGGTAAAAGAAACAACAACAACAAACTTATCATTTCCCTTTAATTGTATCAATATCGATGATTTGAACATTTTGAACATTTCGAGGCAATTGATTGCAATGCGATTTAAGTGTATAAATAAAATTATGAAAAGTATTATAAATGATTTAGATAATTATAATTCTAATTAGATGGACAAGAAGAAACAAAAAATCGTAATTAAAAGTTGATTCAATGTAAAAGAATTAAAAAAAAAAAGTTCGTAACGAATATTTTTATACACATATTATTAGTACTCGAATATTTATTTATACGTACCTTAGAACTGGTTTCGATGTGAAGGAGTGGCTAATCGACGATAAAGATAGAGATGAAGATGAAGATAAAGATAATTAATGTAAATGAAGAGGAAATGAATAGCAGTTCCGGTGAAGCCTTGAGCTGGACAAAAAGTCCCAAAAATAGGTGTTGTATTAAGAGAGTTTAATTAAAGACTGAAAGATGAACAAGTTTCAACCTGAGAGCGAATATGAATATATCATGAAAGAGAGAGAGAGAGAGAGAGATAATTTTATATATTTGAAGATGAAGAGGCTTCGAGGCTTTGATTCGGCTGGAATTATTTTCTATTAAAAAATATTGGGGTCGAAATGAGGAGTTGATGTTCCCTTCGGAGAGAGAGAGGAGGAGGGAATAAGGATTAAAATGGTGTTAAGAATGTTGTTCATTCTCTTGATATATTTTCCAGGAAGAGGAAGAAACTTGACTGAATATATTTTCCATCTTTAACGATAATCTTCATATGGATTATCACCAGAACTTTGGATCAATGAGATTAATAGATTACCGAATACCATGGATAATAACATGAGACGTTTGTTCATTTCAATTGTTAGTTTTTAATGACTTTGTCTTAAATAAAAAAGGGTAAAAAAGAATCAGAATTTGATAGAGAGAAAGAAAGAAAGAAAGAGAAAGAGAGAGAGAGAGAGAGAAAGTGAAGATGCAGGATGAAAATGAGAAGAGGAAAAATATAAAAAGAAAGACAATTAAAAGAAAACTATTTACATCAATTAGTTAATTGAAACTTTCGCTTGTGGGATCCTTTGAGTTAACCGTTTGCGAGAAGTTGATTCGGTTTGAGTTGAAGCTTTGGCGAGATTCAATTGGTCATCTGAATTACTTACAGTCGATGAATTTGATGAAGATGAAATTGAACATTTTGAAGCTGTTTTGGCAGAATAAGTTCTCTGGAAGAATGAATAAAACATGCAGAAGAAAAGGAAAGCATTGAATATCGAAAGGTAGATGAACATTTTGGGCCAAGCACAACCAGGGGATAACATGGAGTAGAAAGAGTGAATGATAACAGCGATAAATTGGATCATTTGCATTGAGGTGATATACTTTTTCCACCAAAGGTAAGGTGTTAGGGTGGGAAAGGTTGATAGAGCATAATAAGAATACATGACAGTGTGAACACCCGAATTGAGCCAAGGGAAGAAAGCGTTGTTTCCACCGGGAGTGAATTTAAGGCCAATCCAGCAGAATAGAGGCATACACGAGTGATGGAAAACATGGAGACCAGAAATTTGTCGATTCTTTTTACGTAGAACGAAGAAAAATGTATCACAAAAATCGATGGCTTTCGTTATATAAAAGTACCAACCCAATTCTATCTTGTAAAGGTCAAGTGGATCTCGAGATTTTCTATCGACAACTTGACATTTCCACGAGTCCAGGCCAAAATTGGTTATCCATGAGCCAGAATAAAATAACCAACCGTTAATCATAACCAGAGCAACATTATAAACAAGGATAAGGTTTCTCATGTCGAAAGGTTTACGATCTTTCATAAAATTTGGACCAACTTGTTTCACTAAGGCCAAATAGGCACAGATCAAGGCGATTGTTGACCATGGACCTCCATCCATAAAGGGGTAATTGGAGACTCTTGGGTCACCATATATGTTCCACACATCGTAATAATAGTACTTGACATTATCCAACAATTTATGTAACAAGGGTGAACTCGAAAGTCCAGGATCAGCGTAAGACATTGTGTTCCACTTTTGTGTTGATTCGAGAGCAACGATCACGATATTGGATGAAACTGAATTTATGTTGTGATATTGAAGAAAAGTTTAATATCGGTTTGAATTGAACACTCAAACAGTTAATTGCGGATGATTAAAGTTGAAACACTGATTCGATACACATTGATGATTAATGAATAACTGTCACAGTACAAGGAACTAGGAAAACCTAGGGAAGAGGGTGAACAAAAAAAAGCAACAATTGTGAACACACCAAGTAACTTTTAAATTGTTCACCGAAAATTTAATTATCTCCAAGAGTGAGAGAAAAAAATTGCTCGCCACTGAGCTTGGTGATGAAGCGATGGACTAATGTTAAAGTTGAGAATCAGATTCGTGGTGACTGGACAAAAAGGTGAGCAAGGATGATGGAGATGATGATGATGAAGAAGGTATCAAGAAAAAAGGAGGCTAGTGGGAGAGGAAGAGAGAGAGAGACAAGTTGAGAGAGATAGGAAGAGATGGAGAAAGGAGAATGGCTATTTTACTTTCGCTCAGCCCTGGAGCTTAAAATTATCTTTCTCATCCTCATCATCATCACCATTTTCCATCCTCTTCTTACCTGACAGCTTGAGGCTAAAAAATATCTTTCGTTACTTTACAATCCATTTTCTGGATTTACCTTAACTTCCTCACTTTCTTTTTTTCATCATCATCTTATTCATCTTCATCTTCATCTTCATCTTGTTGTTGTTGTTGATCAACAAATGAAAATTTGTTAATCTTGAGATTAATTGATCTGATTGATTGAGGAATCAGAATCACGAGATTCATGATGATGTTGATTTGGTGAACTTTTTTTTTCATTGGGCTTTTGTAGTAATTAGACAATTTTAATTGTTGCTAATTACTTGTCAATCATGAGCCATTGTTTATTTTCATGTCAATCAACTCATTTAATTGTCAGTTAATTTTCAAAGTTTTTCCATCCATTGAATTTTAAACTTTAACAGTTTATATATAACGAGAAGAAAAAAAAATCATAACAATTAATTAATCAAAGTGATCAAATTTACAATTTAAAAGGGTTAAAGATTATCATTATCACAATTACTACAGGATTAATTGTGTGTTAATCAAACAATTTGAAGAGAGAGAGAAAAAAAAACAAATTGTAATGATTAAACATGGAATACAATTTGTTTGTTAGTAACAATTAAGATGAACATTAATTACTTTTTGATATTAATCAACTTAATTTACTCTCTTAATGATAATCATCATTTAAATTAATGAAAACAAATTAAAGGAGTGTATTAATTATGCTTCATCTCTATTACTTGACAATCTATTTTTAAATTGTTCAATTGCGAATTAGATTAATTACAATTTGATTAACTATTACAATCATTTACATCGTTTCTTTTTTTTTGATTGTTAAAAATGATTAACTTGATGATGATCATGATGTAGAAATGATTATTTCTTAATGGTAACAATTATCTACATAAAATATTATATTAAAATGCCCAAATTGTTAATTAATTATCATCACTTTCCGAGAGTAAAACTGTTAATCATTTAACATTGTTGTCTCTCAATAAGATGATCAACTAATTGTCTAATATATATAAATCATAATTAACAATTCACTTTCAATTCAATAATCATGATGATTGATTGTTGACCCAAAGTGAATTGTACTTTTGTTCAATTGTTGAAATTAACTACAAATTAATTACTATTATATAAAATGATTATCATACTACACGAAAATTAAGACAATTAGCAAATCTTATTTCTTAATTATCTAATTTAATTCACTTATCTAAATCTAATATATGATTTAACTTGTAAGAGTTACGATTATTATTATTCAATGAAAATGATTGATAAAGTTATTAGTTGATTAATCGTCATCCTTATTGATTGTGTTGCTTTTAATGAGAAAGTTAAGATTAACAATTTAAAATTAATTACTAAGTTAATCTGTTAATTTGTGACCTTCATAGTTATATGGATGGATAATGGATTAACTAATTGTCATGTTTTTCTCAATCAAAGTTAATAGTAAGTTTTGTTTTTCTTTCTTTCAAGTTAATTGCTAATAATAAACTTTTTTTTTCTAATCAATTAATTCAGTTCTCAAGTCAGAACTTTGTATCTCTTAACGAGAAGAAAATAAAACAACAACAACAACAAACAAGTTCGAGTTCGAGTTTACAAGGCGAACAAGATTTAGAATTTAAATTGATAATATTATGATAGAGAAGGAGGAAAAAAGTGAATAACAAACAGCGAGAGATTTTCACTGATTTCTCTTTGACAATTAAATAGATTCAGTTAACAATTTTCTCTCAATCAAGTTAAGTGATCAACTAATCAACTCGCTTTTTTCTTTGGGTCATCAACGTAACAGTTTTATCAATATGGTTGTGAATCTAAGTGAAACTTTACCTAAAGATATTAACGGTAATTACACCAGATTCTTGGAGAGTTCAACTAATCAGGGTAAAAGATATTATCATTTCTCTGAATCACCAAGAAAATTCATCATGTCTCATGAATCTGAATCATCTAATGAACCATCAAAAGGAGTTAAAAATGTCCTCCTTGGTCCACCAAGTGAAGAGATGATAGTTAATTGTTCCAATGATTATCTAAATGATGGTGATATCAAAACACTGATTCTAAATAATAATAATAATAATGATAATCAAAGTGGTCAAATGGTTGGTCAAACTGTTTCTGTTTCTACTTGTTCGAGTTGTGGAATTGAATCAAAGCCAATCGTAAATGTTTCCAATTGTTCAGTGAAAATCAATGAAGCAAAATTAAAAGAATCACATATCGATAGTTCATCTTCTAGATCAACTCCAGTTCGAGAATATTATCAAAATTATTACTCGAATAATGGTAAAAAATCAATGAACGGTTCATTATCGAGCTCACCGAGAGTTGAAAAAAGTTTAAGATTGAAAGGTTGTCACATTTGTAAACAATCACCATCATCATCATTGTCATTATCATCATCACGAAAAAAGATTACAGATAATTGTCCTTATTCAATTGTTTTCGACTCATTCCATCCAGCTATTAATCGATATAATTTAAATTATCGATCAGGAAATGGTTCTAATCAATCGAGTGGATCAAAAGAGGAGACTCGAAGAGCGTTGATTATGATTTTCACCATTACATCAATTCTACTTTTTTTAATGATCACTTATTATGGAGCAATAATTTACTTGAGAATGAGAAACATCAATTCAAAATAAGACAATTGATTGTTTTTAATCACTTTTTAATCAACGATCAACGAAATCACAACAAAAGTCAAAACTTGCAAAAAGAAAACAACAAAACAACAAAACAAAACAAAACAATTTCCAAAATATAAAAATGATTCCTAATCAAGTTCTCAATTAACTCTAATTCTAATTAAAAAAACAAAATTTCATCAGAGAAACAGAAGAAAGAAAATTTAAATGTAAAAGGAAACTTTTTAATCAATAACCTTGATCAATAATAAAAGTTAATTGTTGAGAAAAATTTTCCATTTTCAATGAATAGAAAAACAAAATTAGCGCCAAAATTTGGAGACTTTTAATGTAACCATGGCAACGAACCTGTTTCGGTCAACTGAGTCTCTGTGAGCAACTTTGAGTTGTCTGTAGTTGTCAACGTGTATCAACAATACGATTATTATTGTTATTTTTTTTATACTTCAATATGATTAACAATCAAATTATAATCTGTATTATTTTATCAGTGATTAGCTTTTCAAATGGATTCTACATAGCAATAGATGCTCATGCAGAGGAATGTTTTTTTGAAAATGTCAAAATAGGAACCAAAATGGGCTTAATGTTTGAGGTGGTTGAAGGAGGATTTCTTGACATTGATGTTAAAATAACTGGTAAGTTAATTGTGTTGATTGTGTCTATTGGTTTTGATAGATTATTTTATGGGTTTGGTTTTAATTTTGTGTTTATTTGTTCTTCTCTCTCTCTCTCTCCTTCGTTTTGTTTGACCAGGTCCTGATAGTAAAGTGGTTCATCAAGAGGAAAGAGTCTCATCCGGTAAATATACGTTTGCTGCTCACATGGATGGTGTTTACAATTATTGTTTCAGTAACAGAATGTCAACCATGACTCCAAAAGCTGTAATGTTTTCACTAGACATTGGAGAGCCACCTAAACCTGAGGCTTCCGATAATGATACAAGTCACAATAAGCTGGAAGATATGATAAAAGAACTTTCATCTGCATTAATCAGTGTTAAACATGAACAGGAATACATGGCTGTTCGTGACAGGATTCACAGATCCATCAATGAATCAACAAACTCTAGAGTTGTTTTATGGGCCTTCTTTGAAGCCATCGCTCTTTCTGCTATGACATTGGGTCAAGTATTTTACCTCAAACGGTTCTTTGAGGTTAGAAGGGTTGTTTAAAATTTTTACAAAGAGATAAATGTTTTCATATATAACAAAAGAGGAAAATAAACAAAAAAGTTTAACATCAACAGTTAATTCTGATTGTAAACTGGAACAACATGACAGAGACAATTGATCAATTTGTGAAAATATCGAGTATTCAACTTAATCACACAATCATCGGGAAAATTTTTCCATTTTTTCTTGGTATTTTTTGTTCAAATTCACAATTTAACTGGGAAGAATTTAAAGTTTACCTTATATTTAAAGATTTTAACAAATGCAACTGAAAAGAGAATTTAATAAATTATAGATAAATTGGTCCGATGAGAATGAACAATTATCGATTATTTGATAAACTCATGAAAATCGTTAACAAATTTACAAACTGATTACATGGAAAATTTTACATTGATGATTAATAGATTTGGTGAGTATATTTGGTTTGGTTTTGATATTTTTTTTCATCTATCGAATTTGTTTTTTACAGCCAAATATCAAAATCTCACTTTCTAAAGGCACAGATTTTAATTGGAGACTTTGCCAGGTTCTTGGAATAGTAGAAAGTCTTGAGAAATTGTTCATTTAAATCATGAACATTCAGTCATCGTCATAACGGTATTTCCCATTCTTTTAGTTACAGTCTTACAGCCTTGTCTTGAGCCTGGATTCTGATTGAATTCCATTGAACTATGTTGGTGACTACCTGGACCGAAATGAGAACCGAAAAACGATTCACCAGAACCAAATCCATGAAACTCTGGACCGAAACCTTGACTAGCATGGTGACCGAATTGGTGAATATCCTCAGCATCTGGAGAAGCAAGAAAAATAGAAGAATTTAAAATGTTGTATTTTACGGAAAACTTAAAATGTAACAATGAAACAATTAACTTACCCCAAATGTTTTCGCTGAAAAGATCATCAAAATTGAATCCAGCGAATTGAAATCGATGATGTCTATGATCATGACCCTGATGATGGTGAGTAGGATCTTCATCACCTCCATGATTATGGTAATGTGTTTGATAATGAGATCCATGGAATCGGAATGCATCATCAAAATGTCTGAAGAATTCATTATAATCAAAATCTGCTCTAAAATGAGCACCACCACCAGTCCAACCTCCACCTTGACCTGAAGGCATTTCCGAGGAGAAAGCTGAATGTCCAAATTGATCATATTTCTTACGTTTATCAGGATCGGATAAAGTACCATAAGCCTCGGCTATTTCTCGAAATTTTTCCTCCGCAGTTTTGGACTTATTTTTATCTGGATGATATTTTAAGGCCAATTTCCGAAAGGCTCTTTTAATTTCTCGATCAGTGGCCGTTTTACTGACACCAAGGAGATCGTAAAAATCTTGTTTACATGATATGTAATCCATCTCGTTCATGATGAGAGTTAAAGCTGCAAAAGTAGCAGCAACAGATAAAGGTGTCGGATATTTCATGATGGAAATTGAGAGGTGACACAAACAAAATGAGATAAAATAAAAAAAACAACAACAAAACAAATGAAATAAAAAATGAGACGAAAAAGATTCAGTTAAAGTGACGTAGCTTAAATATTGGGTTGAGCCTATTCGTACAACTATGGATTCGATATTATCGGATATTCACATCAGATAATATCGAATCTTAATCAATTTTTTTCGGCTAATTGTTTGCTTTTTTGATTGTCTCAGGCCCTCCGGGCCTTCCTTCGACGACTTTTTCCCTTTTAATGAAGACCTAACCTAACCTAATTTAAACAAACACAATTAACTGAACAATTAAAGTTATTTCTATTTTCAGCCGAGATCTTAAGCCGAAAAAAATTTCCGCTTAATTTTGAGCCGAAAAACACTTGCACTGTTTTTAATAGACATATGTTTTTGTACGGATAGTTTTATTGTGTATCCAGGTTACAGGAGTTGTATAACAACTGAGTGCGCTTAATATCGCACCCACCATGAGGTCATTATACCACCTCATTTACAGGATAACATTTAAAATGTTTCATTTTTCCAGTTTCTTCAATTATCAGTACATGTTCAATAATTTCTACAATTGTTATAAGTTTCTTGTCAATTAGGATATGGACCAACTGTATTCATCCATAGAGCTACTTCATCGTTTTCATCATGGCGTCCAAGTTGGTATTTGTTTGGGTTTCATGTAAGAGGATCAATTGACCGATTTAAACCAATGAGATACCAAATTAAATAGAATCATTCAAATGCTAAGATTAAGGAAAAGAAAAGGAAAAAAATAAGAAAATTCATTAAAATTCATGATACAGAGAAGAGAGGAAATGAGAGAGAAGAGAAGAAAAGACGAAACAGAAGGGAAAGTGATAGAGAAGAGAGAAGTGGTTTTCAAGTTTTTGAATTTTCGTTTTTTAAGAGCGTTTTTGATTGTCGTTTTTGAATTTCGTTTTTTAATAGGCTTGTTTCACTTTATGTGTCACTTATAACTATCACAGGGAAAGAAAATTGATGCTACAACAGGGTAAAAACATGAAAATTTATGATGAACTTTCTCAGCGCCTAATCGCACACAGTTTATGTACGAATAGGCTCTTTCTAAATATTGACACTTCTTGAAAAAGAAAACTGAAATTCTGCTCCGATAGATGGTGACACCTGTTGGAATTTTTGTTCGAATTAAATTTAATTGTAACAATTAGTAAATTTCGTTGGATAAAGTGAAACTTCTCCACCTTTTACAAATTGTCTAATCGATTGACAATACTGTCAATTCAATTCTAATGATTTTTGGAATAAAATTGATAAAAGTTTTTCTTTTCTAATATGAAAACGATTTTTCAACTTTTTCGTGAAAAACTTTTCTCTTTGTTAAAATTGATTGAATATTCGTAAGTATTATTTCCTCTCGGCACCAAAACTTTGTCTCAATTATCACTCACACAAGAACGAGGGTCTAATATGAGAATAAACGAGAATATGACAGTTTGATCTCGGATTATGATTTAGATGATACTGTTCGTAACAACAGTCGATTTCTTCAGGAAGGGGAGCAATTTTTCCATAAACTAATAATGCGTTTCGCTAAAATGGTCCAAATCGAGCTTAAGAATCCATGTCCACCTTGTGATTGTGCTGATGAAACGACACGCGTTTCCTTTAGCCGTCCGTGGTAACATGGTGGTCAAAACTCACTACCGAGGCAACTTTCATCATTTTCAAGCGATATTAGAAACTCATAACTAAATTTATGGGCGAAATTGTGAAAAGAAAACTACAACATCAAAGTTTCGAGGAAAGTTATTAGTTGAAAGAGTAATAAATGAAATTAGCTGATTACAATCGAAAAGATTCAATTAATTGTGTTGGATACAATGATTCGGTTTATTTTTGTATTTATTAACTAACAGAAATTTGTGAGATTATTTCAAGTTTTAATTGAAGTATTTTGTTTGGTAATCAACCATTGATCAGTACAATAAACTCAAGTACCCACTTAATACTCGCTAGTGCCTCGCTCCTGATAAATTTTAATTTAATTGACTTTACCTGATTATACAATAATACAAATACAATTATTAATCAAATTGTTTTAAAATTAGCTCACATTTATAATCAAGATAATTGTCTTCACATTTTAAAGATTGAAATCCTAAAAATTTCTTTTTCTCTTTTTCTTCGTGTCTTACCTAACGAATGAAACTATTTTTTGCACCTAATCCTCACTTTCATCTCAACCCTTGGTACTTATTTACAATCATCGAATTGGAACTTTGGTCAATCAAATTAACCATCAGTCAATTGATATAATTTGTAAATTTTACTCATTATTTTTACCATTTTTAATAATTTGTAAACTCAAATATATTGTAATTTTCCTATCCTGAGTTACCTGGAACGGATTTCCTCCACTGGCGGAGATACAGCGGATACACTATAGCAAAAATGATTCAAGTGATTGCACCAAGGTGCTCAAAATAAAACTTGAGTAGGTACTGGAGTGTATGTAATTGTGATATTATCCTTGAAAAATTTTATCAATCAAACAAAATGTTAATGGAAACGAAACTTTTGATTTGGATTTGATAACTTTCTCGTTTAATTGGTGATCTTTTCAATTCAGATTTATTTGTTTGTTACAATCATACAGCATCATCACCAATTAACTCCTTTATTTTGGCTTCTAAGGCCTCAGCATTGGCACCCGTAAATAAGGTGAGTCTGGTTTCATCACGATAGAACCCAAATGCTGGCAATACTACAATGTCTTGATTTATAGCAGTTTCCTGACATTGGTCAACATTTACTTTAAGAAATACAGCACGAGTATACTTGTTACTCAATTGCTTAAAAACTGGGGACATCTTTAGACAAGGGTTACACCTAAAAACGAATAGAATTGAGAGAAGAAAAATAAATTCCATTAGAAAAGCAAAAACAAACGGAAAAAAATTCTCATTTTCTATCAATATTAGAAGGAGAAACAAACCAAGAGACGACAGAAAAACCGGAACAATCAACCAAATATTACACTGATTAACAACAACGATCACAATACCAACCAAGTAAAGAACAACTTGTTGTCATTAAAGTGATTAGAAATTAATTCTTCCCCACTATTGAACAATCAACAGATTAAATCAAAATGTGAAACATTGAGAATTATAATATAAACAAAAAACTTACCATGCACCCGTAAATTCAACCACCACTAAATTGATCCCGGCGTTTTCCAGTTTCAATTTGAAATCAGAATCATCATGAACAACAATAACAACCATTTCTGTTTAATCGTCAAAAGATTAAATTATGAAAAGTAACAAATTAATTAAAAGAAAAATTAAACAAAATTATCAACCGGATGGCGACAAAACAACAAATTGGTGTCTCCCCGATAAAATTGAATATATACTCTGAATATTATACAGAGTGTACCATCAATTCACGCATCTTAAACCTAACCCATGAACGTTAGTAACGTTACGTTACTTTCTTTACACCCTGTATATCGAAGAGTAGAGTGAGTGAGTGAGAGAGAGAGAGAGAGAGCGAATTGAATGGAAAATGTGTGTGGCATACAATAGGCACGAGAGACTCCACTTGTGATTTCTCTTTCTTTTTGATTCTCTTCTTTCTTTTTCTCTCTTTTTTCTCTTTCTTTTTGAGAAGAAATTATTTGTTAGATGATGAATTTTTTCATTATTCTTCAATAGAATATTTTTATTCAAATTAAACTTTGGTCAATTATAAACGAAAATGGTTCTAAATGTACCTTGAAGTTTTTCTTTAAGTTGCGGTAGGGAAACTACAATTGGTGGGAGTCATCTTGAGATAGAAAATCGGGTGAGTTATAAGTGATTGTTTCGTTAAAAGCACAGTTACAACGAAAATCATCTCGAATATGAAAATGAGATAAAATAAAAAATCAACAACAAAACAAATCAAATAAAAAATGAGACGAAAAAGATTCAGATTCAAAGATTGATAAATTGTAATTTAATCAATATTACCAGTGAATTTAAAATTTTATCTTATTATGCATCTTATTACACGGATCAATTTAATGCCAAAATTATGATAATTCAACAGTCAGTTCTTTGTCACCCTTAAAACAGCTATTAAAATTGATAAAAGTTTTTCTTTTCTAATATGAAAACGATTTTTCAACTTTTTCGTGAAAAACTTTTCTCTTTGTTAAAATTGATTGAATATTCGTAAGTATTATTTCCTCTCGGCACCAAAACTTTGTCTCAATTATCACTCACACAAGAACGAGGGTCTAATATGAGAATAAACGAGAATATGACAGTTTGATCTCGGATTATGATTTAGATGATACTGTTCGTAACAACAGTCGATTTCTTCAGGAAGGGGAGCAATTTTTCCATAAACTAATAATGCGTTTCGCTAAAATGGTCCAAATCGAGCTTAAGAATCCATGTCCACCTTGTGATTGTGCTGATGAAATGACACGCGTTTCTTTTAGCCGTCCGTGGTAACATGGTGGTCAAAACTCACTACCGAGGCAACTTTCATCATTTTCAAGCGATATTAAAAATTCATAACTAAATTTATGGGCGAAATTGTGAAGCGAAAACTACAACATCAAAGTTTCGAGGAAAGTTATTAGTTGAAAGAGTAATAAATGAAATTAGCAGATTACAATCGATTGATTAGGATTAGAATCGAAAAGATTCAATTAATTGTGTTGGATACAATGATTCGGTTTATTTTTGTATTTATTAACTAACAGAAATTTGTGAGATTATTTCAAGTTTTAATTGAAGTATTTTGTTTGGTAATCAACCATTGATCAGTACAATATGTTATTGTAATATTATCCTTGAAAATTTTTATCAATCAAATAAAATGTTAATGGAAACAAAACTTTTGGTTTGGATTTGATAACTTTCTCGTTTAATTGGTGATCTTTTCAATTCAGATTTATTTGTTTGTTACAATTTAATCTAAGAATATGGAAGATCACTTTTTCGCAATTTGTGTAATGGTCCATTTTTGAATTAGACTTTCAATGACTTTCGCCTATTTTACCGGCAACTCGTTTTAAATCACTCAAATTGGTTGTATTTAATGGAGATCCAATGATTCCCAAATGATCAATTCTGGTTGTTTCAGTTCCTCCTTGATTGTTTTTCACAAAGATCTAGAGAGAGCGAGAGAGAAATAATTAAAATTAGAGAAAATGAGAATAGTAATCAAAAGAGCAAGGGAACAATTAAAAAGTTAACTAACCAATAAACTACGAATGTTTTGAAATTTGACATATTTAAGTGGTATCAATGCTCCTTCAGTTAAATCTTTTGGAGTACATTCAATTGTTTGAACTGCTTCCATTGATTCAGCTTGATCAAAATCTAATGTTCGTGGTTGATTTATGAACAGTTTAAGAAATTTAGGCCCTTTGTCAGCAGGAGCTGTGATAATTAAGGAATGAAGTTTAACATTTTGAGTGAAAGCTAAATTAATGATCAACTGTTCATCAACATCAGATTCAAGATATGAGGTTGCAGAGGTCAAACAACCAGCAAGAGTATGATCATCACTCTCATTAAGACATTCACAATCTTGTTTAGCCAACATAGAATTTAGATTAATGTGACCAGGAACCAAACTGGAACTACTACCAGCATCACCACCCTCATCATCATCACCAATTAACTCCTTTATTTTGGCTTCTAAGGCCCCAGCATTGGCACCCTGAATGGCGGCGAGTTTAACTTTATTACGATAGAATATAAATGTTGGCATTGCATTAACTCCTTGAGAATGAGCACTTTCTTGACATTGGTCAACATCTACTTTAAGAAATACAGCACGAGTATACTTGTTACTCAATTGCTCAAAAACTGGGGCAATAATTTGACAAGGGCCACACCTAAAAACGAATAGAATTGAGAGAAGAAAAAATAAATTCCATTAGAAAAGCCAAAACAAACGGAAAAAAATTCTCATTTGCTATCAATACTAGAAGGAGAAACAAACCAAGAGACAACAGAAAAACCGAAACAATCAACCAAATGTTACACTGATTAACAACAAAGATCACAATACCAACCAAGTAAAGAACAACTTGTTGCCATTAAAATGATTAGAAATTAATTCTTCCCCACTATTGAACAATCAACAGATTAAATCAAAAAGTAGTGAAAAAAAACATTGAAAACATTGAGAATTATGAACAAAAAACTTACCATGAAGCAGTAAAATCAACCACCGCTAAATTGTTCACGGCATTTGCCAGTTCCAATTGGAACCGAGAATCATCAGGAACAACAATAACAACCATTTCTGTTTAATCGTCAAAAGATTAAATTATGAAAAGTAACAAATTAATTAAAAGAAAAATTAAACAAAATAATCAACCGGATGGCGACAAAACAACAAATGCAATTAAGAAAATCGGTTAACAGCGACACCTGTTGACCGATTCGAGAAGAAATTATTACGCAATAGAAAGAAACTGTTACGAATTCAAAATTTAAAATTAACTGTTTTGAGAGAGAGTTATGATTGTTGTTTATTTTCTTCTTTTTTTAAAGAAAGAGAGAGAAAGGGAAATACATTGTTTGCTTTTAGGATCATTTAGATTGTTGATGATTATGGATGAACAATTTATCAAAAATGGACCGTTACTTGGCTTTAAGGTGGAGAGAGTCAAAAATAAAATTTAACAAGTTGTAAGAGAGAGAGAGAGAGAGTTTGATTGTTATTTTCATCGGGAAATGAGATTAAGCAATTGACGGCAGTTGTAGTTCAATTCTTTCAACGCATAATCGGGAGGAATCGGTGTATTTAACTGGTAAAGTCCACCTCTGACACTGACCAATATGTAATTCATTTTTCGAGCCATTTCACTTTGACATAATGTTTGACGATTATTATCGCACTTCAACAGGTGAGCATTGAATTCGTCCAGATTGACATCCGATTGACTGACCAAAGCTTGAGAGTAAATGTCGAAAACATTAGCTCCATTAAAGTTCCAGTTGGCAATTTTTTCCCGATGCTCCTTTAATTGGTCAATAATTTGACGGAGAGAATCCAAATTTGAATAGATCACTAATTCGGGGAATATTTTCTCAACAAATGCATCATGAGCTTTAGACCATTCTTGACCTTCAAGTAAACTGTGAGCATATTTATCATGGTCGAAAATGTTTTTATAATAAATTGCTTTCAATCGGGCAAGCAAAGCTTTTGGAATGGAGAGTGATGATGATAAATGGGTGTCATCTTGAGGTCGAAAATTGGGTGAGCTATGAGTGATTGCTTCGTCAACTGCATAGTTACGAAGAAAATCATCTCGAATATGACAGGCAACAAAACAGGCTAAAAGTACATCTTTCGAAATCAATTGAGACCAAACAATCAGGTGAAGAAGATCACTTCGAACATCATTCTTGATAACTTGATAACTTTGAAGAGATTGATGAAGAAACCAACCTTCAAGGTGGTTGGAAGCTGCGTCGATTGCTTCAAAGGGCGAATGTCGAGCAAGTAAATGATATTCGATGTCATTGGTTTTAACCGTTAGATTGCTGATACACTCTTGCAATCCTTCTTGGAGAGAGGAAAAAATCAACATGAGACATAATTGTTGAGTCCAAGTTGCACCTTCAAGAACGTCAATCTCATCACCAGTACTTGTAATCCAACTTACGCCGCCAGAGAGGATAACATAAATCTTTAGAAGTGTTTTGTCGATAAAAGCATCGGCACCACTTTTCCGCCAACTTTCTAATTGTTTGATTGTACTTGTTCTTACATTCAGATTATTTCCGGAACAAAGTAATATGGCAATTTTAGGCATTCGACCAGTTAAAGCTTCATCAATAGCTCCTTTTAAATCATTACAACAAAGATGATGAATAATTCGTGCTGGTACCTCTTTGGGCTTCTTTTGGGTTGCATTTCTTTCTGCTAACCAATCGATTACTCGATTAATTCTCTCGTGTTGTTGACCGTACATTGTTGTCTCTGTTAAATCTCCAAAAAATGCTTCGACAAATTTTTCTAAATAATCAACATTATACTTGTTGTGTACCATTGGTTTCATCTCGATGAATGGAGGTTCATTTTCTTGACTTGTGATTATTGAATTTTCCTTCAACTGAGTATCAAATCGTGAATATTGATCGGAAATATCAGAGATGAGATCAAGATTATAGAGGAGGACATTTTTACCATTGATCAAGGTAAAATTTGAAGAACCATTAAAGAATCTAACTTTTGGTGACATTGCATGGCAAACAGAATTAATTTCAGCATTAAGCTTGTTTTCAGAGGAAAAAGAATCAGGTTCCAAGATTAAGTCTCTTTTTTTAACAAAACGCATCTTGGGTACATAACTTGTAGGAGTTTCCATAATGGGTTTGAAAGATTTCTTCTCATCCGCTGTGTTAGGAGTTCTTTTAGGCCGTTTGAAATTAGATTCTAAAATTTGATCACCATCATCTTCCTCACTGAATAGAGCAAATCTCATTGAATCATAATAACTTGTGAACATTTCTGGCACCTTTTCAACTGAAACATCCTTGAAATCAGTTGATAGCCCACCGGCTCCGGTTGAATGGCTTAAATGACTTAAGTTAAATCCACTCTTATCGTGAATTTGAGTTCGATCCATGAAACTTTTACTGGGCTGCATTTCTGGCAATTCAAATGTAGCTACTTCTTTTGTCTGAGTAGTTTGCGATGGCTTATTAAGGACAAGTCGTCCAACAGGCGGTTGAGGAGCAGCGATAGGTGGAGGTGGAGGTAAGGGTTGATCTTTTTTGTCAGGTATGTCATCGTCATCTTCAATTAAGCCATATTTGGAGAAATGTTTAACACAGAATACCCATGATCCCGATTCTGGTCTGTATTCCTTGAAAGTGGCTCCTAATTTGTTAGTCGCAGCTTCGATTTTCTCAGCATATCTCATGGTTCGCAATCTATCAATATCTTTAATTATCTCATGTGTCGTCTTATCAACAGGCCAAACTTGATGCAAAGTGATCTGAGCCGCTTTGTTCAAACCTTTACCCACCTCGGGTTTATGATCATCATCAGGGTAAACAATCACTTCTTTCCGACGGATATGAACAATCTCATCGATATCCAATCCTGTTACATCAACTCCTCCTTCCCAATGAATTTCACCATAACCTTCACGTCCAATAGTTAAACTTGGTACTTTACAGGTATCATTTGATTCATTGTAATATCTGTCCAAATCTTTGTATGCTGGTTTAGTGTAATAATCTAATTTACTCAATTTAAATCGACAATTAAGTGGTGGTGGTGGAGTTGATGGACAAATGTAACTATTATCACCACTGGAATCAGCGACATTAAGTAAACTGGAACTGTTTACATTGTCGCCCATTATTGAGGTTTCACCAAAGGTAACTGAATTTCGGGTAATTGTTGTTGTTAGTGATGATGGTGATGTTTGGTGAATTGGACTATTTGTATTTGTATTGATTTGATTGTTAATTGGATTCGATGGTGTTGTAAAAAGCTCAGAGACTGTATTATCGGCGACATTTTCTTTTGATTTATCATTAACACTTCTTTGTGTCATTGAAAGTGAAGGTGAATCGGTGATCGATGCATTTAGAGTTGAATCTTTGGGTTTAAGTACCAATCGTTTAATGTTACGTCGAGGGGCAAAAATGTCAATTGCTGATTTGGGTTCATCTTCTTGTTTATCATCATCTAAACCATCAAATAAAAATGATGGATTCACTTGGGGAGTGCCAACATTTCGTGGTACTTTTGGTGAACTTGATGATTTTTGACTAACTTTATATTGATATAATGTTTTTGAATCGGTCGAGAATTTCAAAGGCAAAGACTGATTCACGGCAGATAAATTCTGGAATGGTGAATCACCATAAGGCATATTTTGCAATCGATTCATCAACAATTCTGATGTAGGCATTGTTTGTGATAAACTTTGCTGTAGAGACATTGGTGGTACCTGAGCTTGTCCAGGTTGTAATGGATTCGAAAACATTGAACTCCCGTGTTTTGGGCACCAAAGAAATTGGGTGTAGTACCGGTATTGAAAACGTTACCAGTATTAAAATTGGTCATTGAAGGATTTGGCGCATTGAACAATGAAGTTGTACCCGTATTACTGGCAAAGTTGAAGAGATTAGATGACTTATTCAAGGCGTTGGTATTTGCTGAAGAAACTGTGGTTCCAAGATTTGAAGAGAAAAGTGAGGTTGTTGATGTCGAAGGATTTGCGTTGAAAGAGAAAGTGTTAGGAGTAGCACCAAACGGTTGGACAGTTGAACCGAAAGTAGATGTTCCTGAAGTAGGAAGACCAAACCCGGTTTTCGGTGCTGTCATTGTGTTGCTACCAAATAGTGAGGGAGTTGTTGTTGTGGTGGCTCCAAATAATGATTTGGGTTGAGTGTTTGTCGCTGGAGGTTGAAAAAAGTTGGTATTTGGTGTGAATGAAGAGGTTGCATTGAATAAAGATCCTCCTGAAGTAACGGTCACTGGTTGTTGGGCAACAGGACCAAAGGAAAAGGTTGTTGTGGTCGCTGGTGTACCAAAAGCGGGTTTAGCTGGTTGAGCTCCAAATGTAGAGGTGTTAAAGAGAGATGAAGAAGAGCCAAATGAAGGTTTACCAAAGATTGAATTAGTACTTGAACTAAATGGAGTTGTAGCCGCTGCTGCTTGTTGTTGTTGTTGTTGCTGCTGTTGCTGTTGTTGTTGTGCTTGTTGTTGAGCACCAAACAAAGACTCACTTGTAGCTTGTGGTTGACCAAACATTGTGGTTCCTTGAGGTTGACCACCTTTACGATTAGCTTGATAATCTTCCCATCGAAGCTCTTCCATTGATTTTGTTTCATATTCTTTCATTGCTGTGATACATTGATGGCGAGTGCTAATTGTTGTGTTTATGTTATTCTTCAACATTGTATCACTACCAATCAATGGACTGAATTTAACGGTTGTACCAACAGCTTGCATGGTATTTGTTCCAGTAGCTGCACTGAATGGAGTGGTATTTGAGAAGGAACTTTGTCCAAACAGTGATTGTGTACTAGTTTGGGCAGTATTTGTACCACCAAATAAAGATGTTGATGTAGCTCCTCCGAAAGGTGATGTAGCTACAAGAGGTAAATATGTAAATAAAGAAGAGAATAAAGAATTAATATACATTGATGATAATAATTCGAAATGTGATGAGAGAGAGAGAGAGAGAGAGAGAGAGATGAAATTTCTATAAATATTTACCTGTAGTTGTTACTCCAAATGGTGTTGTTTGGGTTGTTGGTTGAGTACCAAAGAAAGGAGTAGTTGATGTTTGTGCTCCAAATAGTCCAGAGCTTGTTGAAGGTCCAACGCCAAATCCAGTGGTTTGAGCAGGTCGATTAGCTGTAAATGCAGCGGGTTGACCAAAAGTGGACTGCATCCTATTGGGACTTGCACCAAATCCAAATGATGTTTGAGATGTTGATGGTGCATTAAATGGGGCTGTGGTTGAGGTTTGAGGTGTTCCAAACATGATGGAAGACAATTAATTCAACCAAACAAAGATTAATATAAATCTAGAAAATATAGAAACAGAAACAGTAAAATTATAAAAACGCAAAATTGAAAATTTTAAAGCATGGAAACATGAGAACTCATTTCCCTTAATATATTACGCATGCTACAATTAAACTATGACACAATTACAATTAAACAGCTTCAACCATTAACCATATTAATATCAACAAATCCTCCCCATTTCATCATGATCATAATATATTCCAACAACCAATACAATAATTAATAAATTGTAAAAAAAAGCTCAATCCAATGAAGTCGCAATATCTCAACAAGTCAAGAATCAACAAACCGTTTCAATGTAACTTGGAATAGCCGGTAAATTGATAAGGTCAAGTTATTATACTTACAGTTATATCTACAAAAGCGTCCAACTAATCAACTGATTCTACTTTGAGAACAATCAAATAAAAAACAATTAAGAAAACTAATTAAACCAATTAGATAAACAAAGAAGACAAAAATGGAAACCGAATTTTTAAAAACATCTATTCTCTTATTAGTAGAATTTTCTCCCAGATGGAAGCACTTTTGATTCCGCGTTTTCTCCAAGCCGATTATTAGACTTTCTCTCGGCGGCTTAGAGTAATTTCTTAATTATTACAATCAATTGACGAAAACTTTTACTTTTTCCATTAATTAAGACTAATATGATAATTTAATTTTCCACCAACACATAAGACAATTAAGTAAACAATAAATTTTCAAAGTGATTCTCAATTGAAACTGAAATTCAAAAAAAAAAGTAATAATAAAAATTTGAATGAGATGATGAATTTTTAATACAATTAACCATCAATCAAACTAATCAATTAACAAATCGTGATTAATGACTACAGATTATTGTCAAATTATAACAATACAATTACATACAATCTGATATGTCAACCACGATTTAAATTGTTCACAATAATATTAATTGAATACGAAACCATTAAAGGTAAAACAAAATCACAATCAAAATAAATTAAATAAAGTTAATTAACTAATATAATGATTGTAAATTAAGTATGAATGATTAAAGGCCATTATCAATAAACAATAATCAATATACAAATTGAAAATTAAGACAATTGTTGTTGATAATAATGATTAATTGTCTCCAAAGATAGTCACAAACTTGAAGCTGTCTTAATCATGATGTATAACAATTTACAACAATTAACTACTTCAGCTATTTAAAAGTGATTTAAATGATCAAATCCCACGTTAATATTAACAAATTAATGATATTTAATTCAGTGATTAAATATATATAATTCAAATTGGAAACGGGTTTTAATCATCGCTATTTAAACAATGGATAACAATTTATTTACGTGATTAAGTTAACACTTAATAGTTATACAATTAAATTTGATCTGAAATCAAGTTAATTGAAAGGCGTTGTGTTTGTATTATTAACTAACAATCTAAATAATTTAATATTAATTCAACTCTTCTGACAAAATCTATTAACACTTACAATTAATCTTAAAACTCAAGATGATTTAATTGACCAATTTATGAAGAATCAGAAAATTAATACAATCAAATTAATCAATAATCAAAATCTATTTATGAATTTTTCCTTACAATTCAACTGAATCATGATAAAAGATTCATTTCAATTAACTAATCAACTTGATGAATTAACTTTTTCTTTCCCGAAATTTAAATTGTCATTCAAATTAGTCAATTCCATCAACATAATCAAATCTAATCATCATCATCTTCATAATAATAATAAGTTAATTATCACATTTCTTTAAGTAATAACAATTTAATTGTAATGAAAAAAAAAGGATGAACAGTGAAAAGATTAATAAATTGTCGCATACAATTAACTATTTTTCCATCATTGTTACCGTAACAATTAAGTTAATCCAGTTTTCTTTTTCTTGAGAAATTATTACATTCTCATAATCAGCAACTAATTAACTCTTTACTCAATCTAGAACAAAACTATCACATTAATTACTTAATTTACTAATAGTAAATTCAACTAATTAATTCATTCATTAAATTGAAAGTAAAATCAAACAAAATAATAAATTGGTCAATCTTAATGATGAATTAACTAATTAATATAACAGCAATTGAAACAATTTGATGATTAAATTGTGAGTGGGGTAGCAAAAGCTTCCTGGTAATTGTCAATTACAATTTAGTAATTGTTATCAGACTAAAGTAGACATCATATATTACAATTTAAGATATATAATATAAATACAATTGAAAATGTCAAGAATTGATTAAAGTTAAATAATATGAATTTATATTTATATTGATTGTGAATTAAAGTTTCCAAATCAAATTGTTACCATTTCTGACAGATTGAATTAAATTGATTACTATCGATATGATTTCCGTAGCAAATCCTTAACTAAATCAATTTTTCTCATTCTAATTAACATTATTATAAATGTTACATCTTAATCTCTCAATCAACCTACAATGATTAATCCTTAATCATATGATTAATGATAAAACTTTTTGTTTAATCATTTCAAGTATAACCCTGATAGGTTTTGATAACTTCTTCCTGGTAATTTACTTATATTTAGATATAAATTTTCATTGTAATCATGATTAAAGATGATTATATAACCAGCATATTAATCAACCATTATTATTATTATTATAATATAAAAAAAATATCATTATGTTAATTGTGAAGATACAATTTAATTTGAATGTAATATTATGTTGGTCAGTTGGACAATTATCATTCTGATGATGACCAGTTAGCAAAAACATTCAGCAGCAAACATTATTAATTGTAGACAATTTAGTTGATTACAATTAGGATGAAGCATTATGTTACAATTGATTATTTCAATTAATTTTAAGAAAATCATATACAATTAGATTGATCGGAAAGTGGCCTGTTCGAACGGCGATTCTCTGGACCAACTCGAGTTATCAAAAACTGACCGAACTCATTGATAACCTTAACAATATATTTCCAATAAGAAAAAGTAAATTAGATTAACAATTTAATCGTAACTGGTTATTGATTAGATTATTTTAACTTTACCACTGATTGTTATTGTAAAATATGCATTAACTAACAATCAATTTTGATCATTGAATAAACTGTAGCGTGTTTAATTAAGTGATAAATTTTCAATTCTATTCCTTTCACCATCAAGCAATGTCAACAATCAAAATAGTAAAATGTTAACAATAGTCAATCAAATATTATATATAAAGATTATCATAATTAATCAAGATTAACATTTCTGGTTGACAGATAATTAATATTATTATTATTATCAACGATTCGTTGCATCATATTAATCAATCAATAGATTAACTTGACAAATCTTTTAATTGTTTATCTGTTGATAAGTGATTAAATCAAGGTGTAGATTAAGATAATATCACTTTTTTTTTTGTTGATATTTACACAAATCAATTGGCAATTTAATTGACAAGGTCAATCTTTTAATTTGTTCATCTTTCATTGTCAATTGTCCAGTTATCAACTGATGATAATCATCATCACTTTTTGGTCAACAATAAGAGCCAATTAATAAATGATTATCATGAGTGTTTGTTGATTTATTGAGATACTAATGGTCATCGATGGTCAATTTATTGATAATTGGTTTGTTTCTCTATCATCATCTTATTTCCTCTCACAATTTAATGATGATGATGCTGATGATGTGCCTCATTGAATTGATTACAATGATTAATCTTTAATTTATGTTGGTTACCAGTTGATGTTTTCTTTTTCAACAGTTTCTCTCTTCACAGTGAATGGTCAGTGACTGGTCAAGAAAAAGGTATTTTTAAATCAACAACAATAAACATGTTCGAGAGTATCAACAAAGTTTAAAAGGAAACATGAATTTAAAGAAGAAAAGAAATTGAAAGAAACAAGATGAGGGAGGTAAAGAAGATGATGAGGATGATGATGAAGAAGAGAAGAAGAAGAAGAAGATGAAGATGAAATTAAGTTTCAGGTAGAAAAAGAATTGGTAACAATTATCACGAACTTTCTCTTCATCAATCGCACGATTAACTTAATTATGTCCAACTCTTTTATTCTTCCTCTTCCTCATATGTCCATTTGACTCTTCTTCATCTTCATCTTCATCATTATCAAATTCTCACTTTAAACATCATGTAATAATCTTCATCTTTTAATTAGCTCACCATTCGTATTATTATCTAATCCAATGATCACCACGTTCTATGGTTCTATTGTTTAATAATCTTCTTCAATACTGAATAATAACAATAATTTCCCTCAACATCATGATCTTGTAAACATTTGATTAGGAACAACAATCTATTACTAAGTTAATCTTTTATCAAGTATTAAGATGAAAATGATTAATGGATTAATTTATGATAAATGAAATAATAATCATGATAATTTGTTCAATTGAAATAACTGTTAACTGAAAAGTGAAAAATGAAAGAAGCAGAAAAATGTTTATAATAATTTTATAATACGAAATAGAAAGTGAGTTTAAAATTCAAGATTATGATGAGATTCAGATTGAATTTGACCCTTTCATTATGATGAAGAGATGGTGAGATACCGTTAGATTGAAATTTATGAATGGATGAGAGAGAGAGAGAAGGATGAAAATAAAAGGTAGACAGAAGCCTCAAGTTAAAAGGGAAATTATTGTTTGAACAGAACTTTTTAAGAACCTGTCTCGAAATAGGCCGATAATATGATGTATCTTGAGAGAGAAAGAGAGAGCGAGGAGAGGAAGCACGGAAAGGTAGAAAAGGATGATGATGAAGATGATGAAGATGAAGATGAAGATAATGAGGAGGCGTTGATTATATAAGAAGAATATGTAACTGTATTTGATTAAGAAAATCGTACGGGCCACCCCTGCCTCTCTCTTCTGAGTATAACATGTTATTCTGTATCGATTCCCATCTAGATTGTACATTCGATGAGCGAAACTTGTGACGCACAGAGTAATAGAATATAAAGATAACCGGTCATCTTATTCGAGTTTCCGTCATATCGAAATCAATTCACATTCTGTTAACTTGAACTGTTCATTTGGAATCAGTTTCTTCTACCTGCAGGTTCAGGTAAAGTGTTTTTCTACTCTTATTATAACAACGGAAAAGAAAAAGTTTCCAAGTGATTCTGTGAATGTGAATTAATCATCATCTTCAATTAAATTGATTATACTTATTAAAGTTCTGTTCTATTGATCTCAACAACAACAACAACAAACAAATTGTTCTTTTCTTTTTCATTTTTTTTTTACCAACGGGAAACAATTCTTCAATCATGAGTGTCACCAATGCCGCTCGAACGATGAGCATCTTTTTTCTTACTTTGGTGCTTCTTCAATTGTGCCTTGTAACTTTCTACGGGAACGAAGTTGACGCTGGTAAGAAGAAGAAACTTAAAAAACTTGCAGCGTTATTATTACTTATGAAATCATCGAAAAAACCTAAATTCGGAATTTTACCAATCCCATTACCGATTCCAATTCCGTAAGTAGTTGATGATGAATCATGGTGATCGTTGAAAAAGAAAATTATTCCTCTTGGATAATCATTAATTTCTTTATTGTTTTGATCTATTTTTGTTCAGTGTCGTTATCGATTTGATGAAGAAAGGAGGTAAAGGTATGATGGGCGGAATGATGAGCCACATGATGGGCATGATGGGAGGCCATGGTGGCGGCGGTGGTGGTGGAGGCCACGGTATGGGAATGGGTATGGGAATGGGAATGTCCATGGGAGGTCATGGTGGCGGCGGTGGCGGCTACGGTGGAGGAATGAGTATGGGAGGTGGTGGTGGCGGTAGCTACGGTGGGGGAATGAGTATGGGTGGCGGTGGAATGTCTGGTTGGGGTGGAGGTATGGATATGATGGACATGATGGACATGGGTGGTTATGGAGATATGAATATGATGTCCATGGATGATGGTGGATGGGGAGGTATGATGGGCTCCATGGGTGGTGGAGATTATGGTGGATCTGGTGGAGGAGGAAATGATTATGGTGGTGCCTCCGGTGGTGGAAATGACTATGGTGGCTCTTCAGGAGGATACGGAGGCTCATCAGGTGGATATGGAGGTTCATCAGGTGATAGTGGCTACGGTGGAGGTAACTCTGCAGGTAATTATGGTGGTGGTAATTCTGGATCAAATTACGGAGGTAACGGTAATTCAGGCGGCGGTGGTGGTGGTGGTTACGGAGGTGACTCTGGTAACAATCACGCTGGTGGAACCGGTGGAGGATATGGAGGTGGAAATGATGGAGGATGGGGAATGGGAAATATGGCCATGGGTAAGTAATACCGATTTCGAATCCAATTTAATTTCATCTTCTATGCTTATTAATCAACCTTTTTTGTTAATTTACTTTCTAATTTTACTTAGGAGGCGGAGGATCAGGCGGCTATGGTGGCGGAAGAGATTGAATCAGTCCGCTGAATTTTTCTTATTAAAACTCATCATTTTCATTGAGCCATTTTTTTATTCATTGTGATTTCATAAATTTCATCTAATTTTATCAATTGTTTTCTGTGTACAATTAATTATTTTGATCCAAAATAAAATCAAATTTGTATCATATCAATTTAACTTGTTTTCTTTATTCCCAACAATTAGTTAATCATTTTATAGTTGAAAGTTTCAGTATCAATGATTAAACAAATTTGCACGAAAGTTTTGTTGTTTCAATGAAATTGCAATTGATTAATTTGAATGAAATGATTTTTCAATGATAATTAATTTGACTTTTCATTTAATTGAATTAATAAGAAATTGTTTGTTTGTTATAATTATAAGGAAACAATAATATTACATAATTTGGATGATTCAATTGAATCAGAGGTTTTGATTTGATTGTTAAAATCTAAATCAATGAATTAAGTGGTCGTTTGCATGTTGATGAATAGAGAGATTGAATGAAAATCAGGATTAAATTGTTGATAATGACGAGAATTAAATTATTCGTGATGATTGTGATGATCTTTTTGATTAAATTTTCCGTTTGACAATTAGTCGAAATCAGAAAATAACTAATGTAACAAAACCAATGAAATGATATAAATTTTTCATGTTCAATTTAGATTTTGATTGTTAATCAAAATTTAAATCATATTCACAAGATAATGATGATTACTGTTGATGATATTATTTCATTGTTTAGTTAAATATAGACACACTTATTCAATTTACAATAATTTGATTGATTAAATAGGAGAAAATAATAATTAATGATAATAAAACAATAATAATACAAGACTAAGATACAATTTTCGTGTAACATAATTGTAGTTGCGTTATTGTGTCGACGTGCGATCGCATCTCGATAATATTATTATTGGTTCGAAAAGATCACATGTTAACGTCAATACGAATAACTATTATTTAGACTGTTAATTTGAGGAAATTAAATCGAGTCGAATGATTAATGTACACCAATTGCTTCATCTTGAACCTTAATGAGAGACCTCAAGTGGATTCGAGATAATGTTAACATTAACTAAAGTTCAATCGATCTATTTTTCTGTCGATTCTGTGAACAATTAAACATTTTCAAGTAGATATTTGGAGAAATGTTTAACACAGAATACCCATGATCCCGATTCAGGTCTGTATTCTTTGAAAGTGGCTCCTAATTTGTTAGTCGCAGCTTCAATTTTCTCAGCATATCTCATGGTTCGCAATCTATCAATATCTTTAATTATCTCATGTGTCGTCTTATCAACAGGCCAAACTTGATGCAAAGTGATCTGAGCCGCTTTGTTCAAACCTTTACCCACCTCAGGTTTATGATCATCATCAGGGTAAACAATCACTTCTTTCCGACGGATATGAACAATCTCATCGATATCCAATCCTGTTACATCAACTCCTCCTTCCCAATGAATTTCACCATAACCTTCACGTCCAATAGTTAAACTTGGTACTTTACAGGTATCATTTGATTCATTGTAATATCTGTCCAAATCTTTGTATGCTGGTTTAGTGTAATAATCTAATTTACTCAATTTAAATCGACAATTAAGTGGTGGTGGTGGAGTTGATGGACAAATGTAACTATTATCACCACTGGAATCAGCGACATTAAGTAAACTGGAACTGTTTACATTGTCGCCCATTATTGAGGTTTCACCAAAGGTAACTGAATTTCGGGTAATTGTTGTTGTTAGTGATGATGGTGATGTTTGGTGAATTGGACTATTTGTATTTGTATTGATTTGATTGTTAATTGGATTCGATGGTGTTGTAAAAGCTCAGAGACTGTATTATCGGCGACATTTTCTTTTGATTTATCATTAACACTTCTTTGTGTCATTGAAAGTGAAGGTGAATCGGTGATCGATGCATTTAGAGTTGAATCTTTGGGTTTAAGTACCAATCGTTTAATGTTACGTCGAGGGGCAAAAATGTCAATTGCTGATTTGGGTTCATCTTCTTGTTTATCATCATCTAAACCATCAAATAAAAACGATGGATTCACTTGGGGAGTACCAACATTTCGTGGTACTTTTGGTGAACTTGCTGTTCGTAGACTGACCTTATATTGATACAATGTTTTAGAGTCAGTTGAGAATTTGATTGGATGTGATTGCGCTGCATTTAATAGTGATTGTGATACTGGAGATTCACCATAAGGCATATGCTGTAATCGACTCAGAAGAAGCTCTGAAGTTGGCATATTCTGGGATAAACTTTGTTGCAATGACATCGGTGGTACTTGGGTTTGTCCAAGTTGAAGAGGATTAGTGAACAAAGATGAAGTCGGATTTGATGTGTTGAAGAAATTAGAGCTTCCTGTGTTGAAAACATTTCCTGTATTGAAATTGGTCATCGTAGGATTTGATGTGTTAAATGTTGGTGCAGTTATCGGGTTACTGAAGTTGAAGAGATTTGTAGGTTTGTTCATTGTATTGGTATTTGCAAGAGAAGTGGATAAATTAGTCGAGAAGAGAGATGAAGTTGTAGTTGATGGAGTTGAATTGAACATAAAAGTGTTCGCCCCGAACGGACCAGTTGTTTGTCCAAATGTTTGTCCTCCGCCGGTTGTTAGTCCAAAGCCTGTTTTTGGTGCAGTAGCGGTGTTAGTAGCACCGAATAGGGAAGGAGTTGGTGTTGTCATTGTGTTACTACCAAATAGTGAGGGAGTTGTTGTTGTGGTGGCTCCAAATAATGATTTGGGTTGAGTGTTTGTCGCTGGAGGTTGAAAAAAGTTGGTATTTGGTGTGAATGAAGAGGTTGCATTGAATAAAGATCCTCCTGAAGTAACGGTCACTGGTTGTTGGGCAACAGGACCAAAGGAAAAGGTTGTTGTGGTCGCTGGTGTACCAAAAGCGGGTTTAGCTGGTTGAGCTCCAAATGTAGAGGTGTTGAAGAGAGATGAAGAAGAGCCAAATGAAGGTTTACCAAATATTGAATTAGTACTTGAACTAAATGGAGTTGTAGCCGCTGCTGCTTGTTGTTGTTGCTGCTGTTGCTGTTGTTGTTGTGCTTGTTGTTGAGCACCAAACAAAGACTCACTTGTAGCTTGTGGTTGACCAAACATTGTGGTTCCTTGAGGTTGACCACCTTTACGATTAGCTTGATAATCTTCCCATCGAAGCTCTTCCATTGATTTTGTTTCATATTCTTTCATTGCTGTGATACATTGATGGCGAGTGCTAATTGTTGTGTTTATGTTATTCTTTAACATTGTATCACTACCAATCAATGGACTGAATTTAACGGTTGTACCAACAGCTTGCATGGTATTTGTTCCAGTAGCTGCACTGAATGGAGTAGTATTTGAGAAGGAACTTTGTCCAAACAGCGATTGTGTACTAGTTTGGGCAGTATTTGTACCACCAAATAAAGATGTTGATGTAGCTCCTCCGAAAGGTGATGTAGCTACAAGAGGTAAATATGTAAATAAAGAAGAGAATAAAGAATTAATATACATTGATGATAATAATTCGAAATGTGATGAGAGAGAGAGAGAGAGATGAAATTTCTATAAATATTTACCTGTAGTTGTTACTCCAAATGGTGTTGTTTGGGTTGTTGGTTGAGTACCAAAGAAAGGAGTAGTTGATGTTTGTGCTCCAAATAGTCCAGAGCTTGTTGAAGGTCCAACGCCAAATCCAGTGGTTTGAGCAGGTCGATTAGCTGTAAATGCAGCGGGTTGACCAAAAGTGGACTGCATCCTATTGGGACTTGCACCAAATCCAAATGATGTTTGAGATGTTGATGGTGCATTAAATGGGGCTGTGGTTGAGGTTTGAGGTGTTCCAAACATTATAGACTTTTGTTTACCTTTTTCAATCACAAAACTCTTCTATTATACCACAAAGAAAAATCAGTCGAATTACTCACAATAACCTCAGTTAAAATGAATAAAAACAAAGACGAAAATCACAAAATAAATGACAACAATTAGACTCTACAATTAGTCAATAACCTTGATTAGACAAAGTGAGATATAAACAGTAAACAAACTCACTCTTATTTATAAACATCAACATCAATTTCTAAGCTTCAACTCTACACAACCAGATGGCGTTTTCACTTCTATCAAATGGAAACAAATTGAATTTGATTAGCTAATTGTTACGATAATCACATTGAAATCTCGTTAATTAACGAGACAAATCGATCAATTAAATGGTAAAAATTCACTGAGTCGACAAGAACAAATGTTCTTAATAGTTAATCAAATGATTACCTGAGTGTTGATTTCGATCAGCTGATTTGTTGTTATTACGCAACAATTTTTTTTCTCACAATAAATGTAAACATTAAGATACAATTTATGTTTACTTACATTTATTGATTACATTTCATTGGATTGTAACAATTTTCAGGGTATTTCCGTTTCTAAATCAATGTTTTTGGGTCAAAGTGTTGAACTTTAAACAGAAAAGTTTGTGTTTATGTTAATTGTTTGTTTCGCTTGGAAAGTGAAATCATTTGTCTGGTTAACCGATTCTTTCTGGATTTAACTGGTTAACCCAACCGAATTTAACTAGTCTTAACCAATTTTAATCGAATCTAATCTGGTGTTAACTAGTTCGAACTTGATTCATCACGAGAATCGTGACTCATGTGATTTTCAAGTACATGTAATTACAATTAGCTGAGTCATCCATTCATGAGAAGTTGACTAATATTTACTAATCTAAATTTGGATTTGAATTAGTTTTCTTATTTACAATTTAATGAATTGATTAAGTAAATTAATTTGATTCTGTTGTTTCAACGAAGCTTAATTTTAATGAAAAGTTAAATTGAAAATGAATCGTTCAAAAAGTGTTTGGAAAAATAATCAATCAATTTTGTGATGAAATAACAAATTAATGACGTACAAATTTATTATCAATTTAGTGATTAAATTCACAAGTATTATTATTGATTGTGAGTGATGATAATTTAATTTTGATAGGTCATAGATTCAATTCCTAACTTGGATAATAATAAGTCACTCTAATCGTTTTATTATTATAGTAAAAAATTGCCATTCACCCAACGAAAGTTCAATTCATTACTCGAGTTATTACTCAATGAATTTTAATGAATTAACCAAAATTTAACTCTCTCTCTCTCTCTCTCTCTCTCTCTCTCTCTCTCTCTCTCTCTCTCTCTAGATATTCAATGAATGAATTCTTTCACCATGTTAGATGAGTTTATCATGGTTTCCATCTAACTAAACACAACAATTAAGGTTCACCATGATGATAATCATCTGGTTTCCATGAATCAACAGCTCTTGGTGTTACTTATTATCATTAGTTTTCTTATGTTCAATGTTCACCTAACAAAAAGTGAATACAAAGTAATTTAAAATCTCGAGGTTAATTATCATCCATAAAAAGTGATAAGATGGATTAACTGGTTTTGTTACCTCAAAAACAAAGATTAAACATAAACTATTCTGAGCTTCCTTGTTTCGGAACAAAAAAAATTTGCATTAAATGAGAGGATTAGAAGAGATTAAGAGGATTAATTCAATTGATCCTCTATATTCATGAACAACTAATACATTGAACTTTTTTTTCCAAGTGAACATCTAATGAAAATGAAGCTGATGAGTTTAGATTAGATGTTTTTTGTTATTAATTTTTTTTCTCTCTCTCTCTTCTTGATTAACTAAATAGATTCGAGTTCTAATTACAATGAAAGCTTAATTGTATATATCGCACTTGTAAGATTTTCGATTATTTTTTCTTACAACAATCAAGACGATCTCAAGTAATTAGTCTGATTGTTGTCACACCAAAGGAAAGCAAGTGTCGCTTTGGAAGAACAGGAAAAAACTTTTAATCGAATTCGTTAGAATCTTTTATTTTACGAAAATTGTTGCGAAATAGTCCAAGGTAAATGCTAGAATATGATAGTAATTAATTTAAGGAGAAGAAAAAAAAATTAATCAAACACAATAATCTTAATCAGGAACATTTAGTTTATCTAATTGGATAAATAATTTACCAGGTGAGATTTAATCATTTGCCTTCCGGCTAAATAGAAGAAGAAAAAAAAACTCAATCGATTGATAAATTTACTAATTGTTTTTGTCTTTTTATCTTAATCCTTTATCAGTTAATCTTTAACATGGATTATCAAATCATTCATATAACTATTATTATTATAACAAAGTTAAACTCAGAATCTTTTAATCATTCATTGATTATAATCATTATCATAATCTGCCAGTTTCATGGAAATTATGAATTAATCAAAAATGGATTAACTTGATTAGTTTATCATCAATTAGAGTTTAATTTAATTTCTATCAAAAAAAAATTCAGAGTAAACCAATAAATCATTTTTAAGATAAAAACTGTGATCATTTGATAATCTACCAAGATGAATATGAAACCTCAGAATTTCAATATTATCAGAGTTCTTGACCAATTAACTACTATCATGTTATATGAGATGGAAATTCTATTAGTAATTAACTTATTTCCATAAATATTTATATTCTCTATCAATTTAATTAAGAACCATTGGTGAATTAATGAACAATGAATGGTCATTGTTCACCTTTATTCCTCTGATTATCGATTTATTAGTTCTCACCTTTTAAATGAATAATATCATGGAAATAGCCTCGAGAAGTTCATGGAATTTTCATCAATCTTTCAGTTCAATATGTTCTAAATTGTATTGTTACCTTTTTTTTCATATTCTCTCCAGGAACTGAAATAACAGAGAAAATAATATCAGAAATGGACTCAAATCGAAAACACGATCAATTATTATCTGGACATTTATTATAATAATACAATTTTTTTCCTCTTTATTTATGTTACATAATATTTTTATTGTTTCTTTTTCTGTAAAATTGTTACATATAAAATCATTTATCGTTTTCTTATTTTCGTTTTTGAAACAAATTTCGTCGAAAAAATTGATCAGCCGATGATAGTCCAAATCTCAGAGATCAAGGTTATTATTCAATGACACATACTTATATCTATATTTGTTGGATTGGTTGATTGTTCCATCACAATTATGAGTTAACATGAGATTCATTTTCGGATGATATTAGTGATAATAATGGATAGTTACATGTTGTAAGTCAGTTAAAGGGAAGTGAGAGAGAGAGAGAGAGAGAGAGAGAGATTAAGATGAATTGAGATGAAGATGGAAAAGTATTATCATCGTTTTGTGTCCATTCAATTGAATCCATAAGGAGTTTACACTTTGCCTTTGGGGTTGTAGTTCCAATGAGATGATGAAAAGATGAGGATGGAGATAGAGAGAGAGAGAGAGAGAGAGAAACAAATTAAGAATTGAGTTGATTTAGTATAAGTAAGAAGAGGAAGATGAAATAATCAAATGATTATCGTTTATTATCTGTTGATGTTTAACAGTTTTGCCTTTTTGTCTCTCTGATTGTTATAAGTTATTTTCCATTTAGTAAATTGAATTAACATTCATCAGAATATATATTGGTACAATTCTGTTACATGGTTATTTCCTCATTCATCATGATTGATGATTAATTTGTTAGGCAAATTTACTTTGTTTTCTGTTACAATTTTCATTGATTTTTAGTGGAAAAGTATTAATAAAAATTAAAACAAAATATAAGATCTCAATTTCTCCCACTGAATTTGATTGTCAATTATCCCAATGAATGATTACTTGTACTGTGATTTGATGAAGGATAAATTGAAAACAATCAGACTGAACAAGAAAAAGATTCATCATTTGTCATGAAGATACATCACAATTTCATATATTAATATTTCAAGTTTATTCGAGCTTAAAAAACGACATGAGAACATGAAATCTATTTGACCTTTCATGATGAACTTTCATTTCCAGAATCACCATAACAAATAATCATCTATTCAGATTAAGATTAACTTCAATCCATAACTGAATAAAAATTAGATTCAAATTTATTCAATTCAATCATTAAAAGTTCATGATGTAAGAGTAATTGAATGATTCCTTGTTAAAGATAATCATTCAATTCCCATGAAATTATCATAAGAAAACATTGATAACTGACCAACTCGAAAAAGTTGAAAATCATTTTTCCATATTAATAATGAATTGGAGATGAAAAATTCATCAATATTGCATATCGACCTGGAACATAATTCAGTTATCGTTTATCTAAAATGAGAGATAATTATTTCATTAACATGATGAGAGAGGGAGAGAGAGAAACTGAACTACATGAGACTGAACTTAGAACTTGCTAACAATGGATTAGATATTTTTTCCCCTCTTTTTTTCATCATGATGAATTCCGGCAAAATACATGATACAATCCAAAGATCATCTTTCATGCTAATGATAATAATCATGAGAATACATTGAATTACTGTTAGTTAAGATGAATGAGAAGAAACTTTAAACTTAAATGTTCAGAGTGAATTAAAGTATAAAAATGACAATTGTCATGATACATTATCATTAGTCATTGAAGTTACAACTCGAAAATATTGTTCTAACGTTGTTCCATCATGTGTATATACTCATCCTCACCCTGATTCTGATTAGTTTATCTAAAACTTGGAACTGGTAAGAAAAAAAAACATTGAATACTATTGATTAGCTGAGGGATTGTGAGGATCAATGTATCAACTTATTTGCACTTTAGCTTTATGTCTGTTCAATATCCATCATTAAGTGAATTGATTTTGACCACTCAATGTAATTCAATGTTATTAACGAATGTGATAATTGATTAGATGAGATTAGTTTGAGGCAATGATTATTTCATGTATGCATTATTGCAAAGATATAACCAATAATATCAAACATTTATCTAAACAATATAATAATATACAACCTCGGGAAAGATACACAACAACAACGAAACATTCATATTGCAAAGTAAATTGTTGATGAATTGTTGGCTCATAATGATTATCACACCTTCATCACAATCAATTTAAATGTATTACTTAAAGTAAATTGATTCAAATACATATCATCAATTTTTCATTCATTACCAATCAAATGATACAAATAATATCATACTCAAGTCTTTACAATGACATTAAGCGTTTTCCAGATAAATTGGTTAACCCTTAAGGCAAATTGATTGTATCTTGAATTGGAGTTTTTTTCAAAATCAATTAGCATTTAGACTTTATAAGGTTACCGAATCATAACTCAGTTCATTCATATGATCATCGTCGTGGTGAAAAGTGCACTTGGTCAACCTATTGAGAACTGATCTGTAAAAATATCGAAAAGTAATTCACTCTGAAAGAGATTATCCCAATCTCTTGAATGAATAAAGTTAATTCATTTTATTGTAAGAAACAACTGATTTAAGTTGATTAAATTGTATCATTAGACTAATTTTTTTGTTGGTATCAGTTAACAATATGATAACCTGTGGTGAGAAAGTTTGGGACTTTTTGATAAAACATTCGTAAAAACCGTAGCATTGCGCGTATTCAACTGAAATTTTACGTTCTCATGGCTAATACTCGAGAGATAATATTGTATAAATTTCAGGTCAAAAAATTTAATGGCGTCGCTAATTTTTCAAATTGAAGTGCAATGAAAAAAAAATCGACAAAAAAATTGTTAAAATGAGTTTTTTTGGATAACTTTTCGATGAATACTCAGATTTTTATGAAAATAGTTTTTTTAGAATCAGCTCAAAATTTTGTATCAAAACTCAAATTAACGCAATTCTATAAATAGATCAAGCGAAGATATTCAAAAAAGAAAATTCGATTTTTTTGCATTTTGACAAAATCGAACTTTTCCCATTGACAGCCATGTTAAAAGCTCTCATAGACTTAACATGTATCAAGTCTTATCGATTTTTTTTGTTCGACTTTGAAACTCAATTTTTCCCGAACTAATTGACTAATTAAAAAAATTTTTTCTTTTATCGATATGTTAGTTAATTAACAATAATTCAAATAATTTTCAAATTTTTAATAAAGACCGTTCTCACAATATTACGATTTTAGCAAAAGTTCCCAAACTTTTTCACCACAGGTTACATGATAAGATAATAGCTAATTTAATTTAACTCAAAAAGTTTTGACAAAATTGAAGAAAATGAAATTATCATCATATTGACGAGATGGGAAAAGTTATCATCATGAAAGTAATAATAAGAATGATTATCAAATTGAAGTTTCAAATTGTTGAAGAAATGAAATAAAGTTATCACTATTATTATTCATCTTGGTGATATATCATCATATCTAAATATAAACGATGCTAATTTGATGCATGATGATTTTCTGAGATAATAATAACAATGAACATTTTCACCATCAGGAAGATGATGATGGAAACCTCACAATTTCAATATAGATGAATGAACATTTTCCAGAATCATTGTTCACCATAATTAAATGAAGATGTTAGTTTGCATGGTGGGGGGGTTGATTTTGGATAATGGTGATAATAGTTATCAGAATTTACAAGATTTATGTTATATTATCAGATAATATATTTACTCTGGATGTTTGATTTTAGATATTATTTTCTGTTGATATAAACAAGAAACTTGGGGATAAATATTATGCATGTTTACCAAGAAAAAGGCAAAAAATCAAAAGCTTAAAAATGCAATTTCTCATCTACATGATAAATTCATCATCATGATGAATGAACTGGAAACAAGAAAATCAAAAAATATATTGATCAAGCTTCGATTCATAAATTAATGGGATAAGTATTGAATCTCAATCCATTGAAAGGCAAAATATCAACAAAGGGTTGAAATATAAGGTAAACATTACTAAGATCCAGGTAAAGGTGTATAAGAATCATCAACAATTAATCTGGAAATAATAGTTCAATGGTCAGTACAATTTGATTTTATATATATATATATAAGATCACTCCACCCAAAAGGTTCAATGATTATATAATAATCATGATATTGGTTAATGAATCTCTTTGTATACATAATTAATCATGGATCAGAGCATAATTTAATTCCAAGTCAATGGGTGTAAGATTTACCTTCAAGAGTATATTAGATACTCAGGTAAATGGTGATAACCTTATCAACCATTATCAGGGTAAATCTAAGTAAATGTTAATCAATAATCCTTTAATTGTTCACCTTTTACCCTTAATCATTAGCATTATTTACTAATTAAAGTGTAACAGTGATTGTCCTTATCCACTGACAATAATAACAAATACATGTTGAGATAAAATGTTTATCAATGATTCATTAAAAGTGATTAACAATCAAATCATTTATCATTAACTAATATAAATAATAAAATTATCCATCACAATTAATTTGATAATCGTTTAGTTTGCTTTTTTTTCACCATTTAAAATGTAAATTGACAGTTAATTGGATGAAACTTATCCCAAACTAATCAAGTTGATTGTCTAAACGATTAATGAAATCAATTGATCAACTAATATAATAAGTGAACCAAAAAAAAAATGTCAATCAATCAAATTAATAGATGAAGATTAGATTTAGTTCAATTAGAAAGATTTAATTGAGTTTTCATCAGATTTAAATTAATTAAGATGAAAACTTTTGTTTGTTTATTTGAATTTTCTAGTAAAAAAAAAGAGTCTCTCTTGTATTAGATTTAATTGTTTAGATTTCTTTTTCATTCTTACCTCTCGATCTTCATTATAAGTTAATTGGAGATACAGATGATTATCATATCAAGCTCATTGTTGGATAAGATTAAACTTTTAATGAGATTAGAATGACATGAGATTGAATGATCTGTCATTCTTTTGATCAATTAAATGATAAAGTGATTCATTATTTAACAATAAGTTGATTATTCTCAGTGAATACCTGAAGATTTAGGAAGTAAACTCAGAATTTCATGGAGAGGGAAAAAATCTTAATCTTTTCAAAGGGATGAATTCATGTCTTCCTATTTTGATAGCGTCAATTTTTTTTTCTTCATCGTAAAGATCAAGAATTTACCATTATCAATGAAATTAATTCAAGACTAAAAATCAACATGATAACCATTTTCAATATAAGGCAATCCAATTTCATTTGAGCAGCAAAAAGGGCAAAAATTTACATTTGGATGGAGAGCTAATTGTTTAAATGAATCGATTGATTTATTTGCTACTTTGGAGACTCATTCAATCATTTCCAGTTGATTTGTAACAATCGAATCTATCATTAGTTATCTTGCCATTAGTTGCGATTGTAAAATTAACAGTAATTGTGATCAAATACCAAGGAAAACAATTACATTTGTTATCGTTTTC